TGCAGTGTATGACCTACAGTACACCCTGTAACGTCTAACACCTTGTCCTGCCAGTGCCTGTTCTGACCAGGATAAGCAAAGCGGGTCAGGTGAGGTTTCTCTCAGCTGAATAACATCGTCAGCCATTAGCCAGAATACCTAAGTGAGAGGCTGCCCTCTCGTCTAACGGGTTAAGATAATCGCATTAAACAGATAGTTAATTACAGGGTCGGTTAAGCGTGTCCTGGCTCCTTCTTCTCCTTGATTAATCTTCAGTAATCTGTGCCGGATCAATATTATCATCGGGAAAAATTGATTATTGAAAAAAATAATCCTCTCCAGAAGGAGGATTATTTAAGGGATTACTGTATTAGTGTTTACCTGAGGACTGATAATTATACTGATGTGATGATAAACAATTAAGGTAGAGGACTTAATTTAACCTGAATTTAACCTAATCTAATCTAACGTACCGGTAACCTAATCCTACCTCACCTCACCTGCGTCAACGAGTATAAATAAAGTAAACAATTCGTCATTACCTATTACCAGGTAGGTGTCCGTGGTAATTAACGGACAGGTGCTTGTACTTACTTCCACACGCTGGAGATGTTGGCGTCCTTGATGTTGGAGACGATGGCCTCCATGATGAAGTAGGTAATGTAGCTGTACCAGTCCATCTTCTCCGCCACTGTGTCTCCTTGGTAGTTCATTCCCTGCCTGACATATATAACCACCAACACTATCATTAATAAACGGAAACAGCAGATATAAATTTGAAAATACAGTAAACTCTCTATATAACGGACTTCTCTCACCATATAATCCGTTAAATGGGAGTTTCACATCTGACGGACTCTCAACATAACGGACTTTAATCTCTATATAGTCCGTTAGATGGAGGTTTGACATCTAACGGATCCTCAATATAACGAATTTTCCTCTCCATACAGTCCGTTAGATGGAGGTTTCACTGTATACAAATGAATAGAAATTTAAATGAATCCCAAAATGCGATGAAAGATAGTCATCGATTTTATTGGTAAATTCAAGGCACCGCCATAGTTACATCTCCACCAGGGAGACAGTTTACGTCTTCCAAAAACCAAAATTAAAGCCAGCCAAGCCTGTCGTCCAGCTTTGGTCACCAGCTGACCCGTCACTAGCTGACCCCAGTCACCAGCTGACCCGTCAACAGCTAACCCCAGTCACCAGCTAACCCGTCACCAGATAACCCGTCACCAGCTAACCCCAGTCACCAGCTAACCCCAGTCACCAGCTAACCCCAGTCACCAGCTAAACCCAGCCACCAGCTAACCCCAGTCACCAGCTAACCCCAGTCACCAGCTAACCCCAGTCACCAGCTAACCCCAGTCACCAGATAACCCGTCAACAGCTAACCCCAGTCACCAGCTAATCCCAGTCACCAGCTAACCCCAGTCACCAGATAACCTGTCACCAGCTAACCCCAGTCACCAGCTAACCCCAGTCACCAGCTAACCCCAGTCACCAGATAACCCGTCACCAGCTAACCCCAGTCACCAGCTAACCCCAGTCACCAGCTAACCTTGGTCGTCTTTCAAACATTCCATCAAGACGTCCAGTTTACCTTAAATCATCAAGCTTAATCTGGAACCTAAGCTTGGAGCCGAGGAGTACATCACTTTTGGTGTAGTTGCTGAAGTTAGGCCAGGAGGACACCCGCTCGAGGATCTGGTCAGTGCGGCGGAAGGTGTCTTGAAGGTTGTTCCTGGCGGGGACACGGCGGGTTAGTGGTCTCTCTCCGCCAAACATGGGACTTCTATGTCGAGGCTCCAAATTGGATGCTGTTATGAAGACCTGACCCAACCTAAACTAAACTAGCCTATCCTAACAACCAAACCTAACCTAACATAACCTAAGATAAGTTAATATAACTTAACTTAGCCTATCTTGACCTAACCTAACCTTACTTGACCTAACGTAATCAAATTCCATCTAATGTATTATAATCTCACTTAACCTAAGTTATCCTAACCTAACTTAGCCTAATTTAATCTAACATCACAACCTAATTTAACATAAGCTATGCTAACCTAACCTATACCCGGCCGAAACAAATAAAATTTATTGTACCTAACCTAAGCTATCCTAACCTAACCTAAGCTATCCTAACCTAACCTAAGCTATCCTAACCTAACCTAAGCTATCCTAACTTTACCTAACCAATCCTAGTCTAGCCTAATCAAGCCTGAGATAACCCATCCTAACATAACCTTGAATAATTTAATCTAAGGTACCCTGATCTAACATCGTCTAACCAACGAACATAAACAAACAACAATATCACATGATCAACGCCGCCCGGCGGTGACCACAGCGCTGACGCTCACAGGACCTACCAAATTTTGTTTAGAAAAGATGATTAAAAAACAGTATTAATGAATAAAATACCAGATAAGCTCAAATATTGTTAATAAATTGAGAATGGTGTGTGGGGGTTCTCGTTTTCTGTTTATATAATGGTAATAGTGATCAGATATCTCTTTCGATCGATGTACTATTTCTTAACATCAGTGGAGCTATAATTATGGCCAAGATTTGTTTCTGTGTGTGTGTGTTTATCTGCGAGTCGCCAGGCTAGGCGGTACTGTACCTAGGCTGGGGCTCGTTACTCTCCCCCACAGATGAAACCCCTAATTACTTCATCATCACCTCACACACATTCTAGAAAAAGAAAACAAAAATATGAACGAGCCCTTTTAGAATAATCAGTAGGTAGAAGGTAGGTAGTATGTTCATGTGTGCTGTGCTAGTTCACTCTCTCCCAGCAGAATCTTGTAGAAGTAGGGAAAATAATAATAATACACCAATTACACAGGGGAAATTATCAGTATAAATCCCTCCAACCCCCCACACACACACACACACACACGTACTGAATGTTGCAATAATAAATCTTGCTTAACGAGTAAAAGTGGCACAGCATATCCTCCTCCCACCCTTCCCCACAACAGAGGAACGAACACTGTTACATCACTCGTCCAACCTGCTGGTAGTTGGTGTGGAGGAATGGGAGCGCCTTGCAGTTACGCTCGATGCTTCCTTCGTCCTCTGGCCCTCCGATAAGTGTTGGGTCTTGGTCTCTCCCTTCAATCTTAAAATTTAGGACATTTCTCAGTGACCAGTTTATGGAGAACGCAAATGATTATCACTGAAGTTTTATTCTTCACTTTAAAATATAAAATATAGCACAGGCACGAGAGAAAGTCTGTATATAGTTGGCGTCTCGTGTCTCAGTGTTCTTGGGTTTACTCCGCCAGAAGGAACAGAAATTAGACTAATCTTTCTCGCACACTACCTCAATCCCTCACCATAATGACACACCAAATATACAGAAGTCTCGCCAACCAGGATAGGAGTGGTGCTATGTGCTCATCCAACCTGGCATTCGCGTCCACTGATAAAATAGATTTTTCTGGCCTCCCGTGGATTACTGAAGTCACGAATTCTCTATACCTCAGCCACTCTGATTAAGTTGATTTCCTCTCTGGCTAACCCACCCACATAGTTAAAGACCTTGCACTCAACCAACACCCTCACGAAAGTAAATTAGAAACTACACCAATTAACTTGCAATTGCACGAATATTTAGAAAGAAAAACCAAAGGAGAATAATCGTGATGAAGAGAAGGCCAGGGAGAGGAGAGGAACGAGCCCTCACCTTAGCTTGGAGCCGTTGGAGAAGACATAATAGGCCACCTCGCCTCGCTCCAGTTGCAGTGCCGTCAACAACACGCCCAGCTCCACCGTCACGTGTACCTGAGTGAAAGTGAGAGCGACTCTGTTATACTTCTCTTGGGTGATATGCATAGTGATACAGTTTTACTCCAAGAAGTGCACAATTAATAAGAATTTTGAGTATTAGTTTTATTCTGCTGGAGGTGACGAGTGCGGAGAGAGGCAATATTTTATAACATCGGTGGATCAGAGGAGGCGATATTGACGGTACATGGTAATGTACATCAGTAAGCACAAGGTTACAGCGCAGAACTTCTGTGGCTAATAGTATGTACATCGGCGGCTAGAGTACAACTGTTCACACACACACACACACACACACAGGGGACAAGACTCTCCAGGACCTGTGTGGCGAGGAACTGCATCTCTCGCTGGTGATCGGCGACGGTAGTCATGAACCAGCAGTTCTGGACGATGAGGGCGGCGATAGGTATGAAGGGAAGCATCATCATCTGCAACTGGTGCCACTTCTTGCCAGAGTGACTCACGGGGTTGAAGCTACAGCAGCCAGCCCTCACCGTCACCAGCGACGATGCCTCTGTAGCTGACGCCGACAGGTCGCTCTGTTCGCTCCTCGTGTCCTCGTCGTCCTGGTGGGGGAGGTGGGGGTTGGTGGTAGTTAGGTACTGGAGGCGGGAAGGGTGATTTGGATGGTAGTTAAAAGTATCAGTAGTGGAGGAATGAGGCTGTTGGTAGTTAGATGCACAGTAGTTCAGCACTTGTGTTGGGAAGAAACAATATACTAACCTCTAGTCACTAGTGGATGACCATTAGGTAAATGAGATAAATATGAGAGAGGGAAGGTGGGCAAATAAGATAAATATGATAGAGAGAGAGAAACGGAATCTAAGTACACACTAAAGACGTCTATAGTTCCTCGAGATAAAACCTACCTCCGACCTTTCTCACGACAACGCATTATGTTTACAACAGAAGACTTCCCTCAACCTATCATGAAATCACGGCTACTGAGGGAGCACTCCTACTAATGAACACACACACCCATCCATTCATACATGGCGAGGAACACATATACTTACATAATGATGAAGAACACATTCAAATAATAACGAAAAATACATACCTGTATGATAATGAAAAACACAAAATCTCCCGTCACAAACATAAGACGTCACCAATACCCATAAACACTGTAAATAACTCCCATATTGGCGTGAATCAGACTTCTAAACATTAAATACACATACTATAAACAACACAAAAACCTGATAGAAATGGCACCTCAGGTAACATGTCGAGGCTGCGAGGGCCAACCACAATGAACCAGGGATTACCGCTGTAGTCCACTACCAGCAAACCATTACAACACCACCAGCAGTAGTCCGTAATACAATCCTTCGTCCACACCCCGGCAGAAGAGGAACCCTGTAGGGCGCAAAGAGACTCAGCTTACCAGGCAGACACTCTTGCCTCGATACCTCGGTCTCATAGTCGGATGGGAAACTGGTTCTGATCGGTGCTCACAGGAGTCGAGTAGCTTCGTGAAGTAGTTTCTTCTCCCGGTGTGAAGTTGGAGCAAGTGGTTGTTATGAGTGAGGAGGGGAGAGAGTCGTCACACCTTTTTCTTTAAGTTCCCAGACATGAAATATACCTACCGAAACAAATGTGAGTCAGACCACTCCTCCCTCCCCGCCCACCTGAGGCCCGTCGCTACACCCACTTCAATGTTCTCTCACATTAATTGTTTCAAAGTTGTTGACATATTAGGAGAGTCATTGGTGGTGTTTCGGGTTCCACGCACCTCACAATAGTTAACAGAATATAAAACACTTTAAATATAATACAGTATTACCATTATACAGCTCTCTAACACACTTGACTGTGCCCAATAAACAATTAGGAATATTAACTGAAAGACTGGTAGCATACAAAATACAATTCAAGTCTCTCCTTACTTATGAAATATTCTATAATTCCGTTTGACAGAGACGCATCAAACTTCATGTTAAGTAGGTAATTATGTGATACTCGAGACAGCTTAATCGATAAAGCTTCGGTAAGAGGATGGTCATTGTTTTTTGTTGGTGAAAGTGGTGGTAGTTCAGCTTCTCTGCTACAATACCTCGTCACTCATGTACAGCATTACAGGGGAGATTTGTGTTTTAGTTGTCTTAATGTATTCTAAAGTCTAACCTAACCGAACGAAATCACCGAGGTGCAGTTTTCCTAGTCAGTAAGAGTGGAGGTCAACTTGCAGCCACTAATAGCACTTGACTACTGATGGAGCAATTAACGAAAAGTGAAAGTTGGTCCCATAGGCATGACTGTATACTAAGTTTTCGGTACCTGTACAGCATGGTCAGTATTGCTCTCGACCGTCTTCACTTCCCCAAGTTGTAAATTTAGGTACCCATTTACAGCTGGGTGAACTGGGTGTCAGGGAATCGAACCACCGACCCCTGGAAAAAGACCTGGTCATGACTAGTGTGTTACTTGTGGCGGCCTCTCCCTCCTTCCACACTAAGTATTCACATGTTTACCTTTTAGGACAACTTTATGGATAAATTCGTGTTTCTCGGTAGGATTTACTACAATATAACATACAGGTAGTAGGCAGCTACCAAACAGGGAGGTACAACCGCCTGGGAAGATATTGGAAGCATAATGTGTTGTCTAGTGGTAGACCCGGCTGCCATATGGCATCACGAAAGTTGTGACCAAGTCCCAGGTTGCTGATCTGACTTTCTACCTCATTTACACAAAATTACAGGGTCTCAATTGTTTCTCTTACTTTAACAACACAACATACATATACCGTTTCTCACTATTGATTTTGTTTTTCATTTTTGCATTTCTTTATGGTTCTTTATTATTATTATTATTATCATTATTATTATTATCATTATTATTATTATTATTATTATTATTATTATTATTAGTAGTAGTAGATGTTTCTACGCCAGACTCGCGGAGCTGATCTCCGAACAGAAGCAGCAGCCCAGAAGTTATGTTACAGCCTGGATGAGATGTCGACTGTCCTTCTCTCTCCTTCGGTCGGCTTTGCTCTGCCTCAGGGGAACGAGAGCTTCTGCCCCTACTCCGACAACTGCTGCAGATATTGACTATGAGGCTACAGTCACTGAATGCCGCATAGATCTGCGGCTCAACTAATTTAACACAGATAGGATAGCTTCTTATGTATTAGGATATTTAATATTAAGGTAAATAAATGGTGGCGAAGGTGTGGCTATTGGGGGAGGCTGGAGGCCACGTTTATAAAAAAAAAAAAAGTAATAGTAGTAGTAGTAGTAGTAGTAGTAGTAGTAGTAATCATTGGTTGTTATTATTATTATTGTTATTATTACTTTATTTTTAATTTTGTATTTTTTATTATAAAATTTATTTACTTTGAACTAATTATTATTATTATTGTTATTTTTATTATTATTATTATTATTATTATTATTATTATTATTATTATTATTATTATTATTATCATTATTATTATTATTGTTATTTTTATTATTATTATTATTATTATTATTATTATTATTATTAGTATTATTATTATTACATTTTCGCCCCCCAGGCCCTGAAGTGGGTCAGTGACCTGTGCCCTGGTGAGCTATTCCTTAAAGAAAAGAAAAAATGCAAATCAAACAGTTTCTGGTGATCAAATGTACTAATCCTGAGTCTTGACGTAGTGTGGAGGAGTACTATATTATTGCTTTATAATTATATATAAGTTTTTATCATCCATGAATCACACACACACACACACACACACACACACACACACACACACACACACACACACACACACACACACACACACACACACACACACACACACACACACACACACACACACTTTGACCGCCATACCTACAGTATGTAACTATATACTGTAGGTGTAACCAATATTAGAAGTAATAATAATCCAGAAATAGACGAATCAATTAATTTCAAAAATATATAAATGAAATTCAGTGTTGACAAGGGACCGTCCTGTGAGGGGATCTAACCTGGCCTTAATTCCAGTTTATATGATTTCATGAAACCCCTGGAATATTAACTAATATATTTGAGGTGACGTAAGGCAGGGAAGGGGTAGGAGGAAGCGGGAGGCAGCTACTGTTAGCAAATGTGGAAATATGACCCAAGATGTTACTTTCCCAGAAGCAGGTTAAATTACCATAGATGCCGCGACGTCAAACGATAATCTCAAAACACATATTACTTATAAGGAAAATGTATTATTTAATACAGACAGCTGAAAGTGTACTTAAAAAGTTCTTTTGATATGAGAAAATAAACACATCGTAATACAGTAAGACTACATCAACGGCAACAGGTAACAGCCATACTTCAGGCAACGACACACTTGAAAAATTAATCATCACTATGATGGAGGAGCTCAGGTGTAACTAACTCATAATAAAAGCGCGTCACTAATACGATGACACGTTGACCGTGATACCGTAACCATGGATATCATAAATACAGCAACCAGGGGTAATGCTAGAACTGTAATACAATAACCAGGGGTAATGCTAGAACTGTAATACAATAACCAGGGGTAATGCTACAACGGTAAACAGGAACCATGGATAGTAAGTACCACAAGTCACACAGGAGATTTATGTCAATATCAAAAGACTAATTAATAAGGGAGTAGAAAAGATTGGAAATGAGCTTTGGGAAGTAGAGGTGAAGAACCAGCCCGTCACCAATGAGGGTGGGAAGTTCATACAGTATTAGTGGCGCATCAGAGAGGTGTGGGTATTCTTGTACACCAGAAGTTGAGCAGTAGTGTAAAGGGATACTGGGCAATGTCAGATAGTTTTGTTAGTCGGGTTTAACGCTGGGCTTGGTAATAATACAGGTTTATACACCAACAAATGATAGTGAGGATGAACTTTCTGAAAAGTTTTATGAACACTTAAAGATTATATTGGGCCAAGTCTGGCCTTGAAAGAGCTCACACTCGGTGCCGTCACATGAGAATTACTATATTTCTATTAGACTCAACAGATTAATTCAGGGCAGGATGCAAATGCACTACAGGAGGATCTAAATAAACTGCAGGGGTGGTCTGAAAAATGGCAAATGAAATTCAACACCAGCAAGTGCAGCGTACTTAATATTGGAAGAACAAATACTGCCATTGTATACAGCCTTAACAACATCAACCTAGAGAAGTCGACTTGTGAAAGAGACCTAGGGGTACTTGTAAGCCCGGACCTACGGCCTAGAAAACAGTGCGTTAATGTTCGAAATAAGGCAAACAGAGTATTGGGTTTTATATCTAGAAGTGTAAGTAATAAGAGTGCAGAGGTCTTATTGCAACTATATCTTGCGCTAGTCAGGCCGCACCTCGATTATGCGGTCCAGTTCTGGTGCCCTTATTATAGAATGGATATAAATTCACTAGAGTCGGTGCAGCGAAGAATGACAAAAATGATTCCGGGACTTAGAAACCTTCCATATCAGGATAGGTTAAAGAAACTTAACTTGCATTCCCTAGAAAGACGAAGAGTGCGGGGAGATATGATAGAAGTATTTAAGTGGGTAAAAGGAATCAATAAAGGGGATATAGATAAAGTTCTTATAATATCCGAGCAGGATAGGACTCGTAGCACCGGATTCAAGTTGGATAAGTTTAGGTTTAGGAGGGAGATAGGAAGAAACTGGTTCACAAATAGGGTGGTGGACGAGTGGAACAAGCTTAGCAACTTTGTAGTAAGTGCTGGAACGCTGGAAAGTTTTAAAAGGAGGCTGGACAGATTCATGGATGAGAGAGAGTGGTAGTAACTCTCGACAGGAGCTGCCATGCACAGGTCAACCGGCCTATTGCAGACTCCTTATTTTCTTATGTTCTTAACTCGTGAGGACTTTAGGTGAGAACTATTTTTGTATACAATATTATTTGATTGACTGAACCTTCTGAATCCGGGTTACGAAAAGTTCCCGGAAGAGGGAAGCTTAACTCAATCTGTGTACAATAGGGCCGCGCTTACTGCTGAGGGAGAGTGAGGATAAAGAACACAGACAAAGGGATAGTCAAGGAGACAGAAAAGCGGGAGTAAAGAAAAACAGACAAAGAGAGAAAGAAATAAAAGCGTAAACATGAGCCAGCAACACTTTTCGCAGTTATCAATGTGACAGCAACACACGTCCCCAACCTTTCTGCAAACCAAGGAACACAATAGAGTAGCTGTGTTCCCCTTAGGTGTGTTGGGACAGATTTTTATCTCAACACAACCTGAATTTTTGTACATATGTAAGTTCAAGGGATCAAAGTTATCGTGATAATTATTTTTAAATATACCGTATACAGGTACAGTATACTAACGACGATGATTGGCAATTCTCTGACCTTTTGCAACATTGACCAAAATTATTAGTTTTATTAGTTGTATTCACGAAAAAATAGATGTTCACCAACTCACTATTCTCACCAACAAGACATTGATTAATGTTCGCAATTTTTAAGGGTAAATCATATTAAACCCTGATAGTAACGTCAAATGTGGAAGAAATTCGTACAAACACAAGAGTAGCGAGTTATGCGACCAGATTACGAAAAAAAAGGTGAATAAATCCTATGTTCCCTTACGTGGCTTACAGGGGACTAATAAGTACTTATCTTATATTCTATATGATATTTACTGTACATTGGTTCGGTTATAGTGAGTTTGTTTAGTCCTGATGATCCGAGTTTATGGATTCGGTAAAGACTTCCAAAACTGATAGATAGGAGGATAGTGTCACAGTAAGCCAACATCTGGCACTACCTGCAGATGTACTGTCTGGTGGCACCTGACACTACCTGAGGATGTAGTGTGGGGGCACCCGTGGATATAAAGTGTGGCACCTACCATGTGATCGGGCCGCGCTCCCCTGAATGCAGCAAGGGAAAAAATCAAATACATTAGACTGCAACATAATTATACCATTATCTAAAACTTAAATGACAGTAAGGCATTACGTTGCAGAATATGGAATCTACAGCACGTGATTCTTAGCTCCACTTGTATTCCAAAGACGGTGCAAGGCCTTCATTACACTACTAAATGCAGAATTCAAATTATATATATACATCAAGATAATAGTAAATACTCTACGACATGGGCAGAAACTTGTAAAACACAATGAAGAGAACGAAGAGCAGTCTAAAAATAATACAAAGAATCATATCAAACTGCTTATCATTGCACTATGAAACCATATCCCATGATAACAAGATATGTGTAATTATATATACTGTGCCGTTCGCTGGTTATCTGGTTATATCCAACTTGTACTTTTTACTTTTATCCTCTTCACCACTGATCGGCTCGTTAGCCTCTTGTGGCACTCAAAATCCTAGATAGCATGATTCGTGCCTTAAACAGTTTAGAGGTAATTTACACGTCAACACAAAACTCCCGACTTACATTTCGTTCATATCAGCCATCCTGGTCGTGCCCAACGATGAATACCAAGGTAAACTTCACCACCGGTCTGAAGTAGAGTTACTGGGGGCCGTCTCTGTGTGTTCAGGATGTATGAATGTACTTAGGCCACGCAAGTATGATTAAACCATGGAAGTAACTTTAGGCCGCGCTTGTGTTAAGATGACACATATGTTTAGGTAGCTGGATTAGGAGAACCCTGAATTGACTAGTGAGGGAGCCGCGTGTATCACTACCGATGTCTCCCACAAAACTGAGAACCGCGCCTCCCTTACCCTACCTCATCCCTTCGTCTCACCGTCCTTCCCTCCCCTCCACCACCCTTCTCCTGCCTCCAGTCTTCCACCCAATCAGTCACTCCCCATACAACCACCTCTCCTTACGCCTCCTTCACAGCTCTCTCATTCACCACTTATCTCCATACATACATAATATCATCCAGTTCTTAATTAAATGCTTGACTCCAATATATTAACGATATCTGTCTCGTGTCAAAAACCTCTAGAATCTTAGATGCAATACACAGTATACCAACTGGCCTGTAATTACCTGAGTTAGACCTGTCATCTTTCTTATGGATAGGCGTTACTCTGGCAAACGTTTACTCCTCTGATATAGTATTTGTACTAATGGAGATATTAATTAATGTGTTATTGATGTGTTTAATATACTTAGTGGCACCATCCTTCAAAAAACCTAGCTGGGATGCTATTGATACCTGTGCTCTTGTAGGGGTCTTGTTTTACTCCTTTAGAACAAAGGCTTCTGATATCACACTATAATTGTTTGAGGCTATCGGCATTTTTTCGAATAAGATGAGGCTACTGTAAGATAAATGAAAAGGAAAAGTAATGAGAGACGTGACCGATCGCCTAAGCGGCAAACGAACCGATCAGTGGCGAAGAGGATAAAAGTTGTAAAAATGATTCAAAGTGGTTTACAACTTCAGAGTTTTGGGGGGATTATTTTTATTTTTCCTTTATCCTTATTGTTTAAGTACTAATTTTTCATTCCTCTGCACTTTGTTTCTTAGTCTACAGAACTCTAGTAACGCATTATAATGTTTAATTTAAACTCACGGTTAGTTGATCTGTCCAATTGATTCCAATATCACACTTATCATCCAAGGTTCAATCCTAACTAATATTCTTATCACCTTTAACAGCTACATCATCAAGAACGCCAGTAAAAGTAGTTTTGAACTTCTCTGAGGCCTTGTTAACCTGTATGCAGTTTGTCACAGGTGACCAATCAATATTTTGTAGTCTAATTTGTTACTTTTTTTATTGTACTTCTTCATTTATCATATTTTGTGTTGTGTCTTACCCCTGACCTTACAATAAGGTTTACAAGAAAGGCACCTGACCTAACTGATTTTATCGGTCCTAATGTTTGACAGTATCTTGGCATAATGATCCACACACTGAATTGTGGGATGATGCTGTCAAAGGTCACTGATATAATGGTTCTGTATATGGTGTAGTAGCTGTTGTTTGGTGTTACGCTTAATGTTACTACACAGTTGTTATGGAATTCATTATACAGTGTATATGATTATGCTAACATTACAACTGTTAGCTAGGACTTGAAGGACAAGATCCCCAAACAGTGAGTAAGGGCGAGTTGCACTGTCTGTGGTGTAGGTAGTTGTATATTATAATTGTTGTTGTAGCAGTGGCCTCTCCTGGTATACCTGGTAATTAGAGTATGTCGTTGGAGATAATTTCTTCATATAATGTACTGAATGTGGCTGACCACTCAAGGGCTTATCAGGCCAAGGTACAAATATTACAAGGGAAATTACAATGGGATGAGGGAAGAGATGAGGGGTATCAACTGGCCTGACTCATTAAGGTACAAGAACGCAGACACTATGCTGAATATCATAACTAGTAAAGTGACCCATTTGATCGATAAATATATACCCAAGACCAAACCCAGTGCTTCTAGGAATACGAGGGGATCCCTACACATGAACCATGCGGCGGTCGACAAAATGAAGAAGAAAACCCAGAAATTCAAGACGTGGGTTGGGTCAAACGATGAGCAAGACAGGAGGATGTATGCAAGAGCCAGAAACCAAGCAAAGATAGAGCGTAGGAGGGCTGAAAAGGAGTTCCAGAGACTGGTTGCAAGCGAGGTCAAGTCAAACCCAAAGGCGTTTTACCGCTCTGCAAAGTCGAAATTGAAAACGAGAGTAGGAGTATCAGACCTGAGGCTGGTGGATGGTAGTTACGCAGATTCTGACCAGGATAAAGCTGAGGCATTGAACAGCTTCTTTTCCTCGGTGTTCACAAGAGAGGATGCAACTAACCTTACTGCGTTTGAGGATAGACGGTTCGACACAGCACTGACCCACATTGTGTTCACAGAAGAGGGTATTAGAAATAAACTGTCCAGGCTAAAGGTCCATAAGAGGCCCGGACCTGACATGGTGCATCCTAGAGTGCTAAGAGAGTTGTGCAACGAGCTTGCAGAGCCCCTGAAGATCCTGTTTTGTAAATGCCTGCATGAACAAATGGTCCCCAGTGAATGGAAAGTGGCTTATGTGAGTCCTATCTTCAAGAAGGACGATCGTCACTCCACGAACAACTATAGACCGGTGAGCCTGATCAGCATAACATGTAAAGTACTTGAGAGTATTATCAGAGATGCCGCAATGGAACATCTAATACGAAACAACCTTGTAAAGGATTGCCAACACGGTTTTATGCCGGGGCACTCCTGCTTAACACAATTGCTCAAGGTATTGGATATTTGGACCCATATTCTGGAACGGGGTGGTAATATCGACAATATTTACCTAGATTTTGCCAAGGCTTTCGACAGTGTACCCCACGAAAGGCTGAAAATCAAACTGGAAGGGTACGGAATTCGGGGAAATGTCCTTGCGTGGATAGAAGACTTTCTACATGACCGCAAGCAGTGTGTGGTGATTAATGGCACAAAATCGTCATCTGTACCTGTAACAAGTGGGGTGCCACAGGGCAGTGTATTGGGCCCGCTGTTGTTTGTTTGTTTCATAAATGACATGCCTGACGTTGTACACTCCTCCATACAAATGTTTGCCGATGACGCCAAGTTATTTCGGGAAATTAAGAACCAAGCAGACTGTGAAGAGCTGCAGAAGGACCTCTGTGGGCTCCAGGAATGGTCGAAGAAATGGCTGCTGAGATTCAACGTCACTAAGTGTAAGAGGATGCACCTGGGGCGTATCAATGGTAAGGAGGTGTATCATACGTCCCAACGGGATGAAGAAACTGCACTAGTTGAGACTGTATGTGAGAAGGACCTTGGTGTGTATGTTGACAAAGAGCTGAAGTTCTTGAGCCATTGCGAGAAGAAAGTAAATCAGGCAAATAAATTATTGGGTCTTATAAGAAGTTCGTTCAGATATCTAGACGGTCCGTCCCTCGTAACGATCTTCAGGAGTGAAGTGCTTCCCTATCTGGAGTACTGTCACCCCATCCCCCCGAGATATGCTAGGGACTGTCAGTTGGTTGAAAATGTTCAAAGGAGGGCCACCAGACTGGTGTCTGCACTTTGGCACCTCAGCTACCCTGAGAGATTGGAGCGCCTGAACTTGCCTAGCTTATACTACAGAGGGGCAAGGGGGGACCTAGTTGAGATGTATAAGCATCTCAGGGGGCACTACTCAGTCGAGTGTCCTTACTTGGAGCTGGCGGACGCTCGCCCCACAACGGGTCACAGCTCAAGATTGAAGAAGCTGCAAGTCCAGAAAACTGTGAGGGCAAACTTTTTCGGAGTGAGGGTTGTAAACTCTTGGAACAATCTACCAGAGAGTGTTGTGACGGCACCGAGTGTGAGCTCTTTCAAGACAAGACTTGACCAACACTGGAGCAGGTTCAGGTACATTCAGGAGCCGGTGCATGCCCAGTATTTGCCAACAGTGTGTGACAGAGACGTGACCGATCGCCCGGGCGGCTAACAAGCCGATCAGTAGCGAAGAGGATAAAAGTAAAAAGTAAAAGTATGGTCTAGAAGAAATGTTTTTATTCTGAATTTTGAAAAGAAAACAACTGGAATACAAGATACAGTATAATCTGTACTGTATAAGAAAAATACAATTTTACAAGAAGAAGAAACAAAACACTGATTTTGAGGATAAAATGCACTGATCACTGAAGCTTGGATTAAAGTTATGAAAATAAGAAGAATTTTCATATCTATCCTTCAATTACAATAAAATTCTACAAAAAATATACAGTACTGTATAAGATTAAAATTAATTAATTCGTGAAAAAAACTGATACAGGGTACATTATTAAAAGAAATGCACCATATTCATTAGCTTTCATCTTATAAAAGAGACAAGTTACTCAATCTTACCAAGAAAATTACTTTACATATCAAAAGTTTGTCTTTCTTACATTCAATACATTGTCAAATATTTTTTACCTATCTGAATATAAAATCTCCAATAAATGATTATATTTGTCATAATCTTAATTTTAATATCTATTAACTTTTTACTAAAAAGATAAATATTTGAACTTGTCTCATTCATTAGCACAAAACAAAAGTTCTTCTATAATATTAACAAAACTAATATAGCTATAGTGTGTTTTTTCCCAGCTGGTAACAAATTCACGCTTTCAGAGGATGCATTTAATATATACTTATATTTAACCACAATAAGGCATACTAAGACAAATTACGTATCAGTAATATTACATTATGCAAAAACAATATTTTTAAAGATCAGAATCACATTGAAACATTACACGACCGTCAACAGAGGCGGGAAATATGACTGTGAACGGTCGTGTAATATTTCAATGTGCTTATGTTTGAAATAATGAATGTATGTATCTTTATATGATTTGGCTAAATATCTTTCTCATCAGAAACGGTCATCCCAACGATTATGAACAAACTCATTTAGAAACACATCATTACTTCAGGACAAAATTGGACAGGTTTGCAACAGCCAATCAGCTGTAACTCTTGAGGAGGGGATGGGGCATCTTTTCTCAGCTGAGAAAAAACACACTATAGTCTGCTACATATCAAGTATACCACTGTACTGTGTATACTGTACATGTAAGAAACACTACTGCATTATAAACAGATGACACACATGAGGTAGGTTACTTTGCCACAGAGACGTGATCGATCGCCCATGCGGCTAACGAGCCGATCAGTGGCGACGAGGATAAAGGCAAAAGTATAAGGTAATTGCCATTTCTTTTAACACTGGTAAAAAAATATTTCCAACCATTTAAAAAGTAATTTTTTTGTAAAGAAAGTTTTTCTTTCACAAAAGTAAAGAAAACTAATACCTCATGGGCCAAATAAATAAAAAATGCCAACAGTACTACACACAACATGCATATACAGTACTGTACCCGAGTTCAACAATATAAATTATCATTCACAATGACCAGTACAGTACAGTATACAGTACAGGGTACTTGAATTTTCACCCCAAAGAACATAAATGATAACTTTTTCACTTAACTTCTCAGGGCAAACAAAAATATGTGAAAGGAATATATATTAATTAAAATATTAAGATACTTCATTTTCATTAATTTAAGTTACTGTAATTAGTCCGGCAAATTCTTATACAGTCTCTTCAATTGATGGTACAAAAAATAAAATAAATTGTACACGTCTTTGAAAATCTTAACTCGGGTAAGCCAGACTTACCATCTGTAGCTTGTGGCCAACTCCCAAGCTTGTTGTTCTGGCAGTATTTCAGCCAGCAAACTTTACATTAAGCACAATGAGATTTGAAAATTTTTACTCTTAATGAATGGAAAAGATGAGAAAATGACTTATTATGATATCAAGCACATAAATCTTATCTTTGTGTATAATGAATAATAACTGTAAGGTCAACTTTTTAGTTTATACAGTATGCTTATATTAGGAGGCAAAGTCTTTTAATTTACTCAATAAAGTGTTTATTCTTCTATTTCCGCAAAATATAATGCAACGCAATATTAAAATCCAAAGTTAGATTCTATGTAATTAAAATATATGATCAAAGCTGAAACTTTTTTAAAAGTGACTTCAACTAAAACATCAATAACTCTGGAGGAGGTGCACTAACTTTGCTGGCCTGCCACAAAACATAAACTAAATAGCTTTAACTATTTTGCCATAATAATTAGTCATTATACAGTAAAAGTTTACTGTATGGTACGTGGAAAAATCCCAATGATCATTACTATGCTTATAAACTGTACCAAGATATTCAGCTACACAACTGCTACTAGTTTTAATTAGAGTACTGTACTGCATTATATATAGTTACTCCCAGCACTGACCACAATGAAGTTCATACCAAAATATGATCAATATCCAACAACAAAATAATAATGTGCAGCCAGCCCATGAGCTCAGGACTATGGGCAATTCCTCACTGATGTTGAATTTCGTTTGGTTTTCTTCAGCTGTGAACTTACTCTTTTTGAACTGGAAGACTTGTCTGTAATTTCCCTCTGCGACGGGCAGTAAGTTAATGTATGTGCATTGTCACCTGTTGCACCACACTTAGGACAAACATAGCATCTCAGTACAGGACATGTTAGAAGTCCAGTGGTGTCCCTATATATAAAAAAGTGATAAATGTCAATATAATTGAATAAATAGCACAGTACTATGACTGCGTTAGGTAGTTATATAATATAATAATAATATATATATATATATATATATATATATATATATATATATATATATATATATATATATATATATATATATATATATATATATATATATATATATATATATATATATATATATATATATATATATATATATATATATATATATATATATATATATATATATATATATATATATATATATATATATATATATATATATATATATATATATAGGGTGTCCCATAAGTTTCCATACATATGGTTTTTAACATTGGATTGGTCGGCGTGGTCCAGTGGAGTGGCCTCCCAGATCCCCAGACCTTACCCCACTTGATTTTTACCTTTGGGGGCATTTGAAGGTCATGGTGTATCAGGAAAAGGTACAAAACATAAATCCTCTCAAGCAACGTATCACCAATGCCATTACAAGCATAACTCCAGCTGTGCTTGAACGTGTTCTTCAGCAGTGGAGGACACGCATTGAAGAGTGTTTTCAACAGAATGGTAGTCATGTAGAGCATATTATATAAATAAAAATGGATTTTCATATAAAAAGTTTTATTTTTCCTATGTATGGAAATTTATGGGACACCCTGTATATAAATCCTAACTTAAGACCATTAGACCTTGAAACACAAAAAATATAAAAGAAAAATAATGAGTAAAACTAGCATTAAATGGAGTATTGATCATACTTTTACTTTTATCCTCTTAGCCACTGATCGGCTCGTTACCAGCTTGGGCAGTCGGTCATGTCTCTTGCTACACACTGTTGGCAAGTACTGGTCATGCAATGGCTCTTTAATGTACCTGAACCTGCTCCAGTATTAGTCAAGTCTGGTCTTGAAAGAGCTCACACTCGGTGTCGTCACAACACACTGGCAGGTTGTTCCAAGAGTTTACAACTCTCACTCGAAAAAATTTAGCCCTTACAGTTTTCTGGACTTGTGGCTTCTTTAACCTTGAGCTGTGGGTCCCTTGTGGGGTGGGCATCCCCCAGCGCCAGGTATGGGCACTCAACTGAGTAGAGCCTTCTGAGATGCTTAAACACCTCAATTAGGTCTGTAGCAGTTGCAGGCACTCCTAATCTCTCGAGATAACTGAGGTGCCAAAGAGCAGGCACCAGTCTGGTGACTCTCCTTTGGACATTTTCAATCAACTGACACTCCCCAGCAAAGCTCAGGGGCCTGATATCCTGTTTTCTACTTGTACTCGTAATCTCTTTAATGTGCCACCAATTTTGTGGAGTTATCTCATCAAACCTTGCCCCCATTTGGTAGACAATCATCCGTCCCTCTCCATTTCCCTTAAATAGTGTGGTTTAAAACCAATGGCTGGTCAATAGGCATCATGCTTGTCAAACCAGCACATACAGAACCTATCACTGGCCACTGTCTTGGCATTATAACTAATCTACCATTTATGAATAATTTTCCAGCTGATGATCCACAAGCCCAAGGGGGAGGGGAGGATATCCATGTGAGGCACAGCTAAAATAGGGGATTACATGACCAATCCTCCAATCTTATCGTTACAATTTTCATTAGGCAGCTCTCATTAACAATAGGTAGCTTAAAAAGTGGAAGGTGGGGCCACTAAGCCTCTATGGTGAGCACTAAAAGAATACTGAGCCTGGAACTCTCCCCCCTTACTATGCATTTCATTGGTATTGTCCTGGAATTTCATGAATCACATTTTTATGTCAGCATCCAAAACCCCAGTACTGTACAGTAAACTTTTACATCCTCCAAAAGATATTTTGGATATAACCATCTCCAAGAACATCCAAATCAAACTGTGCCGGACAGTACTTAAGGGAAAATGGAACTAATTAACCTACACTTGACAATGACAGCTTTGGCAACACTTATATATGAGATATTCCTCAAAGGTTCAGTATTAAATTAGGTTATCAGAATGACACCTTCATTTTTAACATCCAACATTATTTGCAATCAGATAATTCTCCAGTTGATATATCTTAGCATATCATTAACACTAAAATAAGACAATGGAACAAATTAATTCAAATTTACCTGAGGGAATGACTACAATAAACTTCAATTTCCTCATCATTTTTCTTGCAGAAGCTACACAATGCTTTCTGAAAAGAAATATACAGACAGAACTTTTCAAGTACTGTATTAGATACAAAGATTGTAGACCTGACTGATAACTCTAGGCAACATAGTTCTCAGAAATAAGTAAACTTCAGTCCTAAAGGCATGATAATAATTCAAAGCTTAACACTTTAAAATATGTCCCTAGTAAATAGACACCCAGGTACAGTACCTACAATGAATTTGTGTACCTTACCTACTCTGTGGCCACCACCTCTAGAAGAGGCCTTAACAAGGGATATAACCTAGATGCTTTTTATTCAAAGGGGCTTCAGAGCATTCTGTTTATTATAACAAGTTAAACTTAAGTACATACTGCACAGTACCTGTAATTCCTTTATTACTCCAGCTATAGACACTAAGAATTCTAATCCAAAACTTCCCAATAAATAATCAAATAACAATCTCTACGATGCTAGAGAACAAAGATTTACAATGATGTACATATTCTAGTTGATATGGAGTTACTTGGATCTTTCACAAATTCAAGCTGACACTTACTTTGTTTCTGTAACAAGCTGGAGGTCTGTCACAAGTTGGAGGACTGTTAGTTGGAGCTGTGTCACAACCTGGAAGAGGTTTCCAAAGCATAATCTGATGGTCTGAATAAATAAACTTCTTTTTCTTTTTTCTCTTTTTCTTTTTTTACGGGCATTAGCCCACCCGGACACAGGTAATTTTTAAGGACCCACATCAAGGCTTTGGGGCAAAAATATAAAATAATAATAATAATAATAATAATAATAATAATAATAATAATAATAATAATAATAATAATAATAATAATAATAATAACAATAACACGACATACTCGACCTACGACCACCCGAACATACGACCGCCTCAGTCGTACCAAAATTTTGTCAAATTACGTATTTTCGAGTCCCAACGTTAGTGAGTGCGCTGTGTACTAAAAACTTTTTCGTTTGTAATTCACTTAAAAATGGCTGGCAAGCATAAAAGTGAGAGTATTGTGGTGCTGAGAAGAAAAATTTTAGATTTTCTATGTATTATTTAAGCATTTTCGACTTACGACCAATTGAATTACAACCTAGATTTGGGCCCCTAACCCCGTCATAAGTCGAGGAGCAGCCGAGGTACTCCTCGACTTAAGACTTACTCGACATACGACCACCCGGACATACGACCGCCTCAGTCGCACCAAACGTTTTCAAATTACATATGTATTTTCCAGTTCTGAAAACGTTTCCGTCCTGTACGAGAGCGTGGCGTGGGCTGGGCCGCCTCGTGGTGTACAGCGTCCATGCCATAGCGCACTCAGTTGGTGTTTGGCCGTCGTTGTTGTTGGTAGTGATCGCACTGTGTACTGACAATATTTTCGGTTCTAATTCCCTTTAAAATAAATGGCAAGCGTAAAGTGAGAGTTCTGGTGGTGCTCAGAAGAAACAAATGGCAGAGGCATTTGCTACTATTAATAAGGGGATGCAAATGTTTGACGAAATGGATCAAAATGTTGAGCGTTTTGCAAAGTTGACACCATGATCCAAGATGCACTTGCTTGCTACAGGGAGATTTACAATGAAAAGAAAAGGCAAACTGTGCAGTCTAAATTGGACATATATTTTAAGAAGTCCCCCATTGCTGTCTCCTCACGCCCCACCAGTGCTGCCTCTTCACTCCCTAAAGATGATCCAATACCTTCAACAAGCAAGTATGTTAGCCTGTCTGAAAAAAGCGACATTGATGACCCACCCAGCCCTGTCTCCTCCTCTGCTTCATCCAATTAATGTAGTCTTCATGTTAAATTAAAAAATTATTGGGGCCCCGTGTGCATTCAGCTGACTACATTAAAGGTAAGTGTACAGTAACACTTTATTCATTTTTCATTATTGATTACTTTTACTATACTGTATTTCATCTAAGATTTTCTATGTACTGTATTATTTTTTGCATTTTCGACTTACGACCTGGATTTGGGACCCAAACCCCCATCGTAAGTTGGGGACTGCCTGAAATGAATACACACTGCCTTACAAGATTGTATACATTTTTTCTGAGACACCCTTATACTGTATATGGAAATTCAGGTTCAGGTTAGGTTAGGATTAGCATAGCTTAGGTTAGGCCAGGTTAAGATTTCAATGTAGAATATTGAAAGCTTAAAGGGATATAATTACTTTTGCTATTCATTGCTCCAAAATAAAAAATCACATTTTTGGAATCACCACAAAAATCTGCATTAGAATTTTTTTTTTTTTAGTGCAGAAATTCCCTAGATTCCTGTGTTGTCCAAAGGAAAAAATTACCAGTGTATTGGTCTGGCAATCCCCCCCCATCTGAGCATTCTCCTAACTATCATATTTACATGTACAATACAGTGGTCTGAGAGCTCCTCCAGTTTGGTAAGGTTAGATTAGGTCAGGATAGGTTACAATAGGTTAGGTTAAGTTTGGATAGGTTAGGTTGTTAGGATAGGTCTGGCTAAGGGCTGCATATTACTATTAATCACTAAGGGAGTATTCAAGGTGGGTGAGCTCAAAGTCCAATGGGTAATATGAAAGCTCCCAGACCTTGTATACAGCTGCCTGGGAGGTCCCTTTGTTTTGGGGTATTATTTTAGTTTTGGTCATCCGGGGACTCTGGAGGTGAAGCCTGCCCGGTTAAGTTTGATATTGTTCCTGGGTTCTGTAGCTAGATTAGATTAGGTTAGATTAGTTTGAAAATCCAAATACTGTACAGGGATGACCAAAACAAAAAGTTCAATTTTTGTGTATGCACATCAATAAAATCACTGTGACTGGGGGATCACAGACCTCGACACTGGTTAAGTCAGGTTCTGTACATTTTCGTGTCTAGTATCATGAAAATAGTGAAATATTGTATTTCTAAAATCTTATTGCAATTCCAAAAATTCTTTATGGTGGTAATTATCTGCTCCACCATTATCATTATTTTTGCTTATTTTTTTCGTCCTTAACAATAAACAGTATGTAACAGAACTGACCAACCAGTTAGTGACCTGACATGGGTAATTATTTACGACTTCACAGCCACTAATTTTTCATAGAAACGCACTGTTTTTTTTTTATATAGTGGACACTGTCGTAGTTATGACAAATGTGTTATAAAGTATTTATTTGGTATTATTTTCTTGTAGCTCCGTTCATTCCTACCACTAATCTATTATCATATTCGAATAAGACGTCTAATTATAAGATAATTTTCATCTATTACATTACCGGCGGAAATGCATAATAACGGAGATAGCTCTTCCAAAAAATTTTCTATTTTCTTCTTCCATTAACATCGCGCCATTATCGTCTGCCTCTCAGTGTCTCTCTCATCTCCTTCATAAATCATGATGCACATGCGTACCCGTACACGTCACGCAGTCAATCAAAAGCATTTTTGTTAATTCAGAGTATATTTGGCCCAATCAAAATCGAGTTTTATTTTGGGTCTCATATTTTGAAATTCAAGTTCAGTTCTGACCATGGAAGTCTGAGGTGGATGTCACTTAAAGTATATGGAGCTGATCGCGCATTTTTGGAGAAAAAAAAATAACGTAGAACTATGTCATTTTTTCGATCGCATGGTGTTCTTCCCACCTCAGTAAAGTGTACTAAGAGCAAGAAGGAATGTAAATATCGTAAAGACCAACATATGTGGCGTTGTGCAAGAATCCCAGAATGCAACGACGAACAAGAACCAGGCCAATAAGGTAAGAAATAGGTGATTCCATCATATGGTGAGAGTCAATTAAGTTAGGTCAGGTCAGGTTAGGTTTGGTTATTGTTTTTCTAGTGCTTTATTGTGTATTTGTCAGTCGCTTAGGCACTTTTTTTTTTCTCGGAAAAAGTGAAACGAAAAAAAATCGCAAAAAAACCGGCTAATTTCCGCTAAAAAGGAAGGTCATATTCGGTCTCAGCACACACAAATACACTAGAAAAATATATTTTTAACTTGCTACAAGTGAACGGAGCTACAAGAAAAATTTACCATTTATTTAATAGGTTAAGTTAACCTAACCTAAAATAACTTAACACCTGTCGTGGGCGAACTTACTGTTACCGAGACGGTGGGAAGTGGCTGTGAAGTCCTCCATATTAACCCTGACAAGTGATAAACACAAACAGTATGGCACTGTAACGTTGACTTACCCAAGACCGGCCAGTGGCGGCGTAAGGGTGGTGAAGAATACAGCCTCTCCAGTTCAGCGGGCAGCCATGCCGGGGGAGGTGGCGGCAGCTCCAGGCCCCATAAACCCTGTCCTTTCTCGTACCTATCGGTAATTTGGACGAAGACAGTTCTTGTCACCAAAATGCTTGTTTATGTCATGTGTGTTAACCCTAGATATGATTATCCTTCAAGTATAACCACTAAATAAAGAACCCAAAGCTTAGTTTTACTAGTTATGGTCCCTAAAATTACCTAATACTTCCAAAGTAGTATACACACTAATGGTATTACATAACTTGTTTGGCTAGTAACTTACTTAGTGTTGCGAGTCATGATTAATTTTTCTCCAACCAAACTACGCACAAGGGACTTTCTTCATCAGTACTGGCCACGGCCTTTACAACTCGTACGCCAAAGTCTCTTAAAAGATTTAAAAAGACTCCTCGTAAAATTAATTACGTACTATGGTGGACTAAAGTTCCTCAGCCAGCCACAATGTGACTGAATCACCTGAGGTTCGAACTGAGGAAAGTGGTGTAATGGTCCAACAGATGGCTCACTGTGTATGGCCCGGGGATGGCAGCCAGTGAGGGTGGGCTGAGGAAGGAACTTTTGTCCTCCATAGTATATATATGAATTATTCAATAAATTCTTACTAGCTTATTATATTTAAAAACTTTTTGATAGGAAGATTAATTCATTGTTATATTAGATACACACAATCCTAGGGCCATTATTAAGCAATATGGCGTACTCAAAGGCGAGTATTCACGCTCAGCGGTTCATATGCAACCCAAAACCTACACATTAGGCAGTAAAACCTGGCAGAAAGGTAAATACATATTTTAGTAACTTCCACCAACAACAACACAAAAGCATAGGCAAGGATTCTGGCACTATGGGAGGATGGCTCACTCAATGGTCCTCCCGTGACGGTGGCAGGTCGTTGGCGTCGTCAAGCGGCCGCCAGTATAAACACATTAAAGCCCCTGTGTTGTGTGATAACATCAGATTATTCGATATAAACAATTTATATATCGTTAATAGGTTATTTGTATCCAATTTTAGATATCTAGAAATAATTTTCCAAAGGAAAATTGATTAGTTTGCAGTAAAAGGTAATTATTACGTAGGCACCTTGAGAACTTTCCTGTACGTAGTCTATGTTCCATCCTCCGAGTTCACTGGGAGGATAAGAGAACAAAATGGCAGTATTCTCGCTTACACCAATTGTAGGAGCATCGAGGCTACAATTACCCATTAACAATTGCCTTGGACTGGCCATGCTGCCTGACCTCCGGGACTCAATTTCACTGTCACTCTAGTTTATTAATAGATAATTCGGCCTTTATTTCGGGGCCAAAATTGTAGTCCCATCACCAAGAGGAAATTGAGAAAGAACCGTTTATTTTATTTTGCCTTTCTGGTAAAAGATATACAGTATGTTCACTCATTATTATTGTATATATGACAATATACTTTTTTCCATTCTAAGAAAAAAATAGGAAGCTATGCTACCTGATAAAGAAAATAACAGCATTCCTGTGGTAAGGCGGTCTTTAGGGTCCAGTAAGAGGTGAAAGAACTCTTAACACAGTCCTTTTTTTTCTAATTGCCGGAACACAGCTCTCATGTTACCACCCTGATATTACCCGAGAGATCCCCTCCCACCTCAACACCTGGAGGTAGCAAGGAGACACTCTGGGGACCAATCATACTTCAGTACCTGGAGGGGGTGATAACATGGTGAAGGCAATATGTTGTTCATTGTATGAGAATATCTACCTGGTCTGGAGGTCCCGGTGTGAACATCTACATAAGAGTCGTTGAATGAACCATACGTTCACCAACCACCTTCATAGACCACATATTTCATTCTTCCCCTTTTGACGCTAAACTTTGGCAATTGATCATACTCAATAATTATTGTGTTGACACTTGAGCTCCTTCCAAGAATGCAGACGAATTATTACTTTCTTCATATTAGTCTCTTTCCAACAAGTTGTAATTGACAGCTGTCTATCACCTTGTAATTCGTTCTTCGATTTTTTTTCGTCAGTATCACGATTAAAACTCTATTACGCTACTTATTAACGTAATCTGTACATATAGTAGGGGTCCTGATGATAGGTCTGGCGTTTAGATGGCTCCTTATACCGCGTCGTATTACAGAGCGAATCAGTCAGCTGATCCGGTAACACAACACTAGGACGCTTTAATTAACTCTTAATGCTGCACTGAAAACTACAAATTGATTTTCAGTTATTTCAATCGTTAATTTGTGATGTAGTTATGGGCAGGGGGAAATTGTTGATATTAATATAAAACTTAAGGATATTTAACTGAAACCAGTGTGCAACTATACAAACTGATAACCACAAGGTAACAAGAAAACACTAAGTTCCCAAGCGCTTTGGTGTAATTCACACCTTCAGGGTTGAGGACAGACTAAGGAGTAATACTTGACAAGGCTAATATATACAGTAGAGGAGAGTGAGATCAAGTCCCTAGGGTACAGCAGGTATCCACAATGTTCGGGTCATAAGGCAGTGACCCTTACTAATCTTTTTAATAAAAAAAAAAAAAAAAAAATTGACCATGCCATCTCCAAGAACAGCAGCTGTCCGTAGTCAGGTCATAGGGTAAGATGACCCAACCTCACCTGGTTACAAATGTTCTTAATCACAAAATTATCCAATTTGTACACTCCATTACTTAATTTCATGTTGACAGATTCGGTATGTTTAATAATATTGAGGAGGCATTATCCCAGTCAATGCAACGCTTATTATGTCTCATGTGAACGAACAGAGCATTGGATTCCTGGCCAGTCCTAACACTTAATTTATGCCGTTTGTCAAGTTAAAAGATCATTACCTGTCTGGCCTAAGTAGAACATATTACATTCCTTGCAAGGAACCTTGTAAATGCAGCCGCCTGCATTGTTGGGGGGTTCTTAATTAACATTTGCTTTACAGTGCATGAGTTTTAAATGTCACATTAGCGTTCCAGGTTTTCAGAAGTATAGAAATTTGAGATAAATTTTTGTTAAAAGGTAACACTAAGAGATTCTTATTGTCATGGGTTGGCTTAGGATGTTCTATAAAAAAGATTTCTTAGTAATGTTAAGGCATTTGTCTATAAAAGACCTAGGGTACTTAAGGTTCAAGCCAATATTATAGATATATTTATATTCCTCATCAATAAATTCCGGGCTGCATATTCTTAGAGCACTTAAAAACATTGATGAAAATACCGCTTGTTTGACTATTATGGTGGGCAGAATAATAATGAATGTATGAACACACATAAGTGGGTTTCCTATAAATACAGTACTGAACTTAAAGTTGTTACCTATTCTGTGGATCAGACAGTCTAGGAATGGTAATTTGCAGTCATGCTCTAATTCCACAGTGAATTTGATCGAGGGGATAAGTTGTCAAGTCGTAGTAGAAAAGCTTTTAAGTCCTCATTACATGGTCAGACACATATTACATCATCTACATATCTAAATCAGACTGCTGAAGATGGTAAAATATTACTAAGTTTCTTCTCAAAGAATTCCATATATAAGTTGCTTAATATTGGTGAATGCGGATTACCCATTCCCATACCAAATTTTTTTGCATATTCTCCATTGAATTCAAATTTACAAGCCTTAATACATAAGTTTGATAAGTTCGATGAAATCATCTTTCGAGACGGGCAATGAAATATTATCCAGTAAATCATCAACTGGGACCTTGTAAAGTGTTATATCAAAATTGACCAGTTTAAAATCATAATTAATGTGTAAAGTTATTGAGTTTATCAACCAGATCCGTATTATTCTTAATATTAGTTAGAAATGTTGCCAACTAAGGGATTTAGTAAAGAAACTAACCATTTAGATAACTTATAAATGATTGACCCAACTTTGCTAATGATGAGTCTTGCTGGGTTATTAGGCTGGAGTCGAAGATGTGAAATACACGAAAGCGCTTGGGAACTTCGTGTTTTCTTGTGGTTATCAGCATATACTTGAATCACGCGCACCTACAGTGATTTACTTGCGCATATATATATATATATATATATATATATATATATATATATATATTGAAAAGCACTAAAGAGTACTAACATGGTGGTGTTTTTAGGTTATGGTGATATGTTAGGGCCCTAGGAGTAGGAGAGTATTTAGGTTATGGTGTTAGGGGAGTGTATAAGTTATGGTGGTGTGTTAAGGTTATGTTTAGGTTATGGTGGTGTGTTAGGGGACGGTCTAGGTGAAGTCTTCATTGACTTCTCTTGTAGCTATTATTTGATGTAAAGTGGGCGGAAGCAGCTCAACATATTTTCAGGGTCCTATCGTTGAAGAAATCTTGATCTGCCCAGTTTTTATCATTTGGAGAGTTGAATGACAACAGATATAAGCTTCTACTTACATCCACTCAAGTAAAAACTTCTCATCTTGGTATAAGGATTTTTCTTCAACTTAAAAACTATAACTTCTGGTACTGCTCTATGTGATTTTAGTGGCAGGGATGCCTTTTTTTTATAATACAGTACATTACAGTACATCCCTTGCACCATCTTGAAGCTCTAGATCATACCAGATTTCCTATGGCAAGTCATTGATGCGGTTTCTTTGAACATTCTCGATTGCACTTATGTCCTTTCAAGTTGTGTTAAGTCCACATAGCAATGGCAGTTCTAAAACTGCACAAACACCTGGTTGTTGGTACCCAAGTCAGCAAATGATATCCAGATTAGGCATACTAGATTTAACGCACTAAAGTATTCAGCGAGTATATCATTTAAACAAAGTACAGTATATGAGATTCATACATCATGATACAGTACTGTTAATTACCACCCACAGGTCTTTCATCTGACCTCTATGGCTTCTTCTCCTGTCCTGCTAATATCTATACCTTCTATCAATAATTTGAGCACATTACTGTACTTATGGGATAGTCTTATAAATTTGTCTGTGCTTGGTGTCCTATGAACATACATACATACAATATATATAAAATATATATATATATATATATATATAAAATATATATAAAATATATATATAATATATATATATATATATATATATTTCATGTAGATCCACAATGAAAACGTGGATAAGATAAATCTTGATAAAATCACACGAGAAAATGGAAGCAACGGAGCACCCTAGCTTTCGTCTTTATTCAAGACATCTTCAGAGGCAACTGCGTTGCCTCTGAAGATGTCTTGAATAAAGACGAAAGCTAGGGTGCTCCGTTGTTTCCCTTTTCCCGTGTGATTTTATATAAAAAAAAAAAAATTATATATATATATATATATATATATATATATATATATATATATATATATATATATATATATATATATATATATATATATATATATATATACATAATGAAGCATTCAATATCAAAGGTATTGAAGTTGACTAAAGTGTCTTGTACATTACTGTACTTGGGTATTCTGTTTGCAATTAGGTCCTACTCTTACTCAGCACTATACAGTGCAGTACTTAACACAAGACTAATCTCCCTTTAATGGCACTTTTTTTAAATAGGGAGTACATCATACTGAGACACTGTTAGTTTCCATATGTATTAATGTTTTCTTTCTGCCGATATGTATATAAAATAACTGGAGAAACTGTACTGAATATACAGTATTAACCATAAATATGCATAGTGAACTTTTCCATTGATACTAACCTTACAGCTGTCTACAATGAGGATGTAACAAATGTGCCAACTAAACTTATATCTTTGTGCAGTACTTGGATTGTGCAAGTCTAAATTATTTTTTCTTGGTGTTTCTTTATTGTTTTATCAGTATCATTCACACTAAGGAGTAAAAACATTTTTCATTAAACTTAAAGAAAGTATTACAGGCTTGGAAAACAAACTTAATTGTGAGGTTACAGGGATAAATTGTTTCACGAGTTCAAAGGGTGACAGGTGGCAAGAAGATGGGAGGGAAAATTGTTTGCCTCAAAACTGCAGCAATTCCAATTCCACTTTTGTCCTTGGGGGAAAAAAAAAAAAAAAAAAATAATGGTTTTATGGAACTTGGAAATCGGTGTTCTACAGACAAAGAATAAATATTATGGAAAAAAAAAGAGAATTACAACATGGTATGGTATTACTCATCAGCATTATCAATAATGCAGTGGACATACATCGAGCATGAGTAAGAACAGAAAGAGAGCAAATGAATGAGGTCATACAGATGAGATGCATATAAATAATTAGAAAAAATACACCGATTGATCTTGTAATTAAGTATAACACGGAGTAGCCTGAGCTCTAGTAGAAATGGGGACATTTGAACCCCCGCCCTTGTAACACTTGTGGAGAATATACACGACCAGGTTGTCTCTTGCCGTCAAATAGGTTTAGGTACTCAAGGGTAGGAATAGAGGGACTGTTCACACATTTATATTAACATTAATGTTTATAAAGCCAAATGTAACTTCTGGTGGACCAACCCTTTCTAAAATACACTGTAACCTATCAAATAGTTGAATGATTATCCATTGCTGATAATTTAAGGTTTCTAATAATTGTAAAAAAAATTACACACACACATATATATATATATATATATATATATATATATATATACATATATATATATATATATATATATATATATATACATACATATATATATATATATATATATATATATATATATATATATATATATATATATATATATATATATATATATATATATATATACACACACAGCTCCTCCCCGACTTACGACCACCCAGACATACGACAGCCTCAGTCGTACCAAAATTTTGTCAAATTACGTACTGTCGAGTCCCAACATCAGTGATTGCGCTGTGTACTGACAAAATGTAAACTTCAAGAACTATGAATGATTCAATATGGAAGGTTTGATGAAAATATGTTTGACAAGAGATTTTAATGCTAAAAAGGATAGGGATGTTGTGAAGTATTTCATACAAGATAATGAGGCATGATGCCAGCCAATGAGGCATGTTGCCAGCCAAAGATATTATAAAAACAACATGAAGGAAAAATTACCTTCCATCTGCTTCACTACAGCTGAACAAAAGTTCAACTAAAAAAAACTTTTACAAAAGTTCTACAAGTGCTATTCAAATTAAAAAAAATTCTAGTATTTTTAGTAGTTGTGAGTGTTTAATCTAAATTAACAATACCAAGTCATTTGTATCATTGAAAGTAATTGTGCACTCACATTTAAACAAATTATGCTGATGAACTGACATGCTGCTAAATTAGTCTTGACCTTTTTAATCAAAATGCGGGAACCCTTACCATTTCATTTTGGAATCACAGAACTATCCGGCACTGCCAAGAAAAAAAAAAGTTACATAAGCAGTAACTGGAAATAGGAAACCTATTTTCTCATCTAAAAGTCACGTCGATGATATCTATCAGGATCAAAGTATGATGTAACAACCACCCTGTTAGCAAACTTGCGTCCAGTGAGGTTTTGCTGAGCTTTCTGGCAGTCTAATACAGAATTGAATTCTACAAAAACTTTGCCCACCCCTGGGACTTCTACCCCTTCAACTGGCCGTGGAATTTCAACTGAGCGCACTATTCCATATCGGCTGCATTCTTCACGGATGTCCTCAAGGATATCTTCGTACTCCTCGTCATCCTTCAACTCATCCGGCATTACCTGAAAAAATAAAAAGTATAAACACAAAATATACGGTAAGTTTACTAGTCTCCCACTCAAAAAACACACATACATAAGTATTCCATGTGCACTTCCTTAAATCCTCAACTCACATACACACTAAGTTTATCTTAACATCCACACCTCTTGTCTTAATTCACTAAGCATATCTAGTTATTATGTTGATTTATGCCAACACATTCCCATATGAAATAACTGTAGTCTAATATCCAGGATCCACAAGCTGAATTTTTAGCATTACTAGATGGACTTTAACTATTTACTAAATTCAAAACATATTTAACTTACTTATGAGACCACCACTTATCTGTACTCATGGAGCATGAATGTAAGTTAAGTTATTTAACATTTATTTGGAATGAGAAAGGAGTATAAATCAGTATACCCACAAGAAAACCTTATGTTTTTAAGAACAGTGTATGAAATTAAACTAGCAACAAAACCTTAACTTTCTTGAGAAAACTGAAGAAAGTGGGATACTTTTGGCATGGTAATGGAATACTCATAATGTACCCACAAATAACCTTTTCATTTCTATGCCTAGTGTATGTGATAAATACTCAATAACCTAGTATAGAATGCATTACACATGCCTATTGCTATGAAACTACCTGTAGTGTCAAGAATATTTTGTATAAAGTTCCATTTTTTTTTCTAAAATTAGGTGTGCAAAATGCCCCCCACCCCCATACTTACCATGTTCATGAGACACAACACCTCAGTGGCAGGCCCTGATCCACTCTGTAGCTGTAAGCCAGGAACCTGTATCTGCACTGGGGCCTGAGCCATGGCATTAGCATTCTTGGCTCCCACACTTGCTCGCTGGACCACAAGCTTCTTATCACCTAGCTGCATTCCATTCAATCCATGAATAGCCTAAATAAAAACATCACATTAAAATATAACATTCTTCAGGGATTCTAGTGAAGAGCTATTCATATGCTGAAAAACTATATTCCTTTAACAAAATAATTAAGCATTCTGACATGGTAGAATTCATATCAATGTGATACACAAATACAAGTACAGTACATTTTGGTTCATAAAGTCTCACTCATATCAACACAATTTCCAATAAAAAGTCATGAAGTTGTCCCGCAGTGAAGGACACAGTATCAAATAATGATTTACAAAGGTTCTATTGTACTGTACTTCTAAAGAGGGCAATTGATGTGAAATAAACCCCCAGCCCATCTATTTTGTACAAAGTCTAAACTATTAGATCAAACAAAATTTATACTGGTACTACAGCAATCTTTCACCTTCAAAGCATGCACAATATTATCTTACCTAAGTCTTTTTCTTTATGTACATACACTACTATGCAAAATAAGAGAAGAGGGAGTTGTTGGGTGACATACTTTATACATTTACCAACAGTCACAGAAAAACCGTAACAAATTATTTATCTTTCAATTAGTAGAAGTTTTAATTAAATTTTCAATTTTAGTTCTACAACTCATGCTATAAAAGGATTATAATATCATACATAATGGTAATTCATGGTCTATGTGGTTCCTCCTGATCCTTACTTTTCCAATGTAGTATTTAATGTAGTCGGCCCTTAACATACGCGGGGGTTACGCAACAGATACCTGTGATGTTAAAAATCCGCGTATATGTGCTGCCCCCATAAAAAAACCCTGGTCCCCCCCATGTCCTTATTTACCATATATACCTGTGTGTAGTTCAAGTTTTTAAGACCAAATTATTTGGCAAAAAATTGGTCGACCTCTAAACGGGTAATAGTTTCGTTAGGTTGAAAAATATTTACCAGTAACTACCAGTAAACAATGGAAATGACACACCAACACACCACCAGCTGTGAGTGTCGGTACAGTTGCCAGGGCAGATCTCTTGCGTCATCATAGCAAGCCCAAAGTAGCCAAATGCATGGTATGGTATACACAGGACGATGTAAAACAAAGTATTCATTTTTTTAAAGTTTATTTATAGATCCTGTACATAAATTTTTGTTCATTACATTTGAAACATCAATCTTTGTTAATTAAATTTGAAACAAAAGAAAACTACGATACCGTATTTCTAAATACCTGGTATTTTCATTAAAATATTACATCACAAGTATATTTTACCTTAACTGTGACTGAATGAATATAGGTATTCTCAGAAATAAATATGGAAATATAATATTTTTGCTGGAATGACGTACATATTACAGTGGAAAGACGAAAACAATGACTTTCGCTTTCTTTCGTTATTCAAAAGATTTTACCGTAATCGCTTTTCGAATGGTTTTCAGTTAAAAAACTGTTGTACTCGTACTGTATTACAATAATATTCTATCCTATCATTAGCCTTATAATCCCACAACTGAAAACCATTCGAAAAGCGATTACGGTAACATCTTTTGAACGAAAGAAAGAGAAAGTCATTGCTTTCGTCACAATTTTATCCCACTTTCCACTGTAATGCGTACATCATTTCAGCAAAAATATTACATTTCCATGTTGTCAGAAATGAATGGTAGTTTTGTTGAAACGTAATGTACAATATTTAATATTAAAAAGCAAAAATAGCTATAAAAACAATTAATACACCCGTAATGTACTGACTGGCATCTCCACTCGTCCCTGCTCCCGCGTCCAAGGTCACCACTCCTCCCAACTCGCTCCCTCCTCTACCCCCTCTGCCTCCTCCCCGTCACTACTGCCGTCAACGAACACAAATGTTTTGTGAATAACTGCACCTCCACTTCCTATGTACAGTACTGAATTGTACTGTGCTGTGCATTTTTACAAACAATAAACATGGCAAGAAAAGCAATTAAAAAAAAAAAATTTCACTTTACTGTACAGTACTTATCCTCGGCGACAGGACGGGGGTCATCGGGCTCATCGTCACTCAATTCCATAACAGGTAGTGAAGTGGGGGCGACGGTGGATTCAGCTGCTTCCTCACTGCCGCCAGTGACTGATGGTGTTAAATCTCTCCTTCGGTGATCAAAGAACATGGTGAGGGGAGTTGTCGTCTCTTTCTTTCATTTCTCCCATGATGTTTTTGTATGGAGCGAAAACGTCATCCATCCCTCGCACGTATTTCTTGGCGTGCATTATGGAGGGGTCCATACTATAGGCCAGGTTTTTCAGTGCCTCAATATTCCTGGTCATCTCCCCCAACTTCTCCAATGTTATTTCTTGGTGCTCTTCCTCATCCTCTTTCCCTTTCGCTTCCTCTTCCTTGCCTGAGTCTACTAACTCCTGTAGATCCTCCTCGGTCAGCTCAGTGTCGTGCTCTTCAATTAGCTCCCTAATCTCGTCCTCTGCCATGTCCCGGAAGCCTTCAGCAGCCACTTTCCTTGACAGTGCCAGGGTCTTTCTGAATATTTTCATTAAAATCCATCAAAATCATTTTCCTTGTCATCGTCTTAAGCACCAAACAGCTCCTCCCAGTCTTCTCCTTGAACAGGGCTAGAGGGTACGTGTTTTTCGAATCGTTTTCAATAAAAAAAATGTTACAGCACATGTATATTTTACCTAAACTGTGCCTGAATGAATATATTCTCAGAAATAAATAGTAGTTTTGCTGAAACGTGATGTATTTCAATGTAAAATAGGATAAAATACATGACGAAAACAAAAGACTTTACCTACCAGGTAACCTTCCAATGTTCAAGAGATGTTACTCGTTTTTTTAATAGTTTTCGGTTAAAATACTGTTATATTACAATGATATTATATTCATACTGTGCTTGATATACTACATTCACAGAAATGTAATATTTTTGCTGAAATGACGTACGTATTACAGTGGAAAGTGACGAAAACAATGACTTTCGCTTTCTTTCGTTCAAAAGATGTTATCGTAATCGCTTTTCGAATGGTTTTCGGTTAAAAAACTGTTGCATCACAAGTGAATTAGGATAGAATTTTATTGCAATACAACAGTTTTTTAACTGAAAACCATTCGAAAAGCGATTACGGGAACATCTTTTGAACGAAAGAAAGCGAGTCATTGCTTTCGTCACTTTCCACTGTAATAAGTACGTCATTTCAGCAAAATATTACATTTCCATATTCTCAGAAATAAATAGTAGTTTTGCTGAAACGTAATGCATTTCAATGTAAATTAGGATAAACTACATGAAAACAAAAGACTTTACCTAGCCTTCTGATGTTCAAGATATGTTACTCGATTTTTTAGTAGTTTTCGGTTAAAATATTCTTATATTAGTGATATTCTATTCATACTGTGCTTGATATAATACATTCACGGATATGTAATATTTTTGCAACTACAATGCTGATGTCAACACAAGCGTGGTTACAGCGAGACTGACTGAGTGAGGGAGAGCTGTGTGTGTGTGAGGTTGCGGGAGTGAGCGGTGTTCGGTGCCGCGCGCGAGTTGAATGTACTTCAATTACTTGTACAGAATATTCCTCCGGCGGGGCAATCCGCGTATTTGCAAATCCGTGTATTATAAACCCGCGTATGTTAAGGGCCGACTGTATTGCTATTTAGAAGCAGGCAATTTTGTGACCCTTTAGGGACACAAACTTCCATATAATGAGGGTTTACTGTTGCCCAATTCTGGATAATCTAAAATAATAACTGCTCAAATATAATGTATACCATACCTGATCTGTCAGACTGACGTCAACGTACTCGCAGAAAGCATAGCCTTTTGAGAGTCCAGTAGCAGAATCCTTCACCAGGTTGAATGCTCGAAGTTGACCAAATGACATAAGCAGCTCCTTAACCTGGAATAATTACACCCACAAAAATGTACAATACTATAATAAGTATATCAAAACAAAATTTAAATATACAAAATTTGAGGACAAGAATCTAACAATCACCAGATGTTACTGCATGTAAGCACACCCATTTCAGAATTACCTAGCTAAAAGGACTACAAACTTAAACAAAATGTCAAAGCCAAAAAAACACACACATATATATATATATATACATATATATATATATATATATATATATATATATATATATATATATATATATATATATATATATATATATATATATATATATATATATATATATATATATATATATACACAGGTATATATCTAGTATAGTACTCCCACTACAGCACACATGTTCAAATAAAGCAACACCAAGGTCATAATGAACTTGTTATTCACTGATGGTTATCAAAAAGACTGATCAAAAATGGTAATGTAGATGCTGCACGAGTTATATATTTTTTGTTTTAATTTTCTTATAAATAAAAGCCCAGCCCAAACTGCTACTGCCATTTAAGCATCTATAATTTAATATTCAAACTTTTCCCAAAAAATGTGCATAGTACCTAAGTACACTACAAATGCAAGTAAACACAGGCAAGTGCGTAGTGAAAGTGGGTTCCGTGGGCATGATAGCCTATTAGGGGCAGTGTTGATACAGTACACTGTAGACTAAGCCATTTCTTTGTACACAAAGAGGTAGCGACTGGCACTCCACTGAAGGGCCTTCACTTTCCTAACTACAACATTAGATACCCTTTCACATCTGAGTGGACTGTGGGTTCTCTAGGTGCAAACCAGCAATCCATAGGAAAGTAAGCAAGAACTGTACACACGGATACAGTCAACTACTGCACTCCTGAAGTGTAAAGTAACTTCGTAAATACTGTAGATACGATCAGAATAAACGGTTTCAAGAAGCATACCGTGTACACACACACACACACAAAAGGTTCTCATCACTAAAGTTCTACTGAACTGGGGTTGACTCTAATCTATAACTTAACACAGTAGTCTTAGAAACCCAACCTAAAAGACTATACCATCTAATTTTCAGCAGACTGTTAAGAGGTAACAAAACGATCGACAAGAATGGGATTAGGAGTCCAATTCCCTGAAGATTGTTAACCTCAATGTAACACCAAACAGCCCACAAATGTTTCCAACAAGTTAAATGGATCCACCTGGATGAACGATCAAAATGAAGAACTGATGCTAGTTATAATTCCTGTTCAACGATTCAGATTTGGTAAGATGCGGAATGTATCCACTTGGAAGAATGTGAATCTTCACCTGGGAAATAAATGACATTTGAATGCAATGTTGTAAAAGATGATGCTATATGTATGCAGTGCAGTACTTGAGGATGATATCTTTATTAATGAAGGAGGATTAAGAGCATGAATAAATAGGACCGTGAAAACTAGTAGGGATGAACATATTGCGAAATAGATATCGAAACAAATATTCGCCTTTCCTAAACCTCTAACTTGTAATGACAGGAATAATTAATATTGGGTTTTGGAATTAAACAGGACAATGCAGTAAGTCATGTACCTGTGCATATAGGTGACATGGAACAATAATCATGCAAACCAGCCTTTTCTTGTCATGATGCAGGATGGATTGGCAGGTAGTGGTTTAACCCATCCCCTTGGCAGGATACTAGGCCACAGAAAATTATTTAATTTCTCAAATAACTGAAACAAATGCAGTGAGTGCCTGGTAATACAGCACTATCGTAGCTACATGTGGTATAGAACTGATATCCTATGGTAATATAGATAAGAAGAGATATATATATAGAATACTTAAGGTTTGGCTGGAAGTTTAATTTTCCACATAACTGGTACACTATAAAAACAGGAGGATCAGAAATAAGATTGCAAAGAAAAAGGCACAGGGTAAGATGCAGTGGTTAAGATCTGTATGTTTTAAGAAAGTATTTATAGACATGGATGTGTGTGAGAAGGTTGTGCAGAGGTACAATGTGGTGGCAAGGACGAAAATGAAAAATCACCGAGTAGTTAAGAACACAGACAACAATCAATCCCGGATAATACATGTATACAATATATGAAAAAAAAAAGACATCTAAAGAAATTCACTGCACATGAAATAAGCCTGATTACACAGGTATAAGAGCAGAAATATACACCACAACAATCATGTAAGGTAGGTAGGTAGGTAGGTGTGTGTGTGTGTGTGTGTGCGCAGCTTCCAGAACCTGATGTGTCCAGTGTAGGTCTAGTAAATATTGGACATTGCATGTAAACAGGAAAATTGATGCAGGTATATAGACACTCATTTTAAACTCAGTCACAGTACCTCTTGAGCCAGACGATGAACCTGGCAGAATAATGTACACTTCAAGACCAGTGTATCAATAAGTATTAACTTTCAGGAGAATCAAAGAGCTGAGGCAACAGGAGTTTATCATCAAAGTCTTAAGGTTTAATGCAATGTTCAGCCCTTTATTTTAAACAAAGTGAGGCTGATGATAATGTCATGGATTTCTACTAATTAATCCACTTGTATACTTTATATTTATTATATATTCCTTTTAACTCTTCAAATCACCGACTCCATCACGCAGAGATGGAACAACGAATATATAGAGGCGCTTAATAACAGGATATATATTATACCAACAAAGGTAGACATACAAGTAGTGCTTTAAACACTACTGAATCTTAAAACATCCATTCATATGTAATCAATTAAAGCAGCTTGCAAAGGCATTTTCCGGCATCAGAACCCATGATATTTCTCTCTCTAAAGGATGAGTGTCAACACTAAACTTCACTGGTACAAAAATATACAATAAATGCATCTCAGCCTATAAGCCACACATCACAAATTTGGAATAAAAACAAATTAAAAGGGAGCCAATTGTCTCGAGTGCTAATGAAGTAGGGAGTAATGCACAGTTACAACATGCACATTGGTAGAATTAAGAACTTTCAGAGTAAACTAATAATGAATATCAATAAAATAATTTGTTGCTTGAAACTAATATTCACTACAGCATAAAAGCCAACATTCCACAAAAAACTGTGATTGTTATCATTTCCAATGTTACAAGTGCAATATTAAACTGCATTTACTTCCATATATATATATATATATATATATATATATATATAAGGAAAATATCATGCAGCTCTCAGAATATAAACAGGAATCACAGTAAACAACCCAGGAAAATTATGAACACATCCATTCTTTATGGTACAGTTTACCCAAATCACCTCAATTACTTAGGTACAAAATTTGCACTGCAAAACTGATTTACCTTTCCAATGCCTACAATAAAAACAAAAGAAAACCTACCTTTACTGCACCTACCTAGAACAGCCACTGATATTTCTTGAGAGACCTGCGTGAACCCTAATGTTCTCATGTGGATTGAATTGTCACTTTAGATATATGTGACCAACGACAGGAGGCACAAGGGCATTTTACTCTTGCAAAACTTACCTATCACCTGCAGGAACCTCGACCCTAAAAAATTGGTGCGCCAACATACGACCAAAAGACTGAAACTTGCCTTGGTCAGGACGGTTCATTATCATATGCATAGTGAGGCAGGCTTTATCATGGGCAGTACAAATGGGCCGCTTAGGGCATTCAACCACGAACCCTTCGCTAGGGGAAACAAATGGGGGAAGAAAGCAAAAAGACAAGATGAGTATATTTGAATTCCAAATGGATGGCTATACACGTTTTAATCAGTCATGAAGAATGTTATTTGTATTCCCCTCTCGAAACTAAGGCCCATGAGTAATTCCCTGTAAAATTCTGAAAGAGATCCCTGAAAGAAAACCCTGAAAAAGAGCTCTGAAAGAGAACTCTGAAAGAGAACTCTGGAAAAGGACAACAACACAATTTCATAATCTGTCCAAGAACAAAATTTGAAATGGCTCTACAAAGGCTTTTACTACTGGGCTTTCTTCATTAAACACAATTTTGCTGGAATGGGCTTTTTCATGGAGATCTATATCCATAATCAACTTTAAATATAAACAAATACAAGAGTGAAAAGAAATGCCCTCCTTGTGATCAAGTGTGTAAGGCACTCAAAACTGCTTTTTTTTTTAAGCCTTGTTGCTGCTTTGCCAATTTAAGCTGTAATACGATGTGATATGACAACTCAAGTCATTGCTGCGATGCATCCACTTCCACTAGGATGGTGTTTGGCGGGAAGACGCTGCCCGCTGCATCTAACCTGTCATGACCTGTGTGTAAGTGAGCCTGCAAGAGATGTGCCAGTACAGAGCCATCCTCACTTCATGTGAACCAACCTGACCCTCCATCCTGTCCAAAACCAAAAACTCAAGAATTTACCCACCCTCACCATATGCCATCTCACCTGTCAGGGCTCGAAAGTAAATACTACGGTACCACCTGCCTCCTACTAACTAATAAATGAAGAACTGGTTTGGTTTTATAAGAATACCCTATACTGTATACACACACCCATACATAAGTAATATAGTATATAATTAAAACCATCAGGCAACATTTCCTCTTAAGATGTGGAAATACCAGTTAATGTTTCAATTGGGAATACATTTGCCAGGATATTCCCATGGTTGGGACTTCAAAATTCCCTTCATACAAGATCTGCAGACAGAGATAAAAGAAGAGGGGAAAAGATGAGAGATTGTAAGAGAAAGAAGAAAAACTCAAATCATGATACAGTTCAGCCAGGCAGTCACCCAGTTGCCTCTCGTGGCTGCTGAGCTGTGTATGCCATGACGTCACACCAGGAGGGGAGGGAGGCCACGCAATTACAACTCACCACCTCACACATGTTCACCTCCCACACATACACATCCATGCTCTTCATTTATCTTATTTTATATAATGTTTTCTTTATTTCTAAGCCATATCGTTTGTATAGCGAGGTTCGGTCCGCCATAGGTGGAGTCATACATCTGGTAGAAAAAGGCGGCGGGGCTGACACAAGGCGAGCATATTTCTTCCGCACCATTTACAACAGGGTGTTGTACTGAGGCATTACTTTCTTATCTTGTCACCCTGCTGGTGTACCACTCCACTGTGCCCAGATGGCAAACAAGTAGGTTTGATGCTACCACAAACGTTGCCTTGTACAAGACAAACCATAGCTTGGTAGATATTCAAAGCAAACTGCTGTGTGTTTGTGATTGGTGCAATGGCTGACCAAGTGGTTCAGGGAGGAGGGCAATCCATGGTTGCTGGGTAAAGAGCTGCTGAGTACTGTGCAACAATGTTTACAGGACAACATTGGTGTAATATACTGTGGAGCGAAAATACACAGTACACAGTGCAAGTGAGTCCCATAGGCATGACTGCCCATTAGGGACAGTGTGGATACAGCACATCATATACTAAGCCTTCAGTACACAAGGAGACAACAAAACCGGTATTGCTCTCGACTGCAATCACTTCCCCAAGTTGTAAACTTAGGTACCCATTTGCAGCTGGGTGAACATTGAGCGCCCAAGAATCAAACCAATGACCCCTGGAACAGGAGGCGAGCGTTGTATCCACTTAAACGCTGCCTCCACAGTACAGTAGGGATTCCGCACACAAAAATTTTAGTGAGAAACATCTAAAACCTAGTGGAGGCCTCTAGAAGATTCCAGCAAAGCACATACACTTCCCAACAGCTGCATCTCCACAAAATAGCAGAAATTTTCTGGGCCTCTAAAGCATTTACTGATTTAATATGACCCATCAATGGAAAGAAGTCTTAATAACGAGTGAAACTGAGAAGGCTCTGGACTCCCTATAGGGAAACATATAAAAAGAGAAAAACGGAAAACTTGTTGATAATGTTTTTGAAACTCCACCCTGCCTCCACTACCCCCCCCCCCTACTCCAACAACAGCAACGGAGTCTACTCTTCCTCATTCCGCGCTTCATATGGATGATCCAGATGAATGAGACTGTGATTTGGACATTTTTACAGACCAGAAACACACAGCTTACACCATTTGGAATATTAAGGTAAGTTTTGTTCACTATAAAATTTTTTAAGCATTGGAAAGGTAACAAACATACGACTGGCCACAATTATTAAATAACCATAGTAACAGTATATATAATTGAAATCTTACTTTCCCTGAACACCACTGGCCCTACTCCTGGCAAACTCTGAACATCTATTTCAAGTTAACTGAGGAGCTAATTTACAGGATATTTCCATTCTCTTGTCTATTGCTAATTATCCAAAATATTTTCCCCATCTCCCCTTTCCCCAAAATACTCCCCACTTCACTCAAACTGCCACTTCAATTGTTCCATTGGGTTTCTACTCCCATCGAATTCCTCCCCAGAGAATTGTTAGTCTAACACTATAGCCTCACCTTGTAATCTGCCAAACTCTTCCTAGAAGCACAATAAAATAACTATAAAATGGAACACATTCACCTATTGTACACCCCCCCCACCTCAAGCATAAAACATCCAGTCCTCAAATTGTAATCAAAAGTAAAATAAAAGACTACAAACCATTTCATTTGTAAGCTCACTACAGTACATCATCACAGCTAAGGCAGGTGGTGGTTATTTTCAAAGGATTCGGGCCCTGATCATTCCACTTTTTTACCTGCACCCACTTCATTCATTTACATATAAAAAAATGTTTATAAACAAATTTAAACAAAATCCTCAACTGAAATCTGAAGGTGCATGTTGAAAGGCGTGGAGAAAAGCATAAAGTTCACCCAATATCTCTAACAAGCTGCTCTGTTCACCTTCAGCTGAAAAATAGAACACAGATTTTGATTGGAAAATGAATCTCTGAATACAGTGTTGTATGTCCAAGAGAGAGAGAGAGAGAAAACACATTGTATGTTTTATGGAATATGTGGGCTATCCGTTGCTCCAATACAATGCTTCTTACTCAGAGAATCTTAGTCCAATCAAAAAATGGGACATCACTTACCTTCTGTCATACACATAATATCATGGGGAACCAATCATTCTTCATCTTATCCTAACAACATTAGAACTCCATATGATGTAACACATCCTAAATTTCTAAAAAATATCCAACCAGTCTTTCATTCTCATAGAAGATTGAAAGCAAATACACTATTAGTTAGTTTAAAATAAAAAGAGTGCCTGTTCAAAGTAAACTTTCAACTGGCAAAGTGAGTGACATTTTTGGTGATGCGAGACAACCACATCGGTGACCTCTAATATCTTCTAAAGTCAGTTTAAACTGTTCATTTTACTTATTTAAAAAGTTAATTCCCTTGAAGGAGTTCCAGTCAGATTTTGCAATGTCTAACAGGAACTTTTGACAAAGTGGATACAAGTATTAGGTTAAGAGAGGGAAAAGGCACTACCATAATGGCCTCACAGGGGTCTCAAGATGTGTTCTATGGACAATAGTGCCCATGTGGCTGCTCTCCACCCCCTTGGGAGCATAGTGTTAACAGACAGGAACAACCATACCTGATCTTCATTAAGGTAGTTAGGGAGACCCCCAATAAAGATCTTGTGAGGGGAATCAGGCACCACAGTTGAAACCACACCTGCAATAACTAAGAGAGAAAAACTTCTGTAAAATTCAATTTAGCTTCCTGCTGTTAAATAAATTTATTCATATTCTTCAGCAAAAATATTTCATAAGAATTACAAAAAGAAAATTTTCATATGTCAACGTTCACTTCTTAAAATAATAAAAAAAATAATGTCGGAATACACACAGACATAATTCACGAATTTATCTTCAGATGACTGCATTTTTATTCTTTCTTGGAATAAATTCTATTTATTTATACAATTTCATAACCTCAAGAGTTTGTTCACAGACATACCAGGTCTTCATACACACAAACATGGCATTTGAAGTTTCTTAATCATGCATTGAAGATACATCTCTACTTGCTCACACTCATTCTTGTACTCAATCAGTTTTAAAAGCAGTGAAGCGGGCACTAATCTATTAATTGTTTACCCTTACATGCACAATCCAATATTAATTCAGTCACTGCCCACTGACCCACTGTATCCTTCGTCTACATCATAGAGTTTGCAACTTTACAGGTGCACTAAACCCTCTTGTGAGTTTGCCTTTAAAACACCCACATTGCAATAAATTGTCTACACTGACTCAATTCATTACCATTGAATATAATTTTTGCAATCATTTAGAAAATACCTTCAACATGTCTGGTGGACTCCCTGTGCTTCATACCTGGAATCTGTGTTGTACCTGGCATGGTAGTTAGCGTGGGATGCTCTGACATGCCTGGCATTGGTTGATAATCATGAGGTCGTCTGATTTTTAAACTTTGGCCTTTAAAATTAATACCATCAAAAGCAATTGCTTGAGTTGTTTCATCAATAGATCTGAACTCCAAGAATGCAAAGTTCTTGTCTAGGTTCACCTGTTGTAAAAAAATAAATGCATTTGTAGCCATTCATGGCATCTCCAACTCACCTAAAAATAGCTTTTGCCATATTGTAGGATTTTTTAGCTTCCATATTTTCAATTTGTTTTCTTCTCTCAGATTTCAGCAAATGGTGACCTGTAACTAATGTGTTAGCTTACAAGTATTTATAACCTTTTATGAAATGTAAACATTGGCTTGACATTGAAAAATCATGTTACTGACGTCACTACTGGTTTCGATATGTAATAAGGTCAGTCATTAACTTGTAGAGCGTGCTGTTCAGTCAACAATGTCAAGGACCATTTTCACTTGTATGCAATTCAAAGATATCTGTACAATTTCTTCACAATGATATAATGACACCTAACTGTCACATACATAGGTCCAGGTGGTGTATCGTTTCCAATAAAATTTAATTGTTTAAATAAAAAAAAATTCACAAATATGATTTTCTAATACTGTAAAAAAAATTTGGAGCACTTAAAAGTAAACAGGAAAGAACATCATGTGGTCCTGAACTGCCAACACTGACCTCAATCATCAATTTATTACTGACATTACACTTTTAACAGCAAATGGCTTGATTTTGCAGATGTACTTTTATTCACTGTGATTAATGAGTTATGTCATGAGATAATGTACTATACTCATAGATGATAGTTTAGATTCTACTTAAAAATTAAAAGTTCATTCCTTAATAATGCATTAAAGCAAAGCCTGAAGATTGTAAACCTGATCACAAAACAACAAGTATATCAGTATACTAAAATTAGACCTAAAAACTTTCAAGTTAATCAATTTCAGGTAATTAGAAAACTGGGATGGATGATCTCTTGGCATACAGGACAGGTACCATGTGAAAAGTGAAGAGTATTGTTACTTCCCAAGAAAATTCTTTAGCCGTAATGTTTAAAAATACACTTCCTGTATTTTTCAGTGTTGAACTAACCATATTCTTTATGCATGTGCAGATTATGTTTCATACATTCTACAATACTGTACATGACTTTTTTTACATACAAAAATAATTACTACAATTTTTGTTTTATCCCATCTCTGTAACAGATCAATTACAAACCTGACAAGCCAGAACTGGATTTCCAGCAGCTTGGGCAAGACCAGCAAGATGCATTTGCTGATTGAAAAATTCCATCATCTCTTCTTCTGTCACACCAAACGGAATGTTGCCTACGTAGAGACGACGAGCTTGTCTTGTAATGGTGGAACCAACAACTGGCACTGGCTGGGGCACATTAGTAACCTCTGGAACTGAGGGAACAACTGCTGCTAGTGGTGGTACCTGTCCTGCACTTGGAGGTGCTATCAGAGGCACTGTCACATTGGATGGGATCTGCCCAGCAGCTGTTGAAAGAAAGTAATTCTTCAAGACTGTGTTGTTATACATCATCTTTTGTCATTAGATCTATTAATTCCATTGTGATAACTCATAAGGCATTTTCTAACAGACTACCATACTGAGTAAAGGAAACCAATAAATGGCTTATTTCTGATTTTAAATTAATGACACTAATGCACACATATATATATATATATATATATATATATATATATATATATATATATATATATATATATATATATATATATATATATATATATATATATATATATATATATATATATATATATATATATATATATATATATATATATATATATATATATATATATATATATATATATATATATATATATATATATATATATATATATATATATATATATATATATATATATATATATATATATATATATATATATATATATATATATATATATATATATATATATATATATATATATATATATATATATATATATATATATATATATATACATATACACACACACACACACACAGCTAGACCCCGACTTACGCGGGCCGCCGTGGGTTGAATTAACCGCGTAAAGTGAGGGTTCACTGTGCATAGATTCAAATCCTAAGCATCTCAAAATGTGGGTACAGCAATATTCCATTAAACATAAAACTAATGGTTCAATTTATGATAATTACCGAAATAACACTAAAGGCCATCACCTAAAAACAATACTGTAGATAAAAGAGAACAAGGCTCATATGTTACAAAATATTAGCATAATGATTTAAGTTTTGCTAGGAGGAATAAACATGATCCCATAAAACATTATAAAAATAAGGTGTCGACATGGTCAATATTTATCAACACCACCTAAAAACAATACAGTAAAAGGGTTAGATGCCTACTGTAGCATTAAATACAAAGAGAAGCAGGTGAGGCATGCTTAAGGTATAAATTAAACAAGACTAGAAAATTTTTTGAATTAACATTTTACATACTGTACTGTGCAGTATGAAAAAACATGTTCTCGCCACTACATCATGCCGATCTTCGAATTACCTACAAAAAACTTTATTAAATATCAAGAATACAATCCCCAAACTTATACGTAATTCTGGACACAAGTACACTGTACAATTTGTAACTACAGCTCTAAAAATTAAGCGAATCATTATTCAGTTGAAGTCCTGCAAAGTAATAAGTAAAAGGGTACAGCAACCATCAACAGGTGACAGGGATATGTAACAAACTTTAAGAATACTGAATAGTATATAACACCAGTGATTAACCAACCTTGCATTGCTTTGTACTGTATTGGTGTAATGTGTTCAAAACCTGGTGGAGGTTTGTCCCAATACAGTGAAGGCTTCTTACGGCGTGCCTTCCTCCTGGCTTCTCTGGAGCGTGATCTAGATCTTGTCCGTCCTCGAGATCTGGATCTAGTTCTGAAAGTAGTCAATGTGATATTAGTTACCATTTATCTAATAAGCTAAGAGAAGAGCTATGAGACAGGGGGCCCAAGAATGACATTGGGAAGAAGTACAGTAATGAGAATTAGCCTCAAGATGGCTGCCATTACGTAATCACAGCTAACCCACGTAAACATGACAAATTACTGTACTATAAAATGATGACAAACTGCATCTCAAAATCCTTTTGCAGTGTTTTATAATTACAGAAATAAACTCAACTGTAAAAATTTAATAACCCAGTTGCTCAGCCTACTTGAATCAAAATTGAACACACTTAGCATTTACATGCATTCCATTTGGTATGGGTAATGTACATAAAAGTACTCAGGTGATACAGACCTGCCTTGCATTTACATGACCTAACACCAACACTCAAAACTTGTCTTCTCATTCCAATTACTTGGCCACACTCAGTATAGTTAGTCTCCATAATAATATTGTAATAAGAGGTTCAAGAAAACTAGTACAGTACCTTGTATGATCCATATTTTACAAGGACTGTACTCAGTTTACTCATTTAATCTCAATGTTATTTTACCCTATTATGCTTACTGTAGTATTGTCCCTCTTTTTATTTCTTATTTCTATGTGAACATTTACAATATACTGCATACATTACTTATAACACCTACAACTGTTAGAACAATATACCAACGCACTATCAAAATAAGCTCCCATACAATGTGAAATAAATATACAGTACCTGGGATTGTATCCTGTTCTGTACAATGACATGGAGCTTGATGAGGTTTGGTCTGATAAATTGAACCTTGTGATAAACGTGTCCGCTTAGCATCAAAAACTATCAGACTTGTTCCCTTCATATGGTACAATAACTCATGTCAAATGTGTTCTCTTGCAATGTGAAAGTCAAGGGTGTCTAATATTCAAATTTACTTAATCAGTTTCATTTACAAGACAGGGCCCAAAGGATACAACCCCTAGACCCCTGATTTGCTCAATCCTAGTTTAACTGGGTCATTGTTTTAGGGAAAAACATGATGAAATTATTTTAATACTTACTTGTGCTTACGACGCTCACGAGATCGAGACCGGCTACGCTTCTTGCGCTCCCTGTCCTTATCTTTGTCACGATCTTTGTCCTTATCACGGTCTTTGCCATCTTTTTCTCGATCTTTTTCTTTTTTCTCATCCCGGTCTGAAATAAAAAACAAAAACGCTATGAATAAAAAAGTTCCAGAACTTCCAAATAACAACCAGTTATGCTTTCTTTGCATCAAAATATTTGTACCTGCAGTAAAGTTCCCTCCAAAAGCTAAAGTGAAATAAGGAGAAAGGTTTAATTTTACCAATATTGAACAGAAAATGAACCAAACCAACCAAAAGTGACCTTGCAGTACCACAAAACAAGTAGTTAGAGGTACAGCATAATGGCTTGGTTTTTGTCAGAAATTGTTGAACTGCAGTTTCTAACAATACTGTATATACATGAGACTGCACCCTTTCAATGGGCCTTTAACCTCCTATTTCTGGAAGCTTACCTTTGTTTTATACATTCCCCAGCACCAGACGTGCAAAAACTACTGATGACAGTAGTAAGTGACAAACCTTTACAAATACAATACTGTACACCCTTCCCTGAGTATTCGCAGGGGGATACATTCTCAAAATGGCCACAAATAATAAATATCCATGAATACCACTATCATAATTACCTGAACTGTACAGTACAGTAGGCAGCAACCATAACTACCAGGCTATCTGCTCTTATGTATCATCCAGTAGTGTACATTCCAAGACCACAACTTAGCTAACTTATTTTTAAACTTAAATAAGTTATATTATTTTACTGCAACAATGTCAATGACTAACAATACAATATACAGTCTCTCCTCGACTTACGACAACCCATGGTCATATAAAATATTTTTCACATTACGTATTTTCGAGTCCCGACGTTAATGATCGCGCTGTGTACAGTACTGACAAAATTTTCATTTGCAATTCCCTTTAAAATGGCTGGCAAGCGTAAAAGTGAGAGTTCTTGTGATGCTCAGACGAAAAAGAGACACCCATTTTAGAATTTCTATGTAATATTTTTGCCTTTTCGACTTACGACCAATTCGACTTACGACCTGGTCGTCGGGACGGAATCCCGTCGTAAGTCAGAGACTTTATAGTCTTTAAATTGGTGAGAATCTTCACCAGGTGATCAGGTGGACACTGGCCAAATTGGCCATCTCACATGTCCTGAGTCAGTTACTCTAAAGACATTAGGGATGGACAACAATGCGTTGTGTATAGTAAAGAGATAACCTTCCTCCAACTACCAAACATATTTGATAACACAAAATGCACAGAACCTATTAGAACCTGACCTAACTTCTTAACCTGTGCATTGTCATTTAAATTTTTTATCATTCAAATGTCATTCCTAAAAAAAAAAAAAAATTCCAATATAAATTGTAATATAGACGGCCAATAAGATTGTTGTGAACCAGATGACAGTAGCCACGGGAGATCTCCCGGCTCCATAATTACGGTAAATATTTCTTCAGCCTACAGAGCTCGGAGCTTTTTTAACCCATTATTTCCCTCTCCTTCAATGCCGTGCCCACTAACAAGTAATTTATGATCAAAGGATAGGCTAAAAATACAATAAAAACTACAATGTTGTTTCAATTTTATTACTCATCAAACATCTGAAAATTTGGGAAAATTCCATAAGTCTTTCTGGTACTAACCGTCTCCTCCATCTTTACTGACAATTCTGAGACACTTTACTTATATGAAGTTTCCCTGGCAAACAACCTAACCTCAAACTGCCCCCCCACCGACATATTACAGGACGTTTGAGGGGTCCGACTAATTACCCAAATGTAGCCGCAATGAAGTCAAATGGTCCTACAAGAATAAATCGGACTGCCAATCACTTCTCGACTGGTATTTGGTGTCACGAAGTCAAAAAAAATTGGTAAACTTAATTTAATGAGTTAATAGATCGCGTGCATGTACCTAACCTAACCTAACAACTCAGATTAATTTAAGTTTACCAATTTTTTGTGACTTTATGGCGCCAAATAATAATCGAGAAGTGATTCACAGCCCGATTTACGCTTGTACGACCATCATTTGACTTTATTGCGACTACATTTGGGTAATTACGCGTTCCCTCGGTACATGCACGCGATCTATTAACTCAGATTAAAGTAAGTTTTCCATTTTTTTTTTCTTTGTGACACCAAATACTAGTCGAGAAGTGATTGGCAGTCCGATTTATTCGTGTACGACCATTATTTGACTTCATTGCGGCTACATTTGGGTAATTAGTCGGACCGCATTTGAGAGAAACATAATAGAAGAATATTGTCTTATATACTAACATATCCTTCACTATAAACTGACCAAGGTTACATAATGCTCTGTATAGGTGAAGCTCAAGGTTAGGTTAGTTTGGTTTACTATATGAACTACAGGGATATATTTAATTATTCAACAGTAACTGGAGTTAGTTCCCAGACTCGAGTAATGGATACAAACACGCTGGTTAATCCGTAGCCGTTAATAGAGGACTACCGGGAGACTCTATTGATCAGGCTGCCTCTAGAGCACACCTTTAGCCTGGTGGATGACTCTATGTCTGCCTTATCAACATCCCGCTGCTATTGAATCATTATCTTGATCTGCAACTCAATAAATGATCTACTCTAGGCATTATCAGCTACAACACACACAGGTATAAGTCTGAACACGCCTCGGGCATCACAGTGTGGCCACAGACTGTATGGAGGTCCGCCATTATCCCTCCCTCACCTTTACTCATATAATTTACGTTAATACAGACCAAATTCTTACCTTTTTCATTCTTTTCCTTTTCTCTATCCTCTCCCATGATGAAGTAGTGCTCTCGTTGTTCTGGAAGGTTCCTAGTTAAGTACACTAGTGGCTCATAATGACACAAGGGCTGGTGGTCTCTCTCGCCGGCCGCCGCTACACTCAATATGGCCGCCGGTCTATAGACGCTCTTTAAAAGTTGAGAACTCTGATTGGTCAGTTACCATCACATACTCCACGCTCATTGGTTGATTATCACAGATACTAGAGTCCTGATTGGCTGTTAAAGTGACTCTAGGAAGGAGTTAATATAATTTTATTTACTAACATGAATAATAATAATAAGACTAATAATAAGACTAATAATAATAATAATAATAAGACTAATAAGACTAATAATAATTACAACAGAATAATAGTAATAATAATAATAATAATAATAATAATAATAATAATAATAATAATAATAATAATAATAATAACAATAAAATAATAATAATAATAATAATAAATAGTTCAGGCTCGCTGCCTAAGTTTTTCCTCGGGATCTTCACTAAACCTTAATCTTAATGAACATAATCAAAGACTATCTATTGTTTGCACAGTGGTTGGTGCGGCCCCTCTGTCTTTGTTAAACTTATAGTAAAACTCCCGAAATGGTCCTGATGAACCTCACAGCCGCTGATCGGCTCATTAGCCTCTTGGCCTATGGGGGGACAGGCACTCCAGATATATAAACAACCTTCTTACAAAACCTACTAGCTTAGGTGCCTCATTCACTTCTTCTCACAATGACACGAGAACTCCAGTTCACTGTGAACATGTGGGAATACAGGTTGTTGGGGTTCACACTCAGGATGGGATGGAGAAAGGAAACTCACAATGTGCTCTCTGTATACATGTTGTATTGGATGTACAATGCAGCTTGGTGCTGGGAAGTGGCAGCGTGGTTACAAGCGTGATGTAGAGAGCTGGTTGGTGAGGATGCCCAGAGGAGGACCAGCTTGTGGGTCGCCATGCTCGCCGGCGGGAGCGAGGGCCGCCAGGCAGCGGCGGAGGAGGTGTTGTAGCTTGCTGCGGCTGTAGCTAGAAGAGGGAGGTCACCACGAGGTCAGGTCTTAAATAGCGGGGGTAGGCGTGGCTTAATAGTTGACCTCCGTCATGTAAGGCGGCGCTGGTTGACCCAGACCACGAGGCACACACTGGGGAATTCGTGGGGTCGGCTACTCAGTGACAAACAGCGTTTGTAGGGGAGAAATCCACTACAATACTCCCTCCTTCCCTCCAGGCGGTGTAGGAGACTTGTTGTCTGCAGGGTTGCATAGCACATGTGAGGCAGAACGGGAGGTGCGTGCCTCATGTGAGACAACGGCGATGGCGTGGATGAGCCGGCCGCTAGAGACAACTGTCTAGATACACAATATCTGTGGGAGTAGAGAGGGAGAAAAAGGGTGTGTGGAGGCGATGAATGTTGTGCTTCCCTCACGGCAGGTACAGAGTCGTCAGATGCACCTGCTGGGGTGTGTGGGCCTGGGTCAGGAGCAAGGGCTGCGTCAGCAGAAGCGGATGAGGGCTCGTGACAGCAGCTGGGTCCACGACAGCAGCAGGGTGCAGGACAGTAGCAGGGAGTACCTGAGGGAGAAAAGAGGGGTGTGTTGGTCCGCACTCAGGCGCATAGACCGCGTCGGGAGCAGGGGCTGCATTAGGAGGAGCGGCAGGGGGTACTGCTGGGCCGGGGGCGGCGTCTGAGGCAGGACGAGTGTGCTGGGGTCAGTAGGACGTGGTGCTTGGGGCAGGAAGAGGAGCTGGTGTCTGCTTAGAGAAGCAGTGCTGCTCTAGGGTGTCTAACCTGCGGTTTAGAGACAGTAGCTGTAGAGCCAATGAGAGCTGCTTCTGGGTGGATAAGCCAGTCTTCCATGTTGCTTGAAGACTGGGAGAGTGATCTGTTTCTCCTCCATCCTGTGTGAGTGCGAATCTCCGGGGTCACCATTTGTGGGGTACGTGATATTTGGTTCACACTCAGGATGGGATGGAGAAAGGAAACTCACAATGTGCTCTCTGTATACATGTTGTATTGGATGTACAGTGCAGCTTGGTGCTGGGAAGTGGCAGCGTGGTTACAAGCGTGATGTAGAGAGAGCTGGTTGGTGAGGATGCTCAGAGGACAGCTTATGGGTCGCCGTGCTCGCCGGCGGGAGCGAGGGCCGCCAGGCAGCGGCGGAGGAGGTGGTGTTGCTTGCTGCAGCTATAGCTAGAAGAGAGAGGGCACCACGAGGTCAGGTCTTTTATAGCGGAAGTAGGCGTGGCTTAATAGTTGACCTCCGTCATGTAAGGCGGCGCTGGTTGACCTACACCACGAGGCATACACTGGGGAATTCGCGGGGTCGGCTACTCAGCGACAAACAGCGTTTGTAGGGGAGAAATCCACTACAAACATACACACCCAGGTCCTTTTAATTTGGTCTCTGTTAATGCTGTTTCTTCATTTCGTTGGGACATGTGATACACCTCCTTACTGTTGGTAGGATCTAAGTGAATAATGAATTATACTGTATTTGCAGTCTATAGTTACCATCAACAGCCGTTACCGCCACTGAGAAGAACCAGGAGATATTTAAGTTTCGGCGATTACTGAGTATTGAAGTTGGAGAAAAGGGTAGTTAGTGGAGGTGCCGGGCGGGTGTTGACTTCAAACCAACAATAATCGGGTTTTTTCTGCGATTTTTATTATTATTGTGGGCTAATACTGTAAAACAAGTTAATGATCACCAAAAACAGCACATACACCCCCCAAAAAAAAACTAACTTGACTATCAATATTTATCTTTCCATCCCTATTATTAGCCAAAGATTTATAATATTGTTAAGTATAATAGTGTGTAATAATAAGGAAACACCACTACACTCATCCCCCCCAACGTAATTAACATACGAATACAAAGACGGAGAAAGTTTACTTAATCTTTGCTAAAAACAGTATTATGATAATAGTATTAAAATCTTACTTTGTTAAGTTCCTTCGTTTTATTATCCCTGCGCACACGTAGTAACTTGAAGTTACGTAAATCCTGAGGAGTGCGTATAACTTTAATGGCCTCGTCATAATCAATCACGTACTGATCTCATGCACTTACACCTGCACCATCGCCAGTAGCAAGTGTATCACCATAATCAACACTAAATTCACCACCAAAATCACTATCACCAAGCATTACTGGGGTGTCCACGTGAGCACTGGCATCAAACACACGCTCAGGAATAATAGGCTCCTGAACCCACACCAGAAGGCCTGGTCTCACTGGAGTCTTGCTCTAATATTGGGCAGATATTGCACAGCGCTTCTCTCACCCATGGAACAAATAATGTCAATGTTATGCAGAAAAGTTATAAAAAATAGCAGCAGAACGCGTACACTGATCCTTCTTATGCTATAATACGTGCCAAAACTAAGGAGGCAGCATCTGGGCGTGCAGATTGGCCGAGGAACTGTGACGTAGCATGGGGAAATCCACTGTGATTGGCTGCCTCGGGGTATGGTCCGAGGGAGGCGCGCTGTCATTGGCTCGCTCTGAACGGGATGTTGCCACCTTCTTTGGCTGAGTGCACAGCCAGATACGTAGCTCCAGGCCTAAGGCGAAATTACACCTTGTTTTTGAAGGACTTTCTACCATATTTCTATTCTAGCTAGAGGGTTACACCCAATGCCAACATGTAGAGGAAAGGTGAAAATAGTGATATCCATCACAAAGCGCATTTTGGCCGGGGTGTCTCTTCACCCCCTTCTAATGCCGAGTGCCTCAAATACTGTACCTTATTAATCATTAGCACTGTTACACCCTCTTTTACTCTCTCTCTTCCAGACTCTAATAACTTCATATCTCACCTCTCCCCAACAGATTTTTACAACTGCCCTTAAACTTTGTTTCACTCATAACCAGATCCATCACCACTTTAATAATTCCTTTCTTATTTTCTTAGTACCTGTACAACTACACACATTCAGGCATTATAATTTTTTTTACTCTACCTCACTGGTATATAAACTGCTATAATCTAATGAGTCAAGGATTAAATTAAATTTGCACATACACTTTCATAATTTAATGTCCATAAAGGTCTTATTTACATTAAAATAAATACTTTTTAATTATACTATATAGTGTAGCAAACTAACACACACCATCTCTCACTTACAATAATAAAAATGTTGGCAATGTTACCATGTATTTTGGCATATTGTATGCGATTGATTTTGAAAAATCTTAATTACGTAGTACTCATCAATTTTTTCTGCATCTGCTTAAAAGAGTAATTACAGTAGATGTCATTTCCAGAACATTTTACATGAGAAATTATAAGATTATCTCAATCTATCATAAATGTACAAGGAGACCTTTTGACAAAAGTATCAAATACCTTATTGTAATTTATGAAGCTGAGAAAACAATCGTGAATTTGTTTAACAGAAACAAGAGTCAAAAGGCTCAAGCTAGCCTTCATGTAGCATTATAAAATTTTACATTCAGTATAAAAAGAATACCTTTATGCATTGTACTCCTAAAACTCATCCATTACAGTTTATTCTCCAGTAAGATAACTGCCTGCATCTTTGATACTCTATATTATTGTACACACACCATTGCTAATAATAAGAAATCTACAAGAAAATTCATGGCAAAGCAGGAACAACCTTCAACATTCTCAAATCAACTAATTACCATAACATGATCATAAACTAAGTTCACATTTTCCAGCAAAAAGTATTACACCTTGTAAATTATCTTTAATTATTTTTTGCAAGTACTGTACTGTAAAGTAGAACCTCCATAGTTTGCTTACTGATACTTCACAAAATGGATTAATTCGCATAATTTTTATTTAGAATCCAACTTGCGTTATATTTGCCAAAAAAGTATTACAGTAGTCCTAATTTCCCTACAAAATTATCTAGAAAATAAAACACATAAAAAAATACGAGCATTAATTTTTTTTATATTGATTGGATGAAAACCATTCACCAAGTCATATTATGGCACCTAGTGCATGCAGTGTTTTCACTTATTTAAACTAAATTAAAGCATTATACAGTATTATACATTAAAAATCGTATTGGAAGGAAAACTATAATAGACATATACCCAGTACTTTATGTTAGTCCTTTAATTGTGTATTCACATCCAGGATGAAACAATGATGGTGAATTTCATTAAAAGTTTAATACCTGAACTGTGCTGAATATTGTATTAAGTTACACTGTTCCAGACTTGACATAAATGGGCTGGGTTTATATGGGAAACTTTACAAATTATATGGTAAAAATTATGGCCTGATATCTGAGATCAGAATTGTGAAGGGTTTGAAATGAAATTGGGGAACAGTGCAATCATTTCTAGATTTGTTGAAGGTGTACTGTATGTAGATCAGGATTTTAGTGAAGATGATGGACATGAGTGGTGCGGTGAAGATATAACAGATAATGAGGCTTGTTTGACGAGCAATAAATCATGAAAAGGATTCTGGGTCATGAAGAAGAAAAGTAAAAGGATGAGGTAGTTGTTGAACAAAGGAATGATCTTTTAAGTGATGTTCCGAGCTCTATGGAAGTTTATAGAACATTGCAAACTGCTTCTGTGTTCTCTGGATGACATATAAAGATGGGGGTTAATTGATATTTCCAAGCTCAATGTGAATAGGACTGAGTCTTACACTCCTGTTATGTGAATCATTAGTGTCAATATTTTCTTCATACTTCCCAACCTCCACAGCGTCTAAACAAGTGACACCATACTGTACATATCCCCACAGTGGAGTATACTATAACGAATTTAATTGGTTCTAGAACCTTGTTCGTTATAGCACTCGTTCGTTATAGGATTAATCCGTTCCAGGCCCCCAAATACCACTTAACACTGAAAAATATAATATAAAATTGTAAAAATTGTAAAAAAGTGCATAAATATGCATCTAAACCCCTGAAATAAAGAATATCATTAATACTTGTAATAAAAAACAATTAATTAGTAAAAAAAAAAAAATTTAAACAATGTTCGTTGTAGGAGTTTCGTTCGTTATAGCATTCTCAATTTTAAAGATAAAACCGTTCATTATAGGAATAGTCGTAGTAGGATCCGTTCATTATAGCATACCCCACTGTACCTCCACCATTTCATTTTATGATAGTTGAATTTAAAAGAAGCAAAGATAAACTGAATGAGTTTTATGATTGGTGTAAAAGATTGTGGTATGAATAAGTGAATTTAACTAATATAGCTAAGTGATATTGTATGTTTGGTGAGGATGTCTTTCTGCTGTGTATTTTTCTAAATCAGCAGAGGTGAAATCTAGGCCAGAGAGCTAATGTATTTACTTTATTTTACTGGCAGCGTCACTGGGCTTGTGCATTTTCATGTCCTCTCTGCTTTGTAATGGAATTCTGATGTGTAAACAATCAGCCCTTTGGATGGCAAGTAAAAATTATACTGTACAGTATTAGTCTACATATTTTATTTTCATTTATAACCTAATTTGGGATCTTAAGGTCAGTTGTACTAAATGTGATAATCTGTCTTGAAAGTAACTGGGTTCAAACATATGTACTGTACTGTATTACATACATATGGTCCCAAGGTCTACTGCACCAGTGTTATAAGTCAATCATTAGCTTGTAAAATTCTTAGGTTCATCACAAAATCGGTCCCAAAGATAAGTGAACTACAGAGGTTCTACAGTACTGTAAACATAATTGCCAAAATTCTGCTTATTTTAGCATATATTGCCCTAAAAAATAATGTTATAAATAGTATACAATAATACACAATACTTATAAAGCCTGTTTCATTAGATTTAAGATTTGTCACATGTCATCTGTCCTACCTGTCTTTAATACCTATATTAATTACAATGCAATAGAAAAATTTGAAACAGTTTATCAAATAATTTGAAGGATTTAGCCATAAATTTGATATAAACACAATGAAAAAAATAGTAATAGGTTTTTTTTTTTTAAATGCCATCTAAGATATTATGTGAATTTTTCTTGATACTTTGGTAACAAATAGTACAATATTTGACTATGATAGTAGCATTAAACTCTTACAACACTCAACACAACCTACAGCAACACACTAATATCAGGAGCTACCATAGGTTACTATAAAACTGGATTTACAAACACTGAAGATACAACAATTCTTACAATAAAATAAACATACAAATTCTGGTCCACTAGATAGTGCAACATGTCATGAAACTACTTCCTTATATGAACCATTTACGACAATATGATATCAAGGCATACTATTGATAACGTAGGTATCAGATTATATACTTTAGGTAATACATAGCACAGGTAGGAAAGAATCTACTGGTAGCCTACTAATTGCCATGGGTTTGAGTACAGTATACTTACTGTATATCAAGACAAAAATTACCAATATATTTATTAATAGTCCAGAGTACTGTACTGTAGTGTACTCAATTCAATTTCCATAAAAGTTGCTATAAGCAGTTACGGACTCTAAATCACTGCAACGGGGACAACTAACAACATGATTACATGGAACTGACAACTTCGGAGGCTGGTTATGGAGGGAAAAAATCCCCCAACACAAGGACTCACAGGTGAATTCTTTAACTGTTTTATCTTGTCACAAACATCCTTAAATAAATATTAATATTTTTTGAGAACATTTACATCTTGCTATCCATTCATTTAATTTTGTCTTGTATACACTGTATTAAATAACCAAATGGTGTACAGGATATAGTTATTACAGGTACAGGGTATATGAAAATACATCTATTAATGATACTTATATTCCACTCTCACTAATGTAAGAATAATGAAACATACAGGAAACGGTCTAAACCGATGTGATGTTTACATATTCTGATCAGCAGTAACTACAAAACCTACATGCAAAATCTACACACTCTTAATTGATCACATCACTGTATCAATATTTGAACAGTCCCGGTAATTTCAAGTATAATATGGCACATTATACTGTACTGTACCTACTGATATTTAAATTTGCTATAGTCTTTTACAACTGAAAATAAAAAGTTGTCAAATTCAAAGCTGTTTCTATCTGAATTGAATTTTAAACATTGCTTGAACATATTTACCTATCATGATTACTTTAATGTACAGTTGCCAGCAAAAGTTCTCCCACAGCCCTGTGTAGCAAGTTTGTGAGAGGACTTTTGCTGGTAACTATACATAGAATACTTCTCTCTTATTCTTAGTGGCTGTATTTAAGTTTTACAAGTTACCAGTAGAGTATAACAAATTAAGGGACCATATCCCATGTACACTTAGCTTTCTCTTTATGAATTATTATTGTAATGGAGTTTCATTACTTAAACATATTTGACCCTTAACGTTACTAATGTTTGGCCTCCAGGAGTTGTGACATTATGATACTACAGTACACCGAACACATGATGACTATGTACTGTACCATCAACGTACGTTTGGTCATAGGCCTTACTTTCTTCACCTTGCCATTGCAGGGCAAACTTTTGCAAATTCTCATAAATAACTTGACAGAATGATTTTCAAATACAGAATTTAATCTTCCTCACATGCAGTAGAAAAATGCTGGTAGTTTTTTGAGTTTCAATTAACACTCATGTGATAGTCAACAATTTAGATGTTACAATTAATGACTTACCGTACATACAGGTACATGAAATGTGGAATATGTAAAGTTCCATAAAAATAGACGAGATGAATTGTAAAATTTTTAGTAATTTTGTTTTATGGAAAATTAAAGAGAACTTGTAAGCAGTACTTATACTGCTTCAGTAGACAGATAAAAACTTGTAACTACATTTGTATACAAAACAAATACTAGCTTTAATCTCTCACAAACTATGACCTGAGAGAAAACTAAGCAGTTTAATGCTACAAGACTTCCTGATATTTATTAAAGATAAAAAATTTAAATGTTTTGAAGTTAAAATAGATACTATTTCTGACTAGAACTGGATATTGCAACAGAACCACAGTATGAAGATTACTGGTACTATATGAACAGAGTGAAGTGGTTGGTTAGTAAATAAAACCCTTCTTAAGAAGTACACTCAAGGATACAGTTGTAATTAGGATATGGAACATCCAACCAAGTAAAAATCCTAAAACAACTTTAACAAATACAGTGCATTACATAAATTACAGTATATTCTCCAAATGAACACAAGATTCAAATAATTTTAATGTGAGCAAATTCTCACGTAGAGAAGAACATTACAGATGATGAACCTTTTTTAGGGGGCAGTTACAGTAAAGAGTAAATTATAACTAATAGCGTGATCTTTTACTCTCTCCATACGTGAATACATACACTCCCCTTCCTGTAAAAAGTAAATATGCTTAATCTTGGGTAAACAAATACAGTAAGTAGATAAAAAGAAAAAATTATATTAATTTATCTGCTCTAACTAATTCTATTTTGTGTCTAGCAATGGTCACCATGAAGATCTTTTATAAACAGAAGAGGCATGCAGTAATGTAATCCAAGACTAATAGGAGGATCTACTGCCAGACAAACTTTTATCATAGCAAAGAATGGACATAACTCTACAGCCTAAAAACTAAAAGTACTGGACTTGATGAGATAGAAGGAGAAGCACTGGGCAGAATAAATAAAAATACTGTAAGCCATTCATATGAAAATAAAATAAAATATATGTGAAGCAGTCTTTGTTAACAATTACCAAAGATTCTCACCTAACTTATAAGGAGAACTTTGAAAAATTAAGTGATATTCTCCATTAGTACTCTGAAATTTATAAGTGCGAGTATATGCGACTGGTTTCACTTGTTCATGCATGTTCCTGTAAGGGCATGTAAGTCATTCCCCAAACATTCACTAAATAAAAATAATACTGTACTCAGGAAATGTCTGGAGGTTTCAGCACTGTTTTAAGACACCAAACAAGAAAATGGGAAATGCTGCACTTTTGAATATTTCTATGCTGCTTTTGATCTCTGACAACTTGTGCTTAATCACATCTGAACTGTAATACAATACTTTTGTCTATGACACATTACAGTACTAAAACTTTATTTGATATTCATAGTAAATTTCCAATCTTCTATAAATTGTTTGTGAATTTCTAACCACAGTTTTCCATACCTACATAATTTAGCTGTCTCATCTGCTTGTGATAGATATTCTTCCTTCTAGACTTCTTAAGGAAGGACTGTTGCACAAGAATAGGAACTACAATATTGTCCTAATGGGCCCCAATCCTAATCCTTGGATTAGTTTAGGTTAGAGTGAATCCTATTAAGACTGGGGCCCATCTGACCTGCAATTGTAAGGAATAAAGAAAAGCAGCACAAAAAATCAGGATAAAAATATTAACGTAAGAAGAAACAACATGTACAGTATGTGAGAAAATTAGTAATGGAGAAGAGGAGAGGTAGACAGAACAAGACAGGGAGAGACAGGAGGTGGGACAGTATGTTTGGATGGGAAGTTTATAGAATGGAGGAGTGTAGGAGCTAAGCAATACAGGAGACTATAGAGGCTACTCTACTAGATACCTGCAGATACCTTATACCTGTACAATCACTCAAACAACTATCTGTACTCAGGGTGATCGATGAATTTCAGAATGAACACCGTGACTCCTGTTGTCACGGTAGGATTGTCAAAATCCTTTGTCCGATGTGTCATATTTTTTCAACAAAATTTTACATCGATAATTTTTTGAGTGACTGAACATACCAGTAGGCATGTATATAAAGAGACTGCCAGTGACATTCATTATAAAATATATAAGGTTAATTAAAACTATGAGACAAAAAATGAGTAGGATTTAACATTCATTGCAATACAAACATGTCTTATTAAGTATAAGAGACAAAGAAATGGATGGGCATCATTATTCATTAAAATGTGAACAGATGGACACCACTTTAGCAGTGTGTTAGCTAATTTGACCATAAGAATCATTTATCATGTCATATTAGTTGCTTTGAATTGTGGCCACCCTGTGCTGTCGTGGAGAAGTGTCTTAAACTGATTGGAAAAAACAAACCTATGATGACATAACAATATTTGTCCTGTACAGTATTTAAAAATATCTACCAGATAAGAATGATAATTTCCACATTGCCTTTAACATCTTGGTGAATTACCGACTTCAACATCACACTTAAGTTAGGGTTCACACAAGTAGTAAATAAATGTGATTCTGTATAGAGCTGAAAGACACTTAACAATGAATAAGCATTGATAAAGCTGAAGGTAACTGGAATAATTAGCAGAGATTCCATGTCTCACTACATTATGGTGTAGGGAGAGACATCCATAATAATGATCACAACTATGATTGTGATAATATCTTAATCTGAAACAATTGTACAGTATAAAAGGAGTAAACTGGTAAACTAGAATGGGCAACAAAGATATTAAAGTATAAAACTTAGAATTATTTTGATAAGTAACATGAATGACAATTTCAACAACTACTTGAAAAACTTTTAAGTTTTGTAAATCAAACAATAAACATTTAAAGACTTTTCAGCATAACAAAATGGATACTGGAAATTTTTCATTAATGAGATCTAATCTGGCTGTACATAAGTTGAAGTGTGTCTTGACATTAGACTCTTGCTTCCTATTGTATAAAAAAGGAATATTAATTAACACAGTACAGCTACTCCTCGACGTACGACCTACTCGACTTAAGACCACCCGGATATACGACCGCCCCAGTCATACCAAATTTATTTCAAATTACGTATTTTCGAGTCCCGACGTTAGTGATTGAGCAGTGCACTGACAAAATTTTCGTTTGTAATTCCCTCTAAAATGACTGGCATGCTTAAAAGTAAGAGTTCTGTGGTGCTGAGAAGAAAAAGAGACACCCATTTTAGATTTTCTATGTACTGTATTATCTTCGCATTTTTGACTTACGACCTGGATTTGGGTCCCTAACCCAGTCGTAAGTCGAGTAGTGGCTGTATATTAAAAGTCTATCTATTTATAATTTTTACTCCTTTCTCACTTTTGTTTGGGATGAATCAAGATACAAAGACCTCAAATTCAGGGAGGAAAATAAGTGTAGAGAGTAACAAAAGAGCATTAAACTGACTCATAGAAAAACCCTTACATACTGTACTTGCTTATATCCTTACACCAAAATTTTTTTTTTTCAGAGAATTATTATAATTTTAAAACATTTTTATTTCTATATACAGTAAACCGCCATTAGAATGAACACCATCTACAAAGGCCCTCAAGCTTAACCGACACTCTGACCCGTTCGGACTAGGTTCATATATTGTGGAATCGGGTCCGTTAAGGAAAAAATAACGGACCATTCATATCCAAATTATCACAAATAATTACAGTAATACCCCTTTAGCCCTACCCTCCACAATGCTGATTCGTTATAGGGATCTTTGGTTTTCTCCTGGAGTTATTTTTTACCTGAATCTAATAATTAAAAATGTAATACGTAATTTAACATTCTCTGATTTTTTATAAATTTGAAAGTGGTTTTACCTTCAATACACTGTTATAATATTACTGAATCTTACAGATGATATTTCACAGATTATTATATGTATTAGTTAGGTTCTCAGTGACAGTGGTTGACAATTTTCTCTTGTTTAATGTGTTGTGGATGAGATGCTTGTGTGTTGGTAAGGAGAGACTATGGCTGTTAACTGAAGGAGTTAAACAGACATATGAAGTATACAACCCATCATCACTGCTGGATGAAGTTAAGTAACATGTACCGAGGATAAGAATTGCAGGCTACGTTAGTTGATATTTTTCATGTTTTAAGATAATAGTTTTGGCCCCAAGATGCAGGGATTTCAACCTCTTGAATGCCATGAATATGAGAGATTAGTGAATCCTTAAACCATGAATATGTATTGAAGGCAGACAGTATTTTGCACAAAAGCATTGTGAATCACCTAAATTTTATCATATCCCCCACTGTTTGAGTCTGTCTCGAAGCCTTACCATACAGTATTTCTCTTTGTAAAGCAGCACTGTAGATCATTCCTACCCTCACATCACCAGGTGCAATTTAAATCATCTGGTTCAACAAAACTGCATGAATTTAAAATTTTGTAGACTACTTAATTCTACACAATAAAAACAATACTGTAATAATAAAAAAAAATGGTCCCTGTATTACTAAGGTGATTCCTCTTATCACATACATTTACATGAACAAATGCCCCTCTTGAAATTTTTTCTCTAAAATGCTGGACTCATCATGTAGAGTACTGTACAGTAATATTGAAAACAAATATAAACAACTTAGTCAACCTGATCCTTGCAACTGTTAATAAAAATCTTAATGATAACAGACAATTTATTTTTCACTATACTGTACTTGGACCTTACTCTCTTCACTACTGGTGGTCTCAAGGTATACACAGTTCTCTAACTACACTTTTAAATTACAATTAAATGCATACATTATCATTACATTAATTAGATAACCAATTACAATATTCTATTATAACAAACACTCACTAATTTATGGTGTACAGTATGTCATTAGCCTCAAGGCCTTTCTTTCCAAATAGTCTAATTTTGAGGAAAATATGAAATCTATATTTCAAAATTGATAAAATATTCAAAACAGCTCTGATACTCTTGGTCACTTATGGAAGCACAATCAAGCAATAGTCTTCTTTTCTCTTACTGCCTGTTTATTTTTTGCTGACAATAGTGACTACTTTAAATGCTGCTATTTAATACTTGTAAATTTCCATGTGTATTCATTTCTCTTGTTAGCCTACTTATTTACAGTACCTGTACTTTTATGCTCTCTAATTAAAAACAACAAAGATATTAAAAACTTTTAATGATATTTCAAAGTAATTTATTGCCCAATGCAATATGAAAAATTCTTCAGCATATGTACCAGTACCAAAAAGGTTGCTGATGCATCTTACACAAAGTGTTTCGACGTGTAGTTGCAGAAAAGCATAAGATTTTGCATGGACCACCCATCTATGAGTACACGAAAAGTGACATACATAATAAATACACTTCACACTTTCAACTCTCCTTTGCCAATACAACAGAAATAACAGTTATAACAATACATTAAAGTTGTACCTTGTGATGAGAGGTACAATATTTCATATAATTTTATCCTCTTCACCACTGATCAGCTTGTTAGCCACTTGGGTGGGTACTATATTAAATCTTTATTAAAGTTTTATATAAAGCATATGATAACCCTGAACAGTATACTGTACTCGGAAAAGAAATGCCAAACCACAAAGCAAAAATTGAAATTGCTATCGCAAAAAGTTTATTAATTTTGCCTACTGCAGTCACTAATTGATTCTCTAAGCTCACCATATGATTTTTAGGAGAATTTCAATTGCCTGTTTTTCAAAAGCTTATATGTCATTAACGACCATTACTCCTGATTCCTTAACTAAGCGATGCTACCGAGTTCACTGTTTAGCTCATGCCCAAGGAAACTGTTTGGATGAATGTACAGTATGTAATATTTTCCAGTCATGAGTGGCATAAGCACACATGATACAAAATATTAATATTAATGAATGGGGAGTCAACTTATATATTAAAAAACTAAATATATATAAATAATATTGCCGTCCCTCCAATCGTGAGTGTGTACAGTTAGACTAATGTTATTTATGACGGGAGAGAAGTCAGAGAGGAACTTGCAGCTACCATAACTGTGTGAGGAACAACTGTCACAGCTACAACTGGCTGAAATACAATTATCATTGTACTGTACCTTACAGATTCTACCCCCACCAAGATAAAAATTACCAGAGCTAAAAATTATTATTAAACAATCATCACAGGACCATCAGTGTTTCAGTATCAGTTTATATATTTCTACATCTGAACTGGATGAGGCTCCTGTAAACTACTGTGTGAAGACAAGAGACAACTGCAATGTTCATATTTAAAACTCTCCAACTTAGTTCATCAAATAATTTATCACAAGTAAAATTAAACTCCCTTGGAGAAGATCTCTTTAAATAATAAAAGGTGAATTAAAATGAATATACATGTATACATTATAGTACAGTGCATCACCTCCATTAAGCTAATGTTCCCTTATATTACTACACCAAATGTTTCTATGTAGCCAATATATTTTTCTAAATGTATTTTTTCCATCTTACCTGAGAACAAGAACAGACAACATGATGGAATGATTATATTCTTGGGGGATAAGATTATCTGTGTGTGTGTATAAATGAGAGAGAAAATAAAGGGCAGTAATACCCTGCTTTACGAGGCTCTCGTTTACGCGGTACTCCGCCAGAACCGGAATTTCAACTTTACGCGGTGCATCTACTCATATACGCGGGAAGCGGCGCGGGCAGGGTGCACACAAGGTTGCCCAGTCATCAAAACATTACCGAGTTCTTTACCCGCCACCCACCACAGCCTGCCCAAGTCAGTGATAGTGATAGTGAGGATATGGACTTTCAGGGGTTTGACAAGGAGGCCCTGCAAGCCTCTGTGGTGGATAGTGATACAATTGATACAAGTGATACAGGTGAGGGCCAATAATCTGCCCTCTGCCTCAGAACCAACCTCCCATCCCCGTGTTCCCAGCCATCTTTTCTACTAATGTAAGTGTTAAAAAACCTAATATTATTGATATTTCTTTTAATTATTGTGTGTGTATACCATCATAAAATTAAGATGTTATTTTTACTGCAACGTACGTATTGTGTCTGAAAAAGTGGAGTTTGGGGGTCGGCCCAGTCTCTATTAATATTAATCCCATATGTTCTGTTGTTCCATTTAAGCGTTTCCCGCTTTACGCTGGCCTCCGTGGGTTCAATTGGCCGCGTAAAGCTATATATATATATATATATATATATATATATATATATATATATATATATATATATATATATATATATATATATATATATATATATATATATATATATAAAACAAAAATCATTGCACACACACACAAAAAAAGGCTTAAGTTCATACTCAGAAATTAAACAAAACAGTAAAGTATATAGTTTGTACCTAAAGTATATACATGTAGTATATAAATTCCAACACATCAGAGTTGATATGCATACATTTAGTAGTACAGTACCATGTATGTACAAAAAGCATGATATAATTACAAAGTCGATTAATAACCTGCTACTCAGTCATCCATTCATAATCCTAGTCATCACATGAATCCTCCAGCTATATTATAAGTGTTATGGAAAAGAAGGGCGTAAGGAGCCCATGCTACACCATCCTATAAGGGTAAGTCAGTGTATTTACTTAGGATTGCACCGCCTTATCATGTGAAAGGAAAGTTGAGTAGTTTAGGCTATATTGACATTTCATGGGATAACATTTAGTACATTTAGTGGGAAGTACATAATGTAACAACTCAAATTTTATCCTATGAAAGGACTATAACATCCTATACTGGATTGCAGGCAGTCAGGCTAAACTATATTAGCCTATTACAGAACAGGGCAGTTAGTAGTATGGACACTGAACAACCTCATTCATCCAAATAAGTAAAGTTATACCTTTTGTTTATAGCCTCATACAAATCATCATCATCATCATACAAAAATACTTAATTTATACATTGGTTAAGACCCATTTTATACTGATGTTCACAGTGTCCAGATAAAACTTACAGTATATGCATCCCCAAGTCATTCCCTAAGCCCAGCTGTGTACTTCATCGTGAACAAATGAAATGCTTTGAGAAATGTTCACTTCTTTAAAACATATTAGTTCTTTACTGATAGGTTAACCAAAATAAGATATTACACTCTTTTGTTCTTCACTTGTATAAAAAGGAGAATCATATTTCATCTCTTAAAGGCAACATCGCTAAGTAAATGAACCAATTATAAATATTTAATGTTAATAAGTGGCTTAAATATCGAAGTATATAAAATAATAAATACTAACAAAGAAATACTTGACGCAATCTCATTACAACTTAGTCGATTATCATTAATTACAAATAATTAGGATATATGAACACTGCACTACTTCAATAATTATTTTGTCATAAAAGGTAAAGACAACTGCAATTACCTTCACCCTGAATTATGAGAGTGTAAGTGTGTGGCTACAGGAATGTGTTTGAATTAGTTAACTGAAATTGTTATCTCCTCTTTGCATTTAAACTATTAACAAAATTAATGCATGTAATAACAGCAATCATTAAGAGCAACTGAAGGGAGAGTGTGTATTGTTCTCAATTCTGGTTACTCAGTGATGTACTGTGGTGGGGAAGAGATTCTAGTGAAAACGAGTGAAAATGTATATTGCTTGTGTACTAATGATCTCAAAACCAAATATGAAGACATGGTAAAAGATTAAGGTCACTGATGTCGTGTTACTGATAGTATACAGCTCTCAGCACATAGCTTGCTCTTCACCTAGCAGGTACTGTACCTATCACCAGATGTCTAGATGAATCTGAGATGACAAGGGGTCTTTAATTATTTGTGGACATGCTTTTATTGATAGGTTTTAATGAATATATATAAATATGTAATCTTTTGCAAAGGATTAAACAGTATGGAATTAATGTGGTATTACTTTGGCAAAGACATGATGTAAGATACACATACATGTAGTACTTACATTATCATCTATAAATATTTCTCTACTGGAACTCACGGCTGTAAAATCCCACGAGCAATAAGAGAGTCTTGAAGCATATTGTACAGCTGCAGCTGCTGCTCTGGTTTCAGCATGTACACCTGTAAACATCACAAATAAAAAATTATTGTTTGTGACTTTATACTACCGTTATTTTACTTAACTTCCCCTTGGTCCATCCAAACAAAAGGGAGGTCACAGTCACAGTACAGTAGTATTGCTTCTGATCCAGGTAATAGTATAACCTGTTAAACTTTTATTTTTCTGGGAACCTTAAGAGTGCCAAAAAAAATCTAAACATGATGGCATCAACTCTATACAGCTTCGAGGAAAGCCCTGTTATATATATACCCTGTACACAAATATATCCACAAAATTCTAACCTTTTGCAGAAGCTTCTGAGGTGATGTTTCTGAGATGAATGTCATTATATAAACATTCACAAATGTGGCCATTAAATACTGGCAGTCAAAGCGGTCCATCATTCCACCATGGCCCGGGATAACATCACCAAAGTCCTGCAAGTAGATAACTTTACATGATCTTCTGTAATAGTAAATAAAAACAAAACTTGAAGAAACACAATGATTTCATAGAGTATACTTGGTAGCATTCTGGTTGTAAGAAGTCAAAGGAATTTAAGTCGTTGCAGAAAAATTAATTAATTTCTTTTGAACACCTATGGGTACTTTACCTTACTCTAACCAGCCAAGAACCTGACAGAGGTGGTCCATGATACCACATTTACCGGCAGTAAACCAACCTCCCTATGTGTGTGTGTGTGTGTGTATATATATATAGGTATATATATATATATATATACCATATATATATATATATATATATATATATATATATATATATATATATATATATATATATATATATATGTGTATATATATATATATATATATATATATATATATATATATATATATATATATATATATATATATATATATATATATATATATATATATATATATATATATATTATATATATATATATATACATACTGTATGTAATAGTCCCTGTCTTATAAGCAGGAGTATTTATATAAATGGGTTAATTACATTTGATTTATATACTCTATCACCCTCTGTAACTTTCCACTAGCTGTGAGGTAGCATGTTCAGAGCACGAGATAAGTTGTGCCCACGGGAAGTCGTGTCACTTAGTGCTGAGCTAAGGCATTAAGTAGCCGGCTCTCTGGCCACCTCTTGTGGCAGTAGTTTGATATCCTTGACTAGAGGAAGACGTTATTGAGAGCCATCGTGGATGGTTCCGTCTTCCCTCGAGGGAGGACGTATATTACCGTTCTCCCTCGTTGGATATTACAGGATTGTCACTCAACACCTCACACCAACCGGACGTATTTAGAAGAGCTCTTTAACATAGCCTCCGTCCTCATCTTAACACTCATAGCTACAGTGATTAAGTTACAGTGATATACACTTGGAACTGTATATGAGATAGTTACTCAATAAATAGAGAACAGACAATTGGGTTTCGCTACTAAAACCCTATATACTTTTACATGTTCCAGCCCCATTAACCCAGAAGGAATCAACAGTTAAAGGGTCAGTTCATATACCTGTATTCATACAGTAATTGAATTTATTGATGTATATCACCAGGCGATGTACAGGCGCACCAGAAATTTAGTCTTTCTGAAAACTGATATTTGGAATCGTGATACTCAAAAGTACCTAAAGAGATAATTATTTCTTACCTTAATCTTAAATGCTCTCTTAAAGCCACTGGCAAAGAAACCTCCAAAGGGTCCAATAACGCTGCTGAAGACGGACAGTGCAACTGAATGAAGAACAAATGGGTACATAGTCACAGTCTTCTTCCAACCCAGCTGAAATGAAAAGCAAAAATGTAGAAATCTTTGCATTTAGTCCATTCCAAAAATAAATAAATAGTGTAAAAAAATTAAATTAGCTACTGTATCATTATTACAAAATTAAATTAAACAACTTAAAAATTTCAACTGGTAAGCTAGGTTACAGGGAAACCTACATATTTCAGTGCTGTATGTTGGATAATTTTTGTTTTAGTGCAATGGAAATAAACCTATAAATATGGAAAGACACGCAAGAGCACTTCAACTGGCATATTATACAGATGAAAGAACTCCATTGTCAAGAATAAGCTGTACTGGTGTACAAATGATGACAGGAAAGGCATAAAAAGTGCTATACAGATACACTATACAAGCAACTGAGTGCATTCATTATAAAGAGGAAATGTCTCATAACATACCAAAGCAGAGAAGTTGGCCAAAGTCTCAGGTAAGCTGTATTCCTGGGGTCTGAATATGGGGGAAGGATCGCACGTGTAATTAAAACTGTCCTCGGACTCGCTGAATTCCACAGGGCACACGAAGAATGGATACTGGCACATCAAATAAGAGAGCTGTAAAATAAATAAAGTCTCAGTGAACAAGAAGGAAAAATTTCTTTCAAGGAACATTGTTTATTATATTTTGATAATATTGTTTCTTTGGCATAATGCCCTGCACTAAAAAATTAACCTATTACCTACTAAGTCTACACATATGGATGCATAATCACACATACAATCTCATGTACACAAGACTTACATACATACACACTCATAAATATTGTGCTGTGCTTCTATATAGACACATACGAGGTCTTGGCCTTGACTCATGTTCCTTTTCTTCATGGCCTTTTCTACCTAACAACTTGTCTTATTTTGTAGTTTTAGGGTAATACTTTATGAATGTGTGAGAAACATTTATAACATTTCACAATACGTATACCTGAAAACTAAAAATAATAACTACTTGTACAGGGGGTCCTTGCCAAACATTGTACCAATATACACCATTTAACATATACGTTGCTAACTAATACAGGAAGACATATTCATTATACAGTATATCAACTGTTTCACATATGCGTTGTCTGCATCATCCAATGTTTTATACTAAGCCTGTGTGTGCCCGAATATGATGCATAAATAGTGTTAAATGCACATCTATTAATACCTTAGATAAAACACAACTGAATTTACTAAAAATATACTGTATCATGAATATGATTATATTTCTTGAACTAATTTATTATGAGCTTAAATAAACTAATCTGCATTAGTGTAATATGCTGGCTGTTGCTTTGAATAGTTGTGCTTTCCTGCTGATATGGACGGCCGAATTAACGGATTTCATCTAAGTAACGACGTTGCTGTCTTAATTAGTCCAGTACTTTTTTATTTACTGTACACTTCAAAAATCATTTTCCTAAGTACTGTACTGTATATTCATAAGAATACAATCAGTCCAAAGGCAAAAACTGAAGAAAGTAAACTGTTTAACAGATACTGAAACAAAAGCATTTAAGAGCTTACCATCATTCCCATGAAGACTGTTGAAATACCACCACCAATGAAGCCCTCCCAGGTTTTCTTTGGGCTGAGTTGAATGAGTGGAGTCTTGCCAAAGAAGAATCCAAACATGTATGCCATGACATCATTGATGACAATCATGGACACAGGCACAATGAACCAGATCATGCCATGGAAGATGTTGATGATGATAAGATAGCTCTGGGTGACCACAATAAGCAGAGCAACGTGCGTCCATGCAAACAGAGAAAACTGTCGCATGTAGTATTTCTTCTTCAAAGAAAGCACAAACCACACAAATCCAACAATGTACATGAAGAATGAGGTGAAGCGGTGGTAGGCAATCAACCAACGCATTATATCCTGTTGGGTATAAAAAGATTGGTAAAGCTGTAAAATTTGTTTCTCTTTAAAAGTTTAAACACAGTAGAGTAACTGGTCATGACAACCCTACTAGACAGTCCCAGGAATGAAAAATCAAGAAATGATCCCATAAATCCCATCTCACAGCTGAATCGAAGTACAGTACCTGGTTGGCACTAATTATCACAGTCTTAAAGATCACACTGAAAGAAAAGGCCATACAAGTTCTTAGATGCCTTAGAGATAAACCTATAACAGCTGCTTGTAACAACATCCTTGCTAGGGCACACGAAAATAATGATAAGAATTAACATATGCTAAATAGCACTAAAACATTCAAAACAGGAAATCCATCCCTGAACACGGCCAAATCAATTACTGCTTAACTTGGAATGCTTCAAAAGGTGATTGGCAATGTCTATTAGAACAGTGATCAGGAATTCCCAGCCATAGTTTAAGGGTCAAATATTGTCTTGGAACAGTGTCAAACTTCCCGAGAATTTACGACATTACTGTAACACATTTTACTATTTTCAATAAAACATAGAATGATGATGAGGATTAACAATACAGTACAGTATCGTACTTACACTTTTGGAGAAGATAACACTGAAGTAGTCGGCCACCAGTGATTCTCCATAAAAGAAATAATTGCTGGTGATCAAAAACCACCAAGAGAGAGACCTGAACCAGGGCAGGCCATGCATTCTGTAGACTGAGTAGCCTATATTGATGATCTCCTTGAAGCACCACACCTGTACCAGTAATGTCTGCCAAACAAAGAAATATAATAAGATAACAAAATAACAAATCCATCTTGATACAGCAGCACATTAAAAAAAATAAATAAAAAATTATATCAGTAAAATCCCCATAATAAGGCCTTCAGATAATGTAAGGCATTCCTAAGTGGTGGAATGACCAAGCTGTCACAAATCTGAAATTCACCTTCAAAATATCTCCCACTCTTTTCTGACTATCATTCATTGATACACTTCCATCAAAAAAAAAAAATAAAAAATTTTGCTATTGAGAATTCTTACCGTGAACATTAGAGCCAGTGGGCCAACAAAGATAATAAAACAGAAGAGACCAATCATGAGCCAAGTGAAGATGCCTCGTATCACCCAGTTTCTCCATCTGTTGACAAAGAAGGGAAACAGCATTAGTGAGATGGGAGACAATCATTGTGGTATAAATCAATCACAATAATGCACTGTTGATTAATAACATATATGCACTTTAATATTGTATCCATCCCCCTACCCATCTATGATACTACACTATATGTAATACAGTACACAAGTATATTTTTGTCTTGATACACACAAGTGGCCGAGGAGGTATTCTCTCTCAGATGCCATGGAAAATGACCATCTCTGTAAAATCCTCAACATTGATATTTACCCCCTTTTAGCATTAATTTTAAGCAGCTTCAATTTTTCATCATGAAATTAGGATGAACAACTAAAAAATGAAAGACTGATTCTAAAATTCTGTTTTATGATGTGAAGTAGACATGGTGCTGAAGCTAGCCATTTAACAAGTCATGGGGCCGAAGTCAAGGCTTTTCAAGGCTACACAAAACTTTAACACCATTACCGTACTTATATAATATACTGTATTCCCTTACATGTTGATGGGAATACTTATGATATTCTAAGTTACAGTAGACAGTGTGGATACAGTATACAATAATTAGCCTTCAGTACACAGGAAGGATGAGTGGCCAGTACTGTGCTACATTCAACTGCTTTACTTTCCCAAGTTACAAGTTAATTAACCATTTATATTTGGATATTTTTGTGAACAAATATTATGTAAGCTTCTTATAGTGGAATATTAAATGCATAGCCCTTTAATATTAGATTCGAACACTCCAATAGACTTTCCTATGTAATAATAATGATACAGTATAAGTAATGTCTTAGATACAACTCTCTCAGGGAGGATCAAGAAAGTCAATGTTGAACTTAGCATATACAAGCACCAGCACCCAGGTCTCTCACTCACATATTAAGAGAAATTGGCAGACAGTTACAAAAACAGCATGTCTCGTAGGCTCTCCGGACACAACTGTATAATATAATGTACAGTACCTTGGTGGCAATGGAGAGAGAATAGTGTGAAGGAAACTAGGCTGTTGATCAGTTCCATGAGGGGTATGCTTTGTTCTGTGTTCTAGTGTCTGCTCTGGGACACGGTCATCATCTGAATCTACTTCTGAGCTGGGTACAATCTGCACACAGAGACAAGTGGCTCATTAATGATCAATAACAAATACAGTGATTTCAAACTTATATTTAATGCACCAATACTCCTTCAGTACATACTTCCATGTCCTTTCACCTCCATCAAAGGACATACTGGTACTCCCTAACTATATGCTTTCATCACCTTTCACAGCAATATGTCTTTATGTACCTTCATCTCCTTTACTACACTTATACTTAACAAAATACTTGCATATAATCTACTAATATCATTCTAAATAATATTCTTCACTGTACCTGGAAAAAATGATATATTCCATTTTTATGATCAATGGTGAGCAGAAAGCTAATGATAGTAACACTGACTCAAGATGATAGATCCAACTTATCAAGCTACTGCACAGGTAACAATTAATAATTCTTAAATGAAGTAGGTAATTAATGAGTACCAACTTATGTAAAGTTTCATTGAAATCTTAACAGCTTTTTATACAAGGCAAGGTTTCTAAACAGAAAATTTGAAGTCTTGTTTGTCGAGATTGTTATATATACAGTACAGTATATAAAAAAGGAACAAGATTACACACACCTGGTATACCTGCTGGTAGGCTTTGACTATATTAATAAAAAATGCTGTACTGTAGGACTTTTGCATAACAGCCTACATTATCTACCACAGGTTGAAATCTGCACCTTACACTTCACATTAGATGGACAAGGTTATTAAAGCCTACAGCAGCTCCCTGTACCATTCACAATATAAACATCCCTTAACCACCATGAATATTGGCTGATATTACAATAATATCACTCAAACTGATAAAATTTATACAGTATTTCTGAGAACATTTCTAAAGCAAGGGTACCTAGTTTTAGGAGTAAATCATAAAAAAGAACAGGCCATGATACATATTACATATTCAAATTATCAGGACGTTTTATTGCGAGTAGTTCACTAGGAAACAACCTGATACGTATAAATAACTGTGTTAAAGACATTACGGTACATAAAGTGAGCTGATAAATAGTTATCATCAACCTTTATACTCATACTGCACTTCAAGAACAATGATAGTGAGAATTTCAGTAGTTATGAAATCATTTTTCCTGTCATGTTACTCAACACCAACAACCTAGTCATGTACACTCTCAACACAAACTTCTCCAACACCTGGCACAATCTATGTGAGAATGAGCACAATGGGGGCTTGTCATCTCGGAATGGTTTCAGATTCTTTGTTCATTTTCAGACTGCATAGTGCTTATAGCATTAGAGAAGTTTTTGGTGAGAGTACCTAAACCTTACATCAAGTAAATTAATACAGGGTACCAGTACTGTACATAACTTGGGTGTGCTCATTTAAAAATGTCATATTCTTGTTACTGAGATTTGCTTCTTCAATACCACTGCAGCTAGTGTGTACAGGTGCTACAGCCCATCTCTATGGTCCTTGTCAACTTTTGTCAGTGGAAGGAATAACTGCTTTCCTGATGGCTAGTTTAAATTAAGGATAAAACTTGCAGATATCATTTTCAGAAAACCTAACTAAGAATCATTCACTTTCCAACACTGAACTGCATTTGTAGTTTCACTTGATGTATTGTATTGTTATGAAATTAATTGACCATGGAGAGTGAATCATACATCAGTCACATCATAACATACTATATAAAATATGAACACTGAGGCAGGCATGAGTGCTGTAGAGCCAGATACATGCACACACACAATCTCCCCAAATCCCCACTTGAAGGTTTTCCTCTGGCTACAAAAGAGAGGAAGCATACCAATTATTACCTAACAGGAGAAGTGACATCATGACATTCATTTGCTAAACTATTTTACGTCCATTGGTATACTGTACTGTATACAGTAATAAATTCTCAAAATATAAACTGTTTTGAGTGTATAAATGAGGTCTTCTGGGTATCTGTATTTATATATACTGTATATAAAAAGAGTCCCTTGGTGTCACAGCTGTTTAAAATATTAGACAAGGTAAAAATGCAGTTAAACATTATAATACTGTACTGTAAAATATACCATACTGTACTCAATAATAATAATATGATAATAACTGAATATCAACCCATCAAAACAATAAACATGACTTTTTAGCCACAACTCATAAAATATAACACCACTTGATATAGCTATTCTCAGTCTTCACATGAGGGAGACCTAACATCAATACACCACCATTTAGAGGGTGAATGCATCCTTAAGTTTGAGAGGTGACCAAACGGCAACACCCCTTTAAGGTCTCACAACTCGTACAAACACTCTGCTGTGCACTCTCAGCTTGTTGGGTGGAGAAAAAATGTATAATAATAGCTTAATATGAATTACTGTATATGTCATAACATAAATGGTGGTGTTGGGTAATAGGTAAAATAAAATACTGTATTGTATATGTCAAAAGAGAAAATAATATATACATAACTGATCAATAAAAAAAATTATAATAATAAAAATTACAGTCCAGAGAGGACTGGGACTTAATGAGTCTGACACAAAATGGGAGTTGAAAAAGAGGAACACCAGCAGAATAACTTCACACACTGATTTTCAAAAAGAAATCAAAGAAATTTAAAACCAAAGAAAATGTAATAACGGCTAAATTTGGTTACCTAATGCAGAGTGCACACAAGGTACTCTAATGTGGTAACACTGTATTAGACACTGCTACATTCTATAAATCATAGATTACAAAATAAAACAAACTACCCTATCTAACCAAACCTACCTTAACCTAACCAAACAAAATTTACGATTTTTTCTCTTAGGTCTGCAGTACCGACACACAATCACCGAGAAGATAATATGGCATAGGTTCTCAGTTGACGGCACCACCCACAGAAATTGTATACTACAGTAATTTATATCCAGCTTAATGTATCGTATACTGTACTGTATATTGCTCGTCCATTTTTTGCCGATTTCATGATAAAAAAGAAAGTATTTGTATTCTTCAGAGAAATGTTGTACAGTACAGAAGCTACATAATTAAGGTGCACAACTAGTTTTAACTACTACAAAAGATTCTTAAAAAATGTCATGGTCTTGTCAACAGAGCTATGTCAGGGAGACTCACTGGACTATGACAGGAACAAACCAAACCTGATCTTATGATTATGTTATTCTTCAAGGCTAATATTCCCCAAACATCTGCAAACAAGCCTAAATAATATACAGGTATCGGTGTTGCATTATGAACCTAAATCATACGCCAGTGTTTGTGTACCCACCCACCAGGTGAGTACAATGATCAGGTTAGGTTAGATTCTTTTAGTTATGTTTCTAACTGCACATTTTCCCCCTGCTTTAAAGTCCTATCCACCTTTAATATGGTTAGTAATGACACAGTAGAAAGGGCCATAACTCAATACCTATACTATAGTAATTAAGCATTCACCCAAACTTTCAATATCATCAATGAACTCGTATTCAGCATGAAAATATTCCATTAAAAATTTTTGTTTATCATGCCGAAATTATTTGTCAGGAATTAAAAAATAAATCTACACAAAAATACAAAAATATAACTTCAGTAAAACCTATATATAAGAGACTTCTCTCTCCATATAATCCATAAGATGGGGGCTTCACATCTAACAGACCTTGATATAATGGTACAGAGGCTTTATTGTAGTTTAGGTGTACAGTACAGTACAACAAATGAAAATAATTGCAGTAAAGGTTTGTGAGGGACCATAATAGGAAATTATAAACCAAAATAGTTTTTGTTTATGTTTTTCTTGGTGATTTATGGAGATATGACCCACTACCAATATCAATGGTTTGTTACAGTTACCAAGCCTTTGAAAACCTAACCTGAACCTAACCTAACCAAACCTAAAATACTGGTAAGAGTAATGATTTGTTTTATGAATGAACAGGAATGTTATTACTAAAATAGCGTTTACCTTGTTTTTAACTGTGATTTAAATTATATGACCTTTATTTCCTGCACTAATGCTTATTTAAGGGTGAGGATAATTTGTGAATACACTGTACTTATTGATGGAGATGTATGAAGGGCAGATACCAAGACATGGATGCCTATGTAGTGTAAAGAGGTAATAATAGCATACCACGACACGTAGCAAACGTATTCATGATGATAAATTGAAACTAACACATTAAAAGTAGCTGACGTTCTCATGTCTTCTACATACTGCAATTATATTAAGTACATACAGTGAGGGTAAAGGATCAAGGTAAACCATTCAAATAGCATGTTAAGTAAGGGTTGAATATATGTTATGGCCTCCCACTTGAGCTGCTACGTGTCTTAATATCTTTTGCACCTCAGATGTTTTGACACACACATTCAGAACTTAATGACAATACCAATACCTGCTCGTGTCTGTCCTCTGTTTCTGTCATGCGTTTTCGTAATTCCCCCTCAATTTCGGAAGTCATGACTGATACGTGTAACAAAAACAGACGACAATATGTCCACGGCTTGGCTGGGTTATGACAAGTGGCAGCGGGTGTAGTGAAGACAGCCTTAATGTCGCTGGTCTTCACAGGTTACTTGAGATACTGAAACCTGCGCACTGCTCCTCTCAGTGCCCTTCCTCACCCGCCTGTGTAGTATATTCAGGAGTTACTGTACATTTAACCATAATATCAATTATTTCCTAAGAGCTGTAGTACCGTGAGGTCAACTTGTTGCCCAATGTATTATTTTAAATCACTGTAAATTTAATATTATTTCAAGCGTAAATTTCACTCTCCTCCTAAAATATGCCTGTAAAAAAACTCTTAAATCACAACAATATCAATTCCCGACGACCGAGAGGTGAGAGTGAAGGAAAACTGTTAAAGGATTGAAGGTAAACTGACCCAGTAACAAATACATTCAACCATTGATCACAAACGTAAACACATCCAAGTCCTCAGTGTTTACTAACCCCTGTTAACCTTTATATATGTCAGGGCAGGTTAAATGAGACTAGAGGACCGACTTTTCTTAAAAGTTTGATTATCTACGTTTTCAGTTTTTTCACAACCAACGTCACGCACAGCCCTACGTGACCGATCACCCAAGAGGCTCACAAGCTGATCAGTGGCGAAGAGGATAAAAGTACTGTACATATGACCGGGGATAGGGTGAGGCGAGACTATATGCAGAAGTGCAGCGGTTCTGGATATGCATCAACTAACTTAGACGACTGTGAATAACATATTGAGACTGAGGTATGTTAGATAAGTTATTTATCCATTTATGTTTTGCATTTGTGAACACTATAATTGTTGGAGTTAATGTTATACTTAAACACTGTATTTGGGTGGCCAGCAAATAAATGTTAAGGGCTGCATGAAATCTCATGATATATGCAAGAAAGTGTTAAACCTAAGAGCTGATAAACTCAAACATAGTAATACTTGGTCTTTATGGTGCTAAGTGACTATAAGAGTTGTGTGTTATTGAGTATGTCCACCCAGTAGTGGTGTGAGTATGTTGAGCCTGAGGGCCTAGTACTAGATTTCGTCTGTTGGTACAAATAAATTCTTTCTCCTAATTTCATATTCATGTTTAAATAAATTTTGTATTTGTATAATTGTGTCTATTATTCACCTACAGTATTTACCGTTATTTCTTCCCTATTGCTTGATACTATCATTACATCTACCCACGAGCCTCCTCTCGTCACGCTACCAATGGTAATAAGTATGAGAGTAAAAGGAATTGTTACTGGCACACAGAGGCCCTCATAAATGGTGGCAGCTCAGGCCCTCATACTAATTATTATCTCAAACGGGTATTCGTTCACTAAGTCAAAGGAGAAACTAGGGATAATAGGTGCAAAGCTTTCTTCGCTCATACGAAGATATTTGTACCAATCACAATTATCTAATTTCGGTTCCTCTAAGACATTTAAGTGAGAAAATCACTCGCTGTTACGAAGAGGATAACGTAGCAATCAAGGAATATCATAAGGAGCGATTAGTCATACGGGACTAATTCAATCCTATTAGTCGGATGCTTATAGTGGAGATGGAGTTGGGACGCTAGTGTGTTGCTTTAACCTTGGCTTGGTAGTGTGGCGGTAGATAGAAACACCGGCCACCGCTCTGTTATTTGTGGGAAAAAACAAAGGAAATGATGGAGAGATAAGGTTTCGTTTTTTTTCTAAAAAGACAGGGAAAGGTAAGTTCATAGTGACGTGGTTCATTCATAAGCAGTGACTATTAAATTGCACTTTAATTTATCATTTCACAACTTGTCTTACTCGCTATTCGGGCGGCAGGAATCGTATGTGTTACTTTTGTGAACTAGATTATCTAGGAGCACCCATCGAGTAATCCCCTCATTTTATAGTTGTTTGTAGTGTAATTTTATCTCGGTAAAATTGCAGATTACAGCAACCAAAGAATCTGATAAAAAAATGTTTTTTAGTGGTTTTCGATGCGATTGGTTCAAATCAGACATTCGTTTTTTTGTCGAAATTCACTCATTTTGAATCCCCCCTCATAACAGTTCTATCGATTGCATGTTCTGAATTCCCGGTATTCTGTGCTTGCTAACTTATACAATATAACCAAACTGAACCTTATTTAATCCCCTAGCTGGGGGCTGCGGCCCCGGATCCCGGTGACCCCCAAACACTATGCAATAACCCTAGAGTCGCATGGTCAGCCTCCACGAGAATATAAATAGCCGTTACAGTATTTCTTACATTACTCCGAGTCAGGGCCAGAGTCTGAGTCAGGGACCAGAATGCGTCGTGGGTTCCTCAGTTCTCTAAAGTTTCCTTATTTTTAGAATGAAATAATACAATAAACTTCCAATAATCGAAATTTCACCCAACACATAATGGCTCCATGTTGCAACTGATTAAAAATGTCCCGCATCCTACTACCCACGCCGAATATTGAACACTAATTGGTTGAATCAAATGTTGATTTGACTGGCTGCGGCCTCCCACGATTTGATTGGCAACAAGTTTCTTCTGGGTACTACAGTTTCCTCCTGTACTAACGCCACTAACAAAGAACAGGCAAACCGCCCGAACCTCTTGTGCATTATGCAGAAGACCCGACAGCAGCACCCTTATCCACTACCTCCAAAGATGTCCCCACACACAACGCTTCCGTGACGCCTGCTGGACCACCACTCCATGACCCCCTGACGGAGACACGATGATCCTCCCCATACTGGCCAGATATTATGTAAATAATATTGATTATGTGTTAAAGGAATATCCTTCCTTCCTTAGGCTTTAGTAAGCCCCTTTATAATATTTATACTGTATATACTTGTCACACTTGTCAGATGCTTCTGGTGTCATTGTACAGGGGTACCTAGTGACAGCACTAGGATCCCGCTTCCTCTATCAAGGAATAAACAATTGAAATTGAAATTGAACCGCCCGAACGGCTAATAAAGTAATAAGTGGTGAAATTATTAATAATAAAAAATTATAATTAAATGAATGTTGATGGTATCGAAAATAAAACTAGCAAGAAATACTAAAGTTAGCGTTAAAAATAAAATTAAATACGCGAGAATGCAAAGAACCATTTTCTAAGAGTTCTGAACCTAAAGAAAATATAAGTGAGTCTTAGCTCATAATATTCCTTTGTAACAATAGAAGGCGCAAGATATGACGTTAATAAGCTGGTGTTCGGGCCGTGTCGAATAACTTTTGATGCGTATATCATTTCAAGCGTCTATTGTCTGCACATGTTGCAATATATTTCTATTTATTAGCTTTCCGTAAATTTGACTAAATAGCAGATTAGATAGCGATTCTTCCTTTTTTATATTCGTGTTTTCTCGACATAGTCTTTAATTAAATCACTATTTTTTCTTCATGGCAGACCTAGTAAAAGGCCCTGACAAACTGTATGGTTATACTTGCTGTTTCTGCATCCGTGCAGCAGCTCAGCCGCATGCCAAAATCATCACCTCCCACACATCCTTGTATGCAATGGGCACTGCGTCATGAACCATGTTTGTGCCCGCCCAACACTCAGTAGAGTATCAGTCAACAAGGCGCAAAGTAAGAGTGTTTTTGTATATTAGTTTATATACTCAAATGTGCATATCATACACTTGTTTGTAGGGCAGGCAAACATATGCCTATGTACATATGTTTTGATAAACAGAATAAAGAAGGCAATTTACGTGTCACTGGAAAAATCGGTAACTTTGCCCTCATATCCCGTCCTTGACACCCAGGTCAGCCATCAGGCACCGATATACACTAAAATACAGTATACTGTACATAATTATCATATGGCTGAGCTATCTTCCCGCGACGGTGGCGTCGCCAAGCGGCCGCTGTGTATAAATCACATTTAGCCCATTGCGCCTTATATGATATTGTGCGATAACACCAGTTATTCAATAAATACAATTTATATATAGTCAGTGGGTTATTGACATCCATCTTTAGATATCTAAGAATAATTTATCACCGCAATACATTGATTATTTTAAAGTAAAATATAATTATTTGGATATTTAATCCTTGCATGTCAACTATTTTGTAAACCTAGTGAGTCATCCTCCTATTCACCATTGTTCGTATATGCGTACTGTTCATGTGCATGCAGAATGAGAGTGAACCTGCATGGCAATTTTACTGAATATTTAAATGATTTTTATCATTGTAACGCCCGTGTTAAAAATTTTTATCGGCAAGCAAGGGTTTCTGTTTGCTGTGACTTACCTTCTACGCTAACCCTCTACATATAAACCATCGTCTTACGTCAACTTCATCGTTTTTGATCATAGAACATTTTAACATCGCCCCTCAAATATCACTCCCACTCAAACCAACACACCTCCCGCGTTTTCAGAGGTAAAGCAAGTATTATGCAGCTGTGCAGAAAAAAAATCCTGAATGGTTGGTTTATATTCAATTTGTAAATTGTTATTCCACATACGACTCAACCAAAGCTATTGTGTTGTTATTACGTTCATCTAGTTGTCAAATGATCGATCAGGTTAGGTTAAGAAAAATCCCCTACCATAACTCACACCATTTTATTACCTGGATAAAAACATTATCTAGAGAATATATGACGAGGTCTTTGGTGATACTCGAATAATGAGATCAATTTCTTTGCAGTTATATAATGTAACAGCTTTTTGTAAACGTGGTATATATAATTTCAGGATTCCTTCTTTGCTAAAAACACACTTCACTTGGTAAAAGAGTAGTAATGGTATTTTAGGCACCGAGATGCAATGATAGAGGGAGGACTGAAGTAAGTGGCACAGCTTCGGCATGTAGGAGAGGATCAGGGTGGACTGTGGTCAATACAGAAGGTGGCACAGCTCTGTGATATATGAGAGGGCCATCTGGAGTGTGTCGTACTTAGAGAGTTTGTATGAAGCAGACGGCAGCTTCGCTCTCAGTAGATCAAACGCTGAGTTGAGGTTTGTCATTCTTCTCCTCTCCCGGGCGTTGGCTGCCTGTCGCCGCCGCCTCCGCAGTGCCTCGGACGATGACAAGAGCGTCCCTCCACAACACGACTGTCGGCGAGAACCACAAAGATTTTCAGATAAGCTTTTGGCGACTGACATCTTTAGATGGGACTTCGGCAACACCTCTGACTTGTTTTGTTGGTTTTATATTAGCAGGAGTTTCAAATGCCATCGAAATCCTTGTATGTGAAGAGGATATCTCAGTGATGGATGATCTGGCGGAAACTGGGATTATTGTTGGCAATCTTCCTTCCACGACGATGTATGACGGTACAGTGGGTGAGGTGGTGAGGGCTGGTGGTGTAGGTATGGTGGAGTTGGCTGGTGTGACGATAGGTATTGTGGGCGTGGGGAAACCGTAGTGCGGGCGTGGCGGTGGTGGCTTAGCCTTAGAGTGTCGAGGCACAGGGCGGCGAGGTGTAGGCCTGATTGGTGCAGGTGGTCTGGGTATACAATGGACGAGCCCGGTGTGTTGGGCATCCATGAACGACACCCAGTACACCACTTTACACTAGCTGTCATCAAGACCCTCTTCAGCTGACCAGAAAACCCGTCAATAAAACTCCCCTCGTGACTGGTAGTGGTGGCGAGACACACCAGCCGAGGGCCGAGGATGAGACTGACCTCTGTGTTAAGGACGCGGCTTTATATACCGGCGAGAGGCTTCAGGTAATTAAAGTTGATTAGGGCCGCCTTAATAGGTAGTCAGTTCGGTGTTAGATAAAACGCCAGTTGAGGGAGATAATTATGTCTGGTTGGACAGGACGGCTGCAATGGCCATAACAGATAATATCAGACATGAAGGACTGGGGGATTACGAGCTTAAGGAAAGACTTCTCAGGGGCACAAAAACTGACATGTTTTGAGTTAATTGGATTATATTGGCTAATTTAAAAGACGGGCGTTGAACTGACTAACGAAATCAATAAGAACTGTCATATTTGGCGGGAGATAACACACTATACGTTCCCGCCGGATATCTTAAAAGTTTCTAAATCGATCATCTTGCATTTTTTGGATCACCTGAAGAATAACCCATTTGCTTATTTCACCTGATGATTAGACACCCTAACATTACTTGATGGGAAGGGGGAGATAATGTTAGGCTAGATTAGGTTAGGTTAATTTAGGTTAGGTTGAAGTTATATTTGAGATATATTTCTCCTGTGGTTTAAGTTATTCAGTCAAATATTTATGATAACTCCAATATTGAGGAAAAAATGACGTACGAAAGTTTGTGAATCTTTGTCGAGGGCCGCAGGTGAGAGGCGTGTATCGGTAGTCGTCTCACCTGACTCGTAATTACTGAGAAAATGAACGATCGACTGGTCAAAATTTGTACCCAAGTGGCAAGAGGTCACGATCATACGGTCACTAGTTATTGACCTGACTTATTTACCTTGTTATGATTTGACTTCACTTGGAAGGCATTATTGAAAAGTCACAATTTCATTAGGTTTCAAAATGAAGTGTGTAAATGAGAGAGAGAGAGGGGGGAGGGGCAGGGGGTGGTTAGGTTAGGTCAGGTCAGGAACAAGGCCCACTGATAATTAAGTCTTGTTTACGCCTGTTAACTATAATAGTGTGCGCGTGCCGGGAGCAAGGGCCTCCGGTAACACCCCGGTATAGGTCTACAGTCATACCTTGAACCCCCGATGAGATAAACACATTGAAAGTAACTCATCCAATTTTGTAGGGATACTATTTGTAGGGGCCTTCATCGGTTCATTAAAATACGAGCCAACGGTAAACTGACACCAAGAGGCGTTGGGCTTCTCGTTCCGGTGGAAATAAAGGGCAAGGCATAACAAAGAACGGATCAACACACCTGAACGCCTAGTAAGTTGATAAGTGCTGAAGTTTTAAATAAATAAATGCGTAGATAATATCATATCCACACACACACACACACACACACATCCACGAACACACAGCCTCTCATATATTTCACATCTTTGAATATTGTATAACATTTTTTCACAGGCTTAACCACTTAGAATAATGACATTGGTAAATTTAATACCTGTAGTACTAAATTAATGTTGATGAATATGACAACAAAATTATTAAAATTAGTCAACAAAGAAAGAGGCAAAGAATCACAGCACAACCTCGCTTATACTGTTTAACGGGATCCATCATCGCGAGACAGCCTACCGCGCCCCTATTAGATAAAGAAATCCAAGACCCTCAAGTCGATGTAAATCCTCTTAATGTTCCAGCCTGCAGGGGCGTGCGTCTGCTGTTGTGTTTATATGTTGTATTAATCGTGTCTTGTGACGGCTTAATAAGAGTTAAATTTGCAAACGATAACAACAGACCTACCCCTTCATTGGTGGTGTGAGCCTATGGCACAGCAGTCCTCTAAAACCTCATAGGCATACCATATAACAAACTTCATCGATGTCGAAATGTTGCAAATCAATGTTACTATGTATCACTGATCACGACCATATCCTAGGTTAGGTTAAGTTAGGTTTGATTAGGTTAGCGCTCATGTATGTTGAAGATTTATTCATTCTAAATCAATAAGTGAAAGGAGAAAAAATACAAGGGAAAGCGAGTTATTCAATAAGTATTTTTAGACGAGTGGCAGGACGGTGTTGTGTTATTGGGGAGGTGACAGGTGTAGGCGAGGGTCCTGACTGTCCACGGTGGCATCACATCTCCCACGAACCACCAGTTTCCCTCACGCCATAATATTCAAACATGTTTCACTTTCCCAAAATAACCTTCAACATGCATATTACTGATCAAAACGTCTATATTGAAATGAAGAAAAAATACACAACAATCAAATAAAGTGCCAACAACACCGGTTAGCAAACATAACTATCAGATAAGACAAATCCCAAATGTTCCTGTCGAATTAAATCCTCTTACATCACAGGAGCCATGATGGTGGTGAGTCGCTAGAGTTTTGTTAACTTCATCATGCGCTTTGGCAGTTGTTTAATAATAAATTTTAAGTTATAAGTCTTATTATTACTATCGTTGAAGCATAATAAACACTAAAGCAAGATTTTCATAAGTGTTGTGAAAGTATGAGCATTATGGCAACACATCTTAATATTTTCAGTTCTTCACATGCCAAGCGTCTTTTATTGTGTGAGGTTACGCCTACGGCAGATAACTCCTGCGGTTTTAACATAAATCAATCCAGGTACTGTACTGTGTCTGAGGATGGGAGACCTTATCCCAACACTTCAAACGTTTTAGAGGATACAGGTATATTGTTATTTAAATTTGAAACTACCATTACTTCCGTATTTACAGTATTACTGTAATTCTAAGCCCATTTTTGCCCTTTTCAACTAATCTAAGCTTCCCATTGGAGTACAAACACACACACACACACACACACACACACACACACACAGAAAGTGTTCGCTTAATCCACACAGTACAACACACGAGAATTTGGAAGTGTATGAATAATAAAACAAATAATGACAGAATTTTATAGTACAGTACTATTCGGCGTAAATTGGCACCTCGTTCGAGTAAATGCTAATTTTTTAAGAGTTGACATAAATACATATTATTAAAACTGGAAATTAATTTTGTCTTTTATCATAATATTTGATACTATTTCATTGATATATTTAACTGATGGGATTGGTATAGATTCTTCATCATTATTTTTACCTTTTTATAATATTTATTCTCTTTTTTTTCAGTGTTTAAGTGGTAATGTGTGTGTGTGTGTGTGCTGTAGGTGGTAATGTAAGTGTGTGTTGTCGGTTAGAGAAGAAAAAACAAACGAGAAAAGGGCTAAATCTACTGTACATCTTAACTTACGGGAAGAACTCACCTCGTATCTTCACTACACAAAGAATACTTATGACTACCAATATACCCTGGGTCACTTGTTGCAGGTACTCGCCCTACTAAACAATCATCAATTCATCATCTATCGATCATCAGGGGGAATAATTAGGTAATATTGATGGTAGTTGAGATAAAAGGTAATGACCTGCTCCTGATAGGGGGGAGGATAGTGTGGTCAGTTGAGTGTTACCATTGTCACTTGCCTGGTGGTGTAGCTCACGAACAAGTCCTCGTTAGTGTTGATGGACGGACAATATCGATAGGAGTGTTACTGATATAGGTAATGAAGGTAAGGTGATATTTTCAGTGATATAGGTGGTGGTGTGACACTGAACAAGGAAATACTACAAACATGTTGTAAATTAAGCACAGTTACATCAGTGAACGATTGATCCTTTTCTGTCATTATTATAGCTACATTTATCCCAGACGTGAGGAACATAACCCACACTATATAGGTCTAGCTATACCGGTACTAGGCCTAACGTTAATTTTAATAGTATATTATTAGTCGGGGTGCGGTGGCTAAGTGTATACAAACACTCACCTTCTGCTGTTGTTTCGTACCAGGGGCACCCACCCGACTCACCCAACTGTGTATGGGTACCCAAGTTCATAGCTGAGAAAGTTTGAGGGCGAGTGTAACGGCGACCGACCACCCTCAGTCCTTGAGTATCGACGGAAGGCTTATAGTCTACAATGTGGTGAGCCTGTCTCTTTCCCCCTAACAGATAGTCAGGCTTACGGGATTCTCCCATTTATGAATCTAGGAGCCATGTCTTTGTTATTGGTTTCATAATTCGATATACACCATAGCGTCGTATCACGAATATCAATAAATTTGTGAGGCCAGGTGACATCTGTGTATGACTTGTCTCACACTCACACACACTACTACTATTACTACTACTTTGCTGTCACTCGGAATCGAGTATGACGATCATCCAGCTATGATACAATGATATGAGTTATTAAGGATGTCACCTTCGTTGGTGAGCTCAAAGGTGACTAAAGAGACCGATACGGGACCGGCGGGAACGATCGCAGATGTTGCACATGTGGGAGGGCTACATCTAGTGCGGGAGGGGCGGCGGCAGAGTCTTTTCGGTGATGGCGCTTGCCTGCCTCGTTATGCAGTCGGGCTAACTCGAAACTATTGACACCTTGTGTGGTGATCCTCCAAGCGTTACGGTGTGGAGTAATCGTCTCCCAGGTGAGGGGGTCGATTTGGCACTTTTTCAGGTTTGTCTTAAGACTATCCTTATACCTTTTCAGTTGCCCACCAGCGTTACGTATACTATTCGTTAGGTGACTGTAAAGTAGCTGCTTTGGCAGTCTACTGCCGTCCATGCTGGTAACATGGCCAGTCCAGCATAGTTGTTCATGGACAATGGTAACCTCGATGCTCCTACAGTTGGTGTCAGCAAGAATACTGGCATTTGTTCTCTTGTCTTCCCAGAGAACTCGGAGGATGGAACATAGACTACGTTGGTGAAAGCTTTCAAGTGCCACGATGTGCCTCCTGTTTGTGACCCATGTCTCGCTGCCATATAGCAGGGTGGGGAGGACCACTGCTCGATATACGTGTAACTTTGTAGATAATTTCAGCTCCCTACAGCTGAAGACACGGGTACGGAGTCTGCCAAAGGCTTGAGATGCGCATCTAATCCGATGCTAAATCTCTTCATCGATGTCCGCGGTGGTGAACAGGTGGGAGCCGAGATACCGAAAGTGGGTAACATTAGAGAGGGTAGTACCATTAAGCTGGATGGATGGTGGAGGTGTGGCTGAGCCAGGGGCAGGCTGAAAGAGAAATCTGAGTCTTATGTACATTCACCTCAAGGCCGAAGTGTGCATACGTATCTGCGTAGGTGTTCAGGATCTCCTGTAGGTCTGCACCTTTCCTGTATCTGGTGGGCAGCAAAGATCATGTCAGTGGTGCCACGTGATGGTCACTCAAGACTCTAAAGCCACATTGAGATTCTGGGAGGAAGTTTTCCGTCTCAGGAAAAAGTCTATTTAGGAGGACTCAGGCGATAATCTTGCCAGCTAGCTACGGACAGCAGAGATCCCGCGGTAGTTACACACACACACACACACACACACACACACATTCATATAGTACAGCCACAAACATGGTAGCGGGGTGAATCAGGGTCAACATACTAAAAGCAAGATAATGTCGCTCACGTTGTAAAATTTTATCTCGTGTCCATCTCTGATAACATGTGTCTATATTTGGCTACGTGATGCGGCCCTTACCTTGTGTGTGATAAGACCACTTGTTTTATTATTATTATTATTATTATTATTATTATTATTATTATTATTATCATTATATTATTATTATTATTATTATCATTATATTATTATTATTATTATTATTATTATTATTATTATTATTATTATTATTATTATTAGCGCTTGTAATTGTAATAAAGACTCGTTTATAGCGTAAATAACATTGGAATTTACGTTAAACACTTTCAAATTCCAGCAGGTTGAGGGGCGCGTGAGACAGAGGACTGTAGAGGTGGTGTTGATCCGTGTGTGTGGTGATGGCGTGTGGCAGAGTGGAGGCGTGTGTTGGAGAGATGGGTGTGAGCCGCACCTTGATCACCCTCACTATCATCACCTCCCTCAGCGGGTTCCTCAACGGCTACGACTCCATCATGATCGCCGCCTGCATGATCTTCATTAGGTAAACAAACACTCGACAACATGGTCCATATTTCCATACTTTTTGTCATACTTTCATGCTTTTTTATCAAACTTTCATACTTTAGTCATGCTTTTTTGTCAATAATTTGTGTCATGATTTTTATTTTATTTTAACAACTAAGCTATACATGACTGACTAAACTGAGGAGAACTACATCCAATTACCTATTTAGAGAATGAAAAAAATAAACGTTGGTCGTATATGCATTTATGTATGTGTTAAAATAAACTTGTGTTGGCAGAGAGGAGCTGAAACTGACAACAATGTGGCACCAAGTGATTGTGGGCACAATAAATATGACAGGTGTGGTGGTGGTGCTACTGACCGGCCAGGTGACAGGTGAGGTCCATAACACAGTCACTCTCTCTCTAAAAAAAATACACAAAGCAGATCGAAGCAGTCCAGTTTTTCTTGAGACTAATTTATAACGATTAAAAGCACCAGCAAAAAAAGACAAAACATTAACTAAAAAAAGAACAGGATTAACAATATACACTGTTTTTTTTATTTCATATATATTCTTAAGTGAAGTGTTGTTATTGTTATTGTTTCAGAGCGTGTTGGTCGGTGGAAGGTGATTGTGGCGTCCAGTGTGTTTTTTGTGGTAGCGTCGGTGACATTGGCGTCGGCAGGGAGTATAACTCAACTCATTGTGGCTCGTGTATTCTTCGGGGTTAGCTTAGGTAACGTCACTCACTGCCTCTCCACCGTTAATTAGGTTTATAAACATCACTGCCTCTCCCCGCTAGCTTAGGTATATAAACAGTAACATCACTGACTGCCTCTTCCCCGTTAATTAGGTTTATAAACATCACTGTCTCTCCCCGTTACTGTGCAGCCTTCAGTGAGTCCTCAACCACAACGCCTCGAACATTTCCTTCATCAACAGCATCTACAGGAGAGTGTTGCGTGTTATTAACAGAAGAGGTGTTTTTTTAGGCTTGTATCCTATATGCAGTCTTACATTTCATAATCTTGAAAGCATTTCACAAATATCTTCGCGTCGTCCTGTTTTAGGTATGATTTATATTATTTAATGATAAACGAAGTCTTTTATGGCAAATTGTACCATATATGATATACAGGTAGTTTCCATTATATTATAGCATAGAGAGAGAGAGAGAGAGTGTGTGTGTGTGTGTGTGTGTGTGTGTAATAATAATAATAATAATAATAATAATAATTAACGGTTTATTGAAAGAGCTTGGCAGCCAGAAGGCTGAAAATATACAGTTACATATTTGGGGAATGGGTTACGAATTACAAATAATATACAAGTGACATAAGTGACACAAATAAGACATATAGTAACTTAGATGGGGATCAGCTCAAACTACAGTTCATTTCAACATAGTGACAGTGTAGGGAGCAGTGTTTACTGGGAGTGAATACACTGATTTATTACATGTTATTGATAATTTTACAATGGTTGGGACTGGGCTGTTCTTATAGCGATCAGTTCGTGCACGTATGGGCTGGATGCGGTTGTGGTGTCGAACAGCAATTCTCGGACAGGATCTCAGGTGGTAGTAGGGGCCGGTGTCGGGGATGGTGTAGAAGCTTCTTACCAAATTTGCAGATGAGGCCGTGGTGATGGTCAGTGAGAGTCGAAAGGGTCAGTGTGTTGAGCGCTTCTTGATATGTGGAGTAGGAAGGGGAGAGAATAATCTTGCATGCCCTCTTTTGCACTTTTTCTAGGTGTTTACGTTGTGTGGCATTTAGGGAGGAAGACCAGGTGGGGGAGGCATAGGTGAGCTTGGGAAGTATGAATGTTGTGTATACACTGAGGAGCTCGTGTGTGGGAACTCCGAGGGACTTGAGTCGGCGGAGGAGGTGGAGACGGAAACTGGGTGTGTGAGTGTGTGTGTGTGTGTGTGTCTGTGTGGTGTGTGTGTGTGAGTGTGTGTGTGTGTGTGTGTGTGTGTGTGTGTGTGTCTGTGAGAGTGTGTGTGTGTGTGTGTGTGTGTGTGTGTGTGTGTGTCTGTGAGAGTGTGTGTGTGTGTGTGTGTCTGTGTGAGAGAGTGTGTGTGTGTGTGTCTGTGTGAGAGTGTGTGTGTGTGTGTCTGTGTGAGAATGTGTGTGTGTGTGTGTGGGTGTGTGTGTGTGTGTGTGGGTGTGTGTGAGTGTGTGTGTGAGTGTGTGTGTGTGTGTGTGTGTGTGTGTGTGTCTGTGTAGAGAGAGTGTGTGTGTGTGTGTGTGTGTGTCTGTGTGTGTGTGTGTGTGTGAGTGTGTGTGTGTGTGTCTGTGTGAGAGTGTGTGTGAGAGAGAGATACACATTAACATGAGACCATCTTTACCACAGGGATAGCCACCATGATTGTCCCGGTGTACATAAGTGAGTCATCACCGACAGCTGTGCGGGGTCGGATCGCCATCGTGTTTAACCTTATGTATGCCGTGGGACAGCTCATCGCCTCTCTGGTTGGCGGCGCCTTCTCCACCGTCCCTCATGGATGGAGGTTACTACTGTTGCTATTACCGTGATTCTAACCTAACCTAACCTAACCTAACCTAACCAAACCTAACCAAACCTAACCTAATCCATCCTTACCATGCCTAACCTTACCCAGTGTAATTAGACCTAATTTAGCCTTACCTAACTTAATCTAGACTTACCTAACCTAACCTAACTCAATCAGACACATTTGTGTACTGGTGATGATGTCTTAAAAACCTGGATATGAATAACAATGGGTTTACTACGTACTTCACCTGTAGTCAAGTCTACACAATAACTATAACAATCCTCCGGTACTATAACGTCTATTTCTCAGGTATATATCGGCGGCAGGCAGCCTTCCCGCCCTCATACAGTTCATTGGCCTATTCTTCCTGCCGGAGAGTCCCCGTTGGCTCTTCTCTCAGGGAAGGTAAGTGAGTTCCAGGGGACGCATAGTCATTGTTTTTGTTTTATCTCTAAGAGTTTTTGAATAATTTCATCCTTAAGACATAATTTATTTGATCTTAGGAAATACACTATTTTCGGGGACATACAGTGTAGTACGATTATGAGGCTTCCTAGGGTTATCTCAGAGATGAATTTCAAAATATATATTATCCCAGCTCACCATTACTGTACAACCATGGCTCAAATATTATAATCACTAAATGGTTAATGTGATCATTCTGAGGAGCTCATTAAGTACGTCATAAGCTGACACAAGTATCTGAGTATAGCTGTATTATGTAGGGTGGAGGAGGCCACGGACGCTCTTAAGACTCTTCGTGCTCCTCATGCCCCCTCCGAGACTGAGATAAATGCCATACAGGTCGACATCCGTGCTAACGCTGGCAAGGTCAGTTCTAACCTAATCTAACCTAACCAAATCTAACCTAATCCAACTTTAACCTAACCTAAACTAACTAACCATTCCCTCGACATCAAAACTACTTGATCTTCGTCTTTATGGTTGGTGTATTGCTTTTGTTTTCATTTTTATTTATATATTTAGTCTTATTTTGAAATAGTAATTTAAAGGGAGGTAAGATTATCTACTATCACTGTGAGATGAGTTGTGCTTTACTCTTTGTTTTCTCAGGGCGGCCTCTTCATGATCTTCAAGTCTGTGCCTGTCCGTCGTGCTCTCCTCATTGGCACCCTTCTGCATATCGCTCAACCCCTCACAGGCTGTTTCGCCATCCTGTATGTAGATGAATTTTGAACATAAAACGTTTACTGTATGTTAATAGTTATGTTTTGCTTGTAATTGTTGACAAAAATTAATCCACTTTTTTTCTTTTTTTTTTCAAAGTTGTGTTACGTTGTTTTACAGAAATTACAGTGCCACCATCATCACCATGACGGGCGTGGCAGACAAGAATAACGCCCTGTGGTTCATGGCTGCCATAATATCAGGAAGTGCATTTGGATTTATCGTGAACGAGGGGCTAGTGGAGCGATTGGGTCGACGCCCCCTGGTGCTCGCCTCCCTAATGGGGATCATCATCGCATTCATCATTGTGGGTATCACCTTCCAGATGGCATACCTTCACAGCCCTACCGTCCAGGCCCCTTCTGGTGATCCAGAGTGTCTTGCTAACACGTGAGTTTTACAGTACAGTGCCAGACCCACACTCAGTTTTACATTACCAGGTATACATGTATGTTTATGAGCCGAATATGAATGAGCATTAAGTATCAATTGGGCCTTCCTAACCATCATATAGGTACCTTGAATTCTCCCATTAATACTATCTATATACAGACTTAAGATTGGATAGGCCGCAGGTCCAGAAAACTGTGAGGGCAAACTTTTTCGGAGTGAGAGTTGTGAACTCTTGGAACAATCTCCCAGAAAGTGTTGTGGCTGCACCGAGTGTGAGCTCTTTCAAGACAAGACTTGACCAACACTGGAGCAGGTTCAGGTACATTCAGGAGCCGGCGCATGCCCAGTACTTACCAACAGTGCGTAACAGAGACGTGGTCGATCGCCCAAGCGGCTAACGAGCCGATCAGTGGTGAAGAGGATAAAAGAAAACATCATACAGTATACAAGCTACCCCTTCGAAATGTTTACCATTTTCTGTGACGCTACACCATAGAAAATGTAGATACTACTTTAAATATTTGGTACGGAGTTGTAATATAAACCACGAGAGATTATAGGGACCAGTACTAACGTGCGCAGTACATACCAATAAATTAACTAACACATGTCCTCCTCCTACAGGTGTGGAGAGTGTACCAGCAAGAAGGAGTGTGGTTTCTGTTACAAGGGTGCAGTAGGCAGCGAACACGACACCTCCTGCATGGCCGCTGATCCGCATTCTTACTTTCAGGTGACAGCAGTGTGAGGGGTAAACTAATCGTGTGTTGAGGCGTGAGGGGTAAACTAATCGTGTGTTGAGGTGTGAGGGGTAAACTAATCGTGTGTTGAGGTGTGAGGGGTAAACTAATCGTGTGTTGAGGCGTGAGGGGTAAACTAATCGTGTGTTGAGGTGTGAGGGGTAAACTAATTGTGTGTTGAGGCGTGAGGGGTAAACTAATCGTGTGTTGAGGTGTGAGGGTAAACTAATCGTGTGTTGAGGCGTGAGGGTAAACTAATCGTGTGTTGAGGTGTGAGGGTAAACTAATCGTGTGTTGAGTGATCGTGTGTTGAGGCGTGAGAGTAAACTAATCGTGTGTTGAGGCGGGGTAAACTAATCGTGTTGAGGCGTGAGGGTAACCTAATCGTGTGTTGAGGCGTGAGGGGTAAACTAATCGTGTGTTGAGGTGTGAGGGGTAAACTAATCGTGTGTTGAGGCGTGAGGGGTAAACTAATCGTGTGTTGAGGCGTGAGGGGTAAACTAATCGTGTGTTGAGGTGTGAGGGGTAAGCTAATCGTGTGTTAAGGCGTGAGGGGTAACCTAATTGTGTGTTGAGGGTGTGAGAGATAAACTAATGTCTGTTTTGCAGGTGAGTGTGGCTGGGTCGTGCTCCAATGCTACACTGATTGATGCTGGAGTGGAGACTTTCGCCTATGACTGGTGCCCCTACAGATATTCCTGGATCATCCTCATCGGCCTCTCCTTCTTCTTCTTCGTCTACTACTTAGGTCTTGTAACCCCCCACACACACGACGAGGGATTAGTGACGGCTTTTTTCACGTGTATTTATCTGTATGTTGTATGAATTATTAACGTATACTCCTTAAACTTTTAGCCAAATTATGGTGAATTTGTTATTTGTTTTATTTGCATGCTTTTATCGTTATATTAAAACTATACAGTGTGTATGTATATTACTGAATATATTTCGTTACTGTGGGTTCCCGGGTTGACATCCTGGACAAAAAGCTAAACTCTGGGTAAGTTCCTCTGCACTTTCAACTGTAAATGCTGAAGTAATGTGATTTTTTTGTATGACAAATTTACTGAATCAATATATATATATTATTGTACAATTACTCCAAAAAACTATCTGTACTCCGGGTGATCCATGAATTCCAGAATGAACAATGTGACTCCTGTTGTCTCGGTAGGGTTGTCAAATCCTTCGTCCATCGTGTCATATTTTTCCAACACAATTTTGTATATATAGTTTTTTGAGTGACTGTACCTTTATCTTGTGCGTCTGTGTGCCAGCAGGTATGGGTCCGTTACCATGGGTGATTGCAAGTGAGGTGTTTCCTAGCTGGGCACGCTCCACCTCTGTCAGCTTGGTCGTCACCATCAACTGGCTCATCAATTTTGCCGTCATCACCAGCTTCCTCACCCTCACAGAAACCATTTTCAAGTACGGTAAGACACTAACTGAACTTATTCTCGAGTATGGTAGGACATTACTTGATTTACCCCTAATAATAGTAAAGTATCAACAGGCGATGCATGGAGTAGTAATTAATATCAGTAGCGTAGTCGACTTTAATCCATTTGATTGCTATGTTTTTGGGGGTAACGTTATAGAAAATTAATTTGTTTTTATCATAGTTATCTAATTTAACGGTCTTAAACTTTGGATTTTTCCATAAATAATTTTTAGTGGAAATGTTTTTTACATTCAAAATAAACTAATCCAAACTAAACAATTCGAACGTAACCAAACCTAACTTAAACTAACCTAATTATACTTAACTTAGTACTAACCTATCCTTTTAGGTGAGCAATTCATTGTGTTCAAATATGTTCTATCTGCTGTTCAAAACACATCGTTTGATATACTGAACAGCACATAAGAGTTCTGCTAATACGATATTTCATTTATCTACTGTAGGTGTGTTCTACTTGCTAATGGGGATCAACTTTATGTTCCTGGCGGTGTTCTACTTCTTGCTGCCTGAGACTAGCGGTATTAGCCTGGAGGACATGGAGAAACTATTCAACAAACCGATCGGCACCGTCAACGCCAGGAGCAGCTCACGCGTCGACCCTAACTGAGTCTCGATCAACAAGTTTTCAAAACTAAGACGAGCTCTGACGTATGAGTCAACCATATATATCTGCGGCTCAGTCTTGGCACCTAGTTTAAGCAATAATTGTATACGGGTCAATCTTTGGTACACAGTTCAATCACTTTTGTTGCCCAGTCAGGCTTTGGTATTGTATACAATAAATTTGATGACTCTAACAGTAAGGAACAGAGAAACAATGTTATCTACCTAAGTTACAATGCATGATATAATAAACTTCGTGGATCCTAGTGTCTACCAACTCTTATAGCTGTCTGCCTCTTGGTGTCAGCATGAGTTGGATCTGACAGCAAATGGAATGGAACTTACTCAGGAAACAGCTGATTATGCTCAGTTCAAAGGTGCGCGTACACCCCACTTTTTATTTTTAATACATTATAGAATATTAACAATTCATTAGTTTTACGCCACGGTTCAGTTTATAAACGTTATTTATGGTTATTATCTTTTGTTTCATATTGTATATACTGTATCTCTGTTTGTATTCTGTATATGGATGTAACTAATAAAGTTTTAACGTTACTGTTATTATTATTCACATTGATGGCGTCTCACGGGTAATATATTATGTCTAAAGTTTACTTTGGCCAAGATGTTCTCCCACGACTTCGTGGTCCATTGAGTTTTATTTTGGGTAAATCAACGAAAAAATTCTTAATTCTCCCAGAGCGAAGAGTCCACGACGGTATAGATGCAGAGAAGGATCCAGGAATATTAAAGGAGGGGGCGGGGTCCAAGAAGTTGTGAACATGGCGACCGCAGCGAGCCTCCCCTTCTTGGGGGGGCATTGTAAGCCCCCAGACGTTTTTTTTAAATCTGACCCATATCATGGGCATTTTGAGGCCATTTCTAAGCCATGTGCACTTAATAGTAGGATATATTCTGAGGTCAATAGTAATTACTTTTTACAACACAAAAACGCCCGAGTATAATACTGCGTTAAAGAAAAAGTATTGCAATTTTCCGATGAAAAGGAGGGATCCGGACCGCCAAGACCTGCCCCTATATGCATTTACATAAATACGTACACCTATTACACATTTACAAAAGAAGCGCTAACACACACATGTACAATAAACTACATACACTTTCATGCTGCAGGTCATGACACGAGAAAAGTATCTTGGTCTATCACATTTGAAACCCTTTATTGTATTCATCAATGGAGCAGTGTGGTCCAAGGGAAGGCCACTGAGCAGACATTTTAAACGGGGAAATTAAATATTGGGTCATACTAAAATAATTGCCATAAATAGCTAGAATTTAGAAGTAACAATAATTTAACTGTAATTTTTTTATATAATATGTCAGAATACTAAAATAATATACATAGTTATTTATTCAATTTAAATTTGTGGATAGTGTTAGATGGCGGGCGGTGAGTGGGCAGGTCTGACAGGAGCCCTGGCCACCATAAGCAACAGTACTTCTTCTCCGGGAAAGGTGAGAATATGGCATAGTTATTAAATTTAGTCTCAATTATAGATCTTTTATGTGTAAAGGTCTTTATACCATGTGAATTATGAAAGAATTTTGAGTTAGAGGCGTCAGTGTAGTGAGAATGGCTGATGTCCCAAATGTTGAGCTGTGAATCATTTGCTTTTAGGGATTTTAATGTATGTGACCCAAATATTGTATAAAGCACAACCAAGAAGCTGAAAATAATCCAGAGTTAAGAAATGGGGTAAAATAGTATAAGAGAATGTATAGTGTAGTGTGAAAGGGTACCGTAGTTTGTCAGGCTGGGAATTAATCACAAAAGTTATACATTTTTATATTTATTTAGTAAACTCCTCACACAAGTTCACATGTATTACCCCAAAGCCGCAGAGATATGGGACTGGGTTTACCAAACTTGACATTCAACCGCCTGATTAGACCTAAGGACCTCAACCAGTAGGTGATGAATACCTGGTGCCCTTAAATAATTATTAGAACACCTAGTCTGAGGAACCGTGGGAAGCAACATCTCTCTGGGAATTAAGGAGGGGAAATTTACTACAGTACTTACAGTCCGTGATTCTAGGAGCAGATGTCTCATTTCTAGAGGATGGAGTGGGAAAATTATAGTTTGGTCAACCCTATGTTTTCCTGACGTGTTTTGAGCTTACCCAACCTATCCTAATCAACCTAACCTAACCAACTTAACCTAACCTACCCTAATCAACCTAACCTATCTTAACCAACCTAACCTACCCTAATCAACCTAACCTATCTTAACCAACCTAACCTACCCTAATCAACCTAACCTATCTTAACCAACCTAACCTACCCTAATCAACCTAACCAAATCTAGCCCCAGAACCCAGGAACTATATCTAACTTAACCTAAATTGCTAAGATTCTCCGGATGACCAAAATTATAATAGTACTGGTGTGTTTAAATTTATTGAGGCTGGCTTCCTCCACAAAATTTATGGTAGTTTTATAAATTTTTAAGTATACTGTAGTTTTAAATATAAGTATAGTACAGGTTTGTGTTTTATCTATTATTTTGCTATATTATTTTTAATTAGGAAACCTTTTTTAAGTGAATACGGCATGATGTAACTTTAACTGTTATTACCACAGATACACTATACAGTAAGTCCTCGCTTAACGTCGGGATATGTTCCTAAAAACTTGACGTTATGCGAAACGACGTAAAGCGGGACGACGTTAAGCGAGGACTTACTGTACTGTACTATCAATTAAGAAAGAATTTATGATTGTGTCTGAAAATACATATTGCACAGGTATTCAAAAGTTGCTTCCTGTTACTTCTCTGGATGGAACTGAAGCATTAATTTCTATTTAGTGTTTGTTTTACAACTTGCTTAATCATCTGATAATGGTAGCTATCCCAGTCAATGGGTAGTATTAGCTACATGGTATAGTAGTAGACTGAACCTGGAACTTGGGCGATTTGGTCTCTTACATCACTAGGCATTGCTATAGTTTGAACCAGACATAATTGAGAACAAAATTATATTTTGGAATCTGTTTTGGACTGAATTTTTCATCATTGAATCAAATGAGGTGATGCTTTTCCACAATGGTAAAGATAAAGTCTGGAAATTAAACTTGAGGATCTCAGTTAACCATGAAGGTGAAACAATAACCAGTTCCACTTTATAGCATGGATGGATTTGGAGACAGTTTTGTACCTCCAACTGAAGGGTCTGCACCAGTCCCAGAGGTGGATCCTGCAGCAGAGTTCCTAGCTCGTGAACAGGACCAACTTGCTGGGTTAGATGATGACATCATTCCACCAGCTAGCCTAGTACTGGAGCAGCCCCCACTCGCAGCAGGTGAGATATATAGTGGTGGATATCTGATGCCGTATTTTCAGACAATCTGTTCACGTAACTAGTCATAAATTATGTTTGGCTTTTATGATATATTCCTGTGACTATTAACTTGGTTTTGTCTGGTTGCTTTAGATATGAACAGGTTCATTAAATAACTTCAAATTATATCTTTAAATTCATATTAAAGGACTTCAGTTATATGAGCATTGAGGATAATTGTAAACCAAATAAATAACACTGATGATTATTGAAGTAGTGTTACTGTATACAGTATATCCTGGTAAGAAATGAGATGATCAGTAGAACATTACTGTAGTGTGGTAGAATTAACAAAAGGAATTACTATATAAAATAAGTTCATGGAAAAGGACAGCTAAAAAGAAGCTCAATACAATATATTAAAAAAAAATTATTTGTAATATTGTAGAATTTGCCGATTTGATTTCATGTGTTCAAGGGAAATTATTATATGAAGAAAGCTGATGAAAAAATTGAACCTAGGTGCTGCTGTACAGTACAAGTTGGCTAGAAACTACAGTAGTCCAGTAGAAGTGTTGGTCATTTTAGTACTGTACACAGATGACATCTCTTTTAAGCCACAAATTGTAGGGCATAATGAATCAAAGTAACATTTGAGTTAACAAGTTATCCTCAGACAAGTAGATTAGTTTTGATAGGATGCTTTTAGGAATCGGGCAAAGTATTTTTCAATGTAAAGTGGTTGTAGTTGGTACAGTAATAGACACTGAACTGCTTTTTACTGACTTCATTGCTAACTGACTTTGTGTTTAGTGCCTTGAGTTGAAATAACTGATATCATAGTATGTTTTGACTTAAGCTCCCATAATTTGAAGTACAGTGTGGCAGTATACAGTAATTACAAAAAATTGCAATTTGTTCATCTTGCGTCGCAGATTTTCATAATTGCTTTCAAAACTACAGTACAGTAGACCCTTGCCATTCGCGGGTTTGTGATTCGCGATAAGCAAATGGTGGCTATGGTGGCTAGCTTGCGAGCCTTTTCCCGCAGCATCTCGTGTTGTACTCTCAAGACTATAGTGTTTGTGTGAACATAGCCCCTAAAAGACTGCCTAGTGTCAGTGCTAGTGATGCTAGTGGAGTGAAATGTAAAAGGCAAAAGTCAGTGATGACCCTGACAAAGAAAGTTGAATTATTAGATAAGTTAAAGGGGGGGGGGATGAGTGCAGCTGGTTGGTTGTTTGATATAGGTATACAGCAGTGCACTAAGGTAGTATAAGTTGCTATTCGCAGTTTTGCCTGTTCGTGCCATTCCTTGGAACCTAACCCCTGTGAATAATGAGGGTTTACTGTACAGTATATTCTGTTTAAATTAAAATTGCTGTACTGTTACATTTGATCAGGATTATACATTTAATGGCTGTTACACTGGGATGGTAGGAGCAAAGTTCCATCAAGTCACAAACTATTACTGTATTGACATTTGCAGGTATTTTACAAGACTAAAATAGAAAGTAGATATTTGGATTCTTTGATTTATGTGTAGTGATCTAGCATGGATAATGCAAGTACTACAGCACTTAGTCAAGTCATTTTGCCACACAGAGCATAATTGCACTTGTCAAATTAGAGCTGTATGATGTAAAGCGTCAAGTATAGTTCAGTATTGTACTATTAAGTTTGTGTTGTTAATATTGGCAACCTTTGCACAAGCAGCTTAAACTTTGTAGCCTGTTGGTTACTTGTGTTATGAGTTTGGCATTATTTGTGTAGACAGTAGCAATATGAAAGGCATTATGTATTTGTTAAATAAAAAGATATTACAAGCAAATTAAACTACAAATTATTGGAAGTTTTATAAATTTTCTTGGCCATTTTATTTTTATTTTTTTCTTCTCAGGGATTAGCCACCTGGGCACAGGTCACTGACCCACATCAGGGCCTGGGGGGGAATGTAATAATAATAATTCATTGTAATTAAATTTTTAATAAAAAGTTAAATAAAATAATAGAGATACTACAGTAATAACAATACTGTAATAATAATAATAAAGAAATACAGGTACCAAAATGAAGAAAAAAAATCAAGAGTGAGAAACAATATATGTATGTTGTGTTGTCAAGTAAGAGAAACAATTGAGACCTGCAATTGTGTGTAAATGAGGCAGGAAGACAGATCAGCAACCTGGGACTTAGTCACAATTTTCGTGATGCCATATGGCAGCTGGGTCTACCATTAGACAACACATTATGCTTCCAATATCTTCCCAGGCGGTAGTACTGTACCTCCCTGTTTGATAGTTGCCAACTACCTACTACATTTGATTAATTGTCTTTATGAGGAGTTAAGCAGAGTGAGGTATGGTGAATTCTCGGCAAAGAAATGCTGCTGAAGAAATTAGAGCTTTATTTGATTTAAAATGAGTGTAATGTTTGGAAGAGTTTGTATGTGATGACTTTCTGAACGTGTAAAAAGCAATAAAGGTTATCATTTGTCAGTACAGTATAGTTTGTGTTTTAAGATCTCAGGAAAGAAAGATAGATTTTTCTGCTTTGATTTGACTTGTTGAAATTTAGTGATTTCTTAATAGGAAACTTGTTTATGCATTTTATAAGATTGTGATAAGCTTTAAATCTTTAGTTGTTATTAAAGATCAGGTTTTATTCAGAGAGAGAGAGAGAGAGAGAGAGAAAGAAAACATGTGTACAATAAGTGTGTGTGTGTGTGTTGGAAATTTTTCCTCATCAAGTTTACTTTATTATCTTGCATTAAATCATTATTTTATGTTCGGTATGGTAGTGATATTGCATGGGAATGTTTGTTTTCTGCATATTAATGCTTGTGTATCGTAGGTGGGGGACTATGGGGCATATCTTTGTGTTATGTAACCCGATTCTTCAGTTTTTAAAACTAGTTATGTTTCACCTGTAATATCTTAATTCTTTTTTTTTTATGTAAGTTTTTCAGTTTCATGCTACAGTGAATTCACAGATAGTGTTAACTGCACTACTCTTCTTGACCTTGCTCTGTGGGAGACCATATATACAAGCCTAATATTGTGTACACTATAATATATTTGTTTTTTCAAATGCACATGATTTTCTTTGGCTTGTATATATTGCTCCTCTTTTATTTACATATATTTTTTTTGAGCCTTATGGTTGCATGAAGATGTGAATAGTGCATGGTGGTGTCTCATCTCCAGGCCTTGATGGAGAAGCTGACTTGTTTGGGGGTGCACCCGTGAATGGTGGCCCAGACCTGGAGAGTTTTGAGATGCTGGGTGGAGATGAGGTTGCCCCAGGTTAGTGTTGTACAGTAGTGTGCCCTCCCTCAGTCCATTTGATCTTCTGGCTATGTTGTTCTGTGTTGCATTGACTGTTTAGCTATAAGGTTTGATATATATTTATACTGTATAAGATTCTCTATTGCTTTTTGTGTTCTATTCTTTTTTTTTAATGAATCTATACCTGAAACTGTGCCTGCTAAGTGAAAAATAGATTCTCCATTTCTTGCACTCATCCACTGCGTCATAATTGGGCTGGTAATTTAGAGCAACGGGGCTGACTGTATAAAAAGTGTTTATTTATCTTCTCTGTAACTTGAATTTTGTGCAGGTAACATTTCCAGTTTTAATTAATCTTTTTGGTTGTATATATAAAACAAAACAGTTATCTGATACAGTATTGCTTATGTATGGTAAATATTGTGGTTGTGTGAAGTTGTCTTTGCTTTCACTGATATATAACACTGGAATTTTCAAGAATATGCACTAGCTTGTTAACAATGAGATGGCCCTCATTAATTCATGTGATTGAATCGTGTAATGCAGACAGCCCTTCTGCATGCTTAAAGAGATATAAAGGTCGATCCCAGTACTGTAGTTCTTGTTTTGCACAATACGTATCGTTGTGAATTTTTTTTAATCCTTAACGAGTAGAAACTGTGTAATCCAGGTACTGTACTATGTTTTTTGTAAGATTCTTCATTGAAAATAATTAGATTCAAGGATGTGAGATACATAATACTATAGCTTTAAGTATACCATGTTTTGTCCATGCCAAAGGACCTAAGTTAAGCCACTCAAAATGTGATGTATGGGAAGTAGAGTCTCCGTACAGTGCACACTAGAGGATTAACTATTTTATGCTGATGCACCTGTAGGTTAGAAAATGTCATCCAGCCTCAGATATATGTAAGTTTCTTTAATGGCATTTGTTTCCTTATTGGGTGCTGTTGCTTTTTTTTTTTTTCAAAATGCTCTCCTTTTTTCTTTTCAGCTTAATGTGCATGTTTAGCTTATTTCACACCTTTACAAATTTCTTTGATTTGTTGTTTGGAAAGGTTTATAATTCACTAATAATCTTCATAATACAAGTAGTAAAATATAGGGACATATAATTTAATTTTTTATGATCTCATATCCTGACCTTTACTGTACAATTTTTGATTAATGTATGTGTAATGTCTCTTTTTGTAATTTTTCTTGTACAATCTGTCCATTTCAATATACCCTCTTGATTTCAAACTTCCAATCACTGTTGTTAATGTGCATAGGTTTTGCTGTCACAGTTATTGTCACACATCAGGTTCAGTGTTTTCCCTAAGAACTAAAATATATATAGAATCACACATATACAGTACACACACACACACACACACACACACACACACCTAAATGCAAAAAAAGATAAAATAAGGAATATCAATGCATCCCTGGTAGAATACAGATGACAGCTGCCACATTCAACCAGATATCTTTTGCAGCTGTAAGGGAGGAAGGCAGCAAAAGAAGAAATGTGAATGAGGAAAGAGAGGATAAAAGGACGGTGAAAATCGGTGTGTCATAGTAAAAAAAGAAATTAGTACGACATAAACAGTATACAGTACATGTTTTAAAGTCGGGAGTCAAAATCGGTGTGCTATAAAATGCATGGAAAAGTAGGGTACAATATATATAAAACAGCCACTTTTTGTTTATAACTTTTAATACTGGATATTATTGATCACCCACCATATTAATGTACCAGTGAATTCATCAATAATTTTGCAATATTTTTCCTACCCTTCAATACTAGTTTTAGAGATTTACTTATCAAACCTGATATTGTGTTTAGTAATGGAGAGGAAGAGGTGATGTACTGTACTTGACTTTGATCAGAATTTTATGGAATTTAGGATAAATTAAGGGAGCAGTCTGATAATCAGTTGGTCTTATTATCTTGACAGCTAAAAAAATTAATCCGGCATTGTATAATTTGTAAGTTTTCATGTTTCATAATGCAGGTGTTTCTTTCCTCACCAAACCTGCCAATTTTAAGTCAAACCATGGCGTACAGTAGCTTTTACTGGCCTCATCTACCACCTCATAGATATCCTGTTTAAGTCTCTCAGTACAGTACACTTTGAGGTGGTATATAATATAGAATTCTTTGTTTCAAGTCTACTCTTAATTTCACAGCTTCTATAATTCTACATTTCCATTCATTGAAAAACATTCCTGGCAATCGTCATTTCTCGCTTTGTTGGCTAATGAAGTTAGGTAAACCTGTAACAATTTGCTTTTAACACTATGGCAATTAAAAGTCTTGGCTTTGCTACAGTTTGTTCCCTTACTCAATAATTTTTTTAAGTTTGATATTTTAACCAATACAGTATAGTAGGGTCTATAAGAAAAATGTGAATGCTTTAAATATTTATAGTGGTGGCTAATAATTTGTTTCAAAACAGTGACATTACCGTTTTATGTATTATAGTACAATACAGTCATTCATTATAATCAAATACAGTATAGTACATTATGTACCAAAGAGAGCATCAACGAGCCAAAATATTGCTTGAAATCTGATATTAATGTAAACATTTACGCACAGCTGACTGACAACTGACCGCCTCGTTCACCTGGGGAGAGGCCGCCTCCCCATGAGAATGTTAATGGGTTCTTGTACTTCTGACTTTCTTTTCTCAGTTTATCCTGAACAAGATAAGTGTTTGTAATTTGTTGGTGAGCAAAGTTTGTTTGCTCAAGAGCTTGTATTTATTGCTCCTCAAGCTTCAGTATTTCATCAATGGCTAATCATTTCTGGATTCCTTTACTATAGCTGTTACTCATATTCTTCCGAGATCTTCTTGGTTCGTGATCATATTTACAATTTATCATGTCACACGAGCAATAACTGGTGCATTCTTATCACAGCTTATTCATTCTTTTGCTTCTTCTATACTCATTTCAGTAAGTTTGAGGAGTACAGTAACTTATACTCTGGTGAAATAAGTAAACATACTTGTACTGGTAGAAATACAAAACTGTATTTTAGCATATTTTCATTATTACTTATGAAAAGTTATGAAATAATATTTTTTTTTCATAAATTATGTGATTTTGTAAACCAAATCATGGGACAATTTTTATTAATTTATTTATTTTTTTACTTTGATTTTTCTTAAACCAAAGCTTTGTAAATTGGGGGCTGCCAATACTATACTTATTGGTTTTTATATGAACTAACTTTAGACAGTAGTGTTTTTTGCTTAATGTCACATTTTCTAAGAATGCATCCACAACATGTATAGAGGACTTAGTGTATATTCTTGCAAGTCTTTTACTGTCGTGCAGCAGGATGTCCAAAAACTAGGGAAAATAAATTAATAGAGATAAGTGAAGGAGGTTGCAGACAAATACACAAACACTTCTTACATTAAGCCGGAAAAGGTTAAGAGTGAAAAGTAATTACAAATACAGTACTGTATACAGTAAATAATTCAGTGCTACGTATATATGTAAACCCACACCGGCACACGTACTTAATAGTTTATATGGGGCAACTGATACGTAGACCTATTGGAATGCTAAATGCAAAATTTTAATTTAGTGCTTTTTCTTTTGGTCCTAGGGGAAAACACTGAAAATATTGCTTTGATGTGAGAAAATTAACAGAAAAAATATGTGCCATTTTTAACAAGATGATATTGCTTTCATTCCTTCTGCCAATGTTGTTGCCTCTGCTTCAGACAAAGCTGCTCCTCCTCCTTCAGTCTTTGGTTCTGTGGACTTTCTACCTCAGCCCTCGGGAGAAGATCCCTGGGCTTCTGCACAAGCCCCTTGTCCAACTGATGAGTCTGTTGCTCAACCTGTTGAGGATGCTGTAGGCTTTAATGAGCCCCTTTCCTCCCAGCCTTTTACTGTTGGTGAAGGAGAGGGGTTCTTATCCACTTCTGACCTAGCAGGAGCAGCAGCAGAAGCACCAGAAGCTGATGCAGAAACAGCTGAAGCAGAAACAGCTGAAGCCACACCAGCTGAAGCAGCAACAGCACCCGAACGGGATTATTCAGGCTTTGGGGAGGACTTTGGGGGAGCATCTGTGCCTGCTGGTGATACCGGTACCTCCTCTGGGGCTTTCTCTTTTGTGGGTGGTGAGTTGGTGATGGGACGGAGAATGGAGGTACCTCCCTCAGCTCCTTGGTTTGGGGGCATGATATATTATCTTTTCATCTTACCACAAGTTGAAAACTTTGAGACTGCTTTTAGCCATTCCATATTCAAACTATGTGAAGAAAGTATCCTATGATTTGGTATAACTTGCAGGATTTGAAATCGTGGATTGTAAAAACTGTAGTAAGTGGTTATGGCATGAGAAGTTTCATTGATTTGAAAACTACTGTACAGTGATGCATTTCTTGAATATTGGGATGAATAGTAGTATCCAATATCTTGGTGTTTTATGTATTTAAAAAAATTCATTTAAATTTCACTGTAGATAAATAATTTTGAGTAGATAATTTCATCATAAAGTGAGATTGTTGATAGTACTAAATTGTGTTTTTCTTAGGCTTTGCAAATAATTTTCTCCATAGAACACAAACAAGATTTTAGAGAAGTTGGACAGTCAATTAAATGGCATTGTAAAATACCTTAGTAGAGTAATTGATGACCATGTGTTTTTACTGTGTGATTTTAAACTTATATGAATACAATAAGATAGTTATAAGTTGTTATCCTGAACTTATACTGGGAGCTAGAGGTCTTTGTTTGGTACACTTGACATTATTATTGGGAAGCTAAGCATATCCACTATTTGCAAGGTGCAGATGCTCATCTATTAAACATTAATGTAGTTTACCATTGTGAGAATAGTGTGTCGCCACCTGAAACTTGGTACACAGAAAATTATAGATAGCATGCTTGATAAAATTGCCTTGTAACAAAAAGTTGCCGGGTTGGTGTTGTGCATGTGTAGTTGGGAAAAAATTGGTGCTTGTTCCTTGTAGACCCTTGCTTGTAGTAGTTGGTAGTACCTTACTGCATAAAAGCTTGTTCTGTAGCCAATGTCTTTTGTCTCCAACATATATCACCCAGATGTACAGTGGAACCTCAATAATTCATGTGAAAACTTATGGAAAGTATTTGTAGATTTGCCAACATTGGGTAATAATTATTATGAGGGTGAAGATTACATAAAGTTTTTGATCATTTATTTGTTATGTAAATTAGTGTGTGTGGTTAGTGAAACATAACTTACGTTCTAGAATGTGCAAAACCGAATACGTACAAGTAATTCATGTGATGACTGGGTACAACAGACTTAGATAGAATTAATCATCAGACGTCATAAGTGTATCATATGGATGCTAATAAATGCAGCTTGAGTGTATCAGACCCTGCAGGTTTATAATGCAGTGTCCTTCATGCTTGAGAATTTTATTGCAGTCTATGATCTCTTGAGATGGCTGGCTGGTCACCAAACTAAATCCAGTTTTTTGTTGCTTTTTATCTTGACCAGATCACCACCTTGTGTAACTATACAGTGCAGCATGGTCACATTTGGGATGACTACTGGTTAATCAAATACCGTAGCTACATATTGTAATTGTGATGGGAAGTTTTCATGGATTAATTAACTTACACTAATCATTTACATTTTTGCTCTGACATTTTTGGGAGTGGCTTATATTCTGCAGCCATTGTGTTAGTCGAGGGAAAATGTATGCAGTTCAATATATATTTTTTTATGTCAGTTTTCTCCTGAATTGGTTATTTATGTTGGTATTTTTTTTTTTTTGTATATTATTGAGGTTCCATTGTGTGTACTGTGATCTGAGGCTGAATTTTTGGCATTATCATGGAAAGTCTAGTCAAGTTAAGGTTACTAATATGATTTCATTTACAGTAGCATTAAGATATTTTACCATGGATGTAAAAGAATACCCGGTAGACATTTCATGTAGTTTAGGGAGGTGGGTGATGAATTTAGTAGCATTAAGGTCTTTTACCACCAGTTGTCATGGTTTCAACAGATGTAAGGAGATAGACCTTCACTGTAGTTTAGAGGGATGTCGGGGTGTCCAATTTGCTGTGCAGTGTGTGAGCTTACGGCAGTGCTTTTATTTGTGTTGCACAGTTCATAATGTTGAATGTATACCTCTGCTTCTAAATCTGCAATCAGTAGATGGAAATTTTTAGAATTATGCTTTACTTTATTGCTTCTCTTTGAATCATTAAACTGATATTTTTAGTAAAGATCATGAATCAGAGGTAGGCATTCTATTGGGTGAAGTACCATTGCTTGGCCTATGCTCTGACACATTTTGCAATTACAGAATCTGCACCACCAGTGACCACATCTGAACCAGAGTTGGGTGAGTCCTTAATGGCCACCTGAAAGCCTAGACTGAGGATTTTGCATGATGTCTGTTATAGAAATTGGTGCTTGTTTTATCAGTAAATTATGTTTGTTATTTGGGTAAAAAAAAAGTATTGCAAGTTTATTGCCTCTGATCAGGGATTGGAAAAAAATGAAACAAAGGTCCATACTGATCTCTGATGGATACAGCTAATTTATGTTGCTAAAGTGATATTGGAAAGGTTCACAAATTTCAACTTAAGGTTTCTCAGTTCTTCATGTATTGGTAACTTTGAATGTCCTGCTCACAATTAGTTATTTAAAGTCCAGAGGAATCAGGTTTTTTCATCCATACAGTACAAGGGGTCCTTGTTATTTATGCAATTGCTATACATATACAGTACGTACTCAGTTATACATACGTCCGTATACAGGACTCGGTTATACATATACTGTATCAGCTTTTATAATAAAAAATGAGTTATTGGTATGCTAAACTCAGTTATACATGCTGGCAGTCCATTAAATCCGGACGTTTACTGCGCTTTTTGCATACAATGCGCTTACACTATTTACATACCCTCCTGTACTGTATAATGACCATAGCTGATAATAACTTCTATATTGAACACCATTAAAGAGTACAATTGTCCCTTATTGTGTCGTGCAGGTAGCAACAAAATATTAACTACATGTATAATTAAGTACAGTACAGTATTGTATTCAGTTTATGTAAATTTGTATAATGTAAGATATTCAACAAACATACTCCTGGCATATACTGAGAGATTAATGTACAGTGCAGTAGTAACGTTCAATAATTTTTAGTTGATAACATAGTCTTGTGCATGGCAGTTAAGTCTTATTTCTGGTAACTGAATGTGCTTTGTATTGTAGTGTATGAATGTGTAGATGATGGACCAACAATAAAACCAAGTCTAAGAGTGGTCCTAGTTCTCATTACACTCAAAGGCTTGTATGTAATCAAATTTTTGGTCTTATCTTAATCTGACGAGGACAGTAAAGCTAATGCAGTAGTCTTGTTACCAATATCATCTTCATATAGTATAAGCAAATAATCTTTTACCCCTTGTGCAAGTTTTGAGTCCTTCAGGTGTTGATTGCAGTCATATCTATGCCTTTGTCTTGGTTGCAGGCATGTAGAAAATAGTAATGAACCATAGATGATTATTTCCATGCATGGTTCATTGTTTAATATACTGTATTTGAGAAAATTTTTTTTGTGCTTTATATTTTTGTAGCTTGAGTAATTGGCTTTTTTGGCATTTGGTCATAGAGATTCTTATGGAATCTTAATACCAGTGTTTCTAAAAAGAAAAACTGTCGTACAGTCTCTCAAAAAACTATCTGCCCTCGGGGTGATCGATGAATCTCAGAATGAACACCGTGACTCCTGTTGTCTCAGTAGGTTTGTCAAAATCCTTTGTATGTTGTCATATTGTCTAATACAATTTTGTAAAGATAGTTTATTGAGTGACTGTACATAGGAGTTAGTTCATGCTCATTAGATATCAGGTGTTTAGGTATTGTATTGTGTTGACAGTGTTCGCCGAAGTACTTTTGTTATAGTTCAACAGTGTGTGGAAGTGTCAACATCCCAGTAGGCAGTTATTAATTTGAAATGGTTCTCTGGCAAAAATAGCAAGTCCACCCCACCATGAATCTATCAGCTGAATTTATATATATAAATGCAGGTATATATATATTTTTTCAATTTGGTTTAATTCCCAATTACAGGTATTCTTGTTAATTCAGTTTTAACACCATGGCAGAAAATAGATAATGAATGGATTAATGGGTGAGTAGTGTGTGTTTTATCAGAAATATATACAGTAAAATCCTGAGATACAAAATACCTTGGGATATGTTGGTTCAGAATGAATCATTTGGTTGTAATAAGATCATGGTGAAAGAATAAAGTGTTGGAAAAGTTGGTAAATATTAGTAATCAATTTGCACAAAGAAATATCAGGACAGAGTAAACAAGAGTATAAAGTTTCTGGCTACTGTACCTGAAGTATTAATGTCTCAACTGGGAGGACAAGAAGCTGACATGGAAGCTTTATTAAAAGAAAATGCAAAATCTTGAGGGTATCAACTGACAAAGTGATCATAATTTGCCTGAAGAGAAAACCTTAAGTAATGGAAGTAGGGTTAAGGTAACTAACTAACTTGTCTGATCATAGAGGAGAGTAGAGGGAGTCAAGGTGTTAAAGGTGAGCAACATATAGGGAAAAAACAAGTTGTGGCCGAGACTTTATGCATTAATGTGAAGTTGGGACATTTTCATAGATAACTGGGTAATTGGTAGAGACATGGGGTTTAATGTTGTGATTCTGTAAAGGATATAGTTCCTTATTTGTAGGAGTAGTTTTATGATGGTTAATAGTAATAACTGTAGAGGTATTTAAATATTTCAGCTCGCTCACCTGTTCCTCCTGTGGTGAGGGAGGAGCCAGAGAAGATTAAGATCTGGCGAGAGCAACAACGGATCCGCCTGGAGGAGAAGGGTTGGTCGGATATGTTGTACTGTACTAGTGATTGTTGACCTACAGTTATTGTGATACACCAAAGTATATCTAATGTTCAAATGATTACTTTTAACCAGAGAAAGTTGAATTATGACTTTTATTTTGTATCTTCTGTTTGCAATTTTAATTAACATGAAATTATTTTCATTCTATAACTCATTTCATGTATTTCATCAGATGCTGCTGAGGAGGTGAGCAAAATTGAATTAAATGGGAAGGCGAAGAAAGAGTTAGAAGACTGGTATAAGCAACACGAAGAACAGGTTGCCAAGACACGCCAGGCCAATAGGTGAGTCGGGCTGAAGTGTATTTGAAAAACTACAGGTAGGGTATTAAGACAAATTTGGCGAGTGAATTACACTTGTCTCCATAACATTAGTGTGAGCGGAGGTTTATAGGCGTCCAGGCATTAGTTTTATGACCGATGGCCTTATTGCCTTCAGTTTAGATCTGTGGATATTTCATAGGGTTCCATAGGCCAGATCACCATTATAATGAGCCACACTATCCCTTTTGTCCGAGGCTTATGGTGCTTATTTTGTCTCGTGTTAGTTTCTGGATAGATTTAATTTCGGTTTTATGTTCAGGTATCTCATATGAGCTTGAAAATTGACTTTGAATTAAGTTAGGTTACAGTAGTACCCTCGATACACTGAACTAATTGGGGAAGAAATTTTGTTTGTTCTGCACTGTAAAGTGTTATATGTAAGTACCCTGTATTGGTAACCACAAAATTTGCAGAAAAATCATGTCAGTGAGCTTATTACAGTACAGTATTTCACAAGTGCTCCTCATACTGTGAGTAAGTCCCAGGTATTTGTCATGCATGACCTTAGGTATCTTAACAGGTACTCGTAGAAATGCTGCTAGGTGGCTGCTCACAAGTGTTCAGAATGATGGCTGATGTTCCAGAAGAGTTCATAGTGTCTTCGGGTGTCTTTAAAAATTGTTGTTCTGTTGGTGGGAAAAACAAGTCACTCGTCTCTTCTGTGAGGCTATAAAATGAAATGTCCAAGTTCAGCTGTTGCTTTTTTCTTAATTATTTGATTTCTCATGATATGAATGATTGATACTTCTATTTTTTAATATAATTTATGATTTTTTTTTAAATTTGAAGCCAGAATAGCGTGTTCATGCTCAGTGAATGACCAGGCTTGCATGTTTTTGGTATTTTTAAGTCGCTTTGATTATATTATATATAGTATACTGTATGCGACTATAATTAGTAATTATTATAGGATTTAACCCTTAAGCCCCGGGTTAGAGTGCTGCTGGCAGTACTCCCGCGCTGGGTTAAATTGCGAAGAAAAATCAACTTTTCCAAAAATAATAATAATAAAAAAATAGCGGGAAAATAGGCGGACATTCTGGAACGTCACCCGGGGCCTAAGGGTTAAAACGGGTTGTAGCCACATGATGTTTAAGAAAAAAAATGTCATTAGGGCTAGCTTTATTATTTAGGTAATTTTATTAATGATGGATATACCAAAACTAATTTTGTTATGAATATAACATGAGGTCAATGTTATAGCCATCTTAAGTATGTCCTATATGCTTTGCTCATTGTCAACCTTCATCTAGTGTTATGAATATACTGTGTAAGTAACTCTAGGGCTGAAAAGAAGATTTAATATTGGAGGTCTGCATGTACAGTATTGGTTGAGTGGTAGAGGCGTTTGATTCATATGTCTTATGCTCATTTAGTTTAAGGCTTTTTTTAACCATGGAATTTTATCTGGTAGCCTTAATTGTAAGAATAATCTTGAATAAATTAATGATTAATGATTTTATTAGAAGTGTAATTATAATCTGAAAACTTTCATGCTTCAAGGGAGGCATCCAAGTAAGTGTTGCATGTCATATTTATTACAAATTATTTACCGTACTTTAGTATTCATACAAAGATGATCTCTCTGTTAGTTCTTCTTCTGTACAGTAGTGAGTTTGCTTTTGGTATACAGTAGTAAGCAGAGAGCGTAAATGTTAATACTCTAAACTGTACGTGAAAAAAAACGGTAACGTATTGTTGGCTTCGTGGAATAGTGTTGAATACATTAAAAGAACGTGATGCCTTGAAGACATGCTTTGACCTGATTAAGATGTGTCAACAATTTAATGTTATTAGGCTTATTCGGGAAACTTCCTCAAGTAAACAAGTGCTTTGACGAATCACCAGATACATAACGATCAGAATGAATGATGGAGAACAACTTTCTGTTTTTGTAACTTGCAAAGTGATGAAGATTCTTCTTTGTAAATTTGGGGTACCAGATATCTCTCTCATTTACTATTCCAGAGGGGCATTCTCTCTCAAGCTGTTTCATTCTGGAATGTGCATTTGCATCTGTTTGTTTTCTTACTCCATATATTTATATATATCTGCATTGCCTCTATTTTCACTGTGTATTTAAAGATATTCAGTTTTCAAATCGCCTATATAGTTACAGCTAATTTTCTCTGTATATATTGAAGAAAACATTATTTATCATATTCTTTGTATTTCTGTTTAACATATCAGTTGTGTCACCACCGTCCGTCATAGATGTTAGGACAGTACAGGGAATCTTTTCGGTAAATGAGATGCTGTATGATGATTTGAGTCATATATGTTGTCCTTGAAAATCTTTTTAATGTTACTCTATTCATTGCAGTACTGTATGGCTTGTTTAAAGTCATAGTGACTATCTTCAAGCTGCATTGCATGTGTACATTGATATGATTTGCTTGGTATTTTTCCCCTACCCACAAGGCATTAGATTGGTTGGTGAGACAACATCTTGTGTATTAGTTGTGAGTACCTGTGAATGGACAGAGTTCAGTATGTTAGTTTGGAAGAAAATAATATAAATGATCTCCTTGCCTGACTTGTTAAATTTTCCTCATTTGTTTTACTGTTGTATGGATATTTTATCTTTCTGGCCAAAAGGGATGTAATGATTTGTGTGTGTGTGCGTGCGTGCTTTAATCCGACGTTTGAGTACAGTAATGAGTCGGTCTACCAATTTTCAATAATTTTTCATAAATTGTGTAAATGGTTAAATGATGTACAGTACAGTGCTTTATATACTCAAAGGTATTTGATTCTTAAATATGATTACCTAGTGACGAGTGCAAATCTTTATAATCAATTTGTAAACCAATTTTAACTGACTTGCTTGAAATTTTTACTGGTTGATGTACCGTACTTACGTGGGTGACTTATTGCAAGTGCCAGGATGAATCCACCCTGATGATTCCATCTGTGTCATTTTGTATGATTGACTTAAGATTTGGTACAGTTGGTGTTTTAGAGATGCATGTGCCAAGATGGTTTTGTGATCATCTCCGTTATAGGGCCATGGGGAATTTTTATATTGTTGAAAGGTAGATGAATCCTAATACAGTACTGTACAAATGGGAAGAAGGCTGGTTTAGAGGAGTGGGTTAGGTGTACAGTACAATGACCACTGTTTATAGGTTGTTTAGTAATGGTCACACTTTTTTGTATCAGTAAAGTTGTTGTAAGATATTCTTGGTGGTTTTGAATGATATATTTGGAAGTTGTTAAATTTCCTCACGTGTTTAATTTTTTCAGGTCTGCCGAGAAGGAACTGGTAGCTGATACCGGGAAGATTGAGCCGGGTACCGAGTGGGAGCGCATCACCAAGCTCTGTAATTTCAACCCAAAGACTTCAAAATCTTCCAGAGATATTTCTCGCATGCGATCCATCATCCTGCAGGTCAAACAAAATCCACCTGTCAAGGCTTAGGAAGAATTGTGATGGTTGAATCTCTTGTTGTTGATAGGGTTTGCTAGATTCTGTATGATAGTAAAGTCCACCATAAGAGCCCACTACCCAGTATGATGCATTGTCTCTGCCTTACCATGAAGTAAGAAGTTTAGAAACTGTAATAAACTATATTTCTGAAGCCATGATGTCAACAGACTTCCTTTTTCCTGTTTTTATGCCTGGGTTAAAAAAAGATCTTGGAATATTTGCTGTTGTGTATGTGTACTTCTTTGCGTGGTTTGACTACAGTACATATGTTGTAATACAAAATACAGTAACTAAATATTAGCCAGCTTGAGAATATGTATGGCATATATAAGGTACAGTACTGTACTAATTGTAATTTGTTGAACTCCAGCCATAATTCTATGGAAATAAAAAAATGGTTGTGTTCCATTAGACAGCTACAAATTCTTTCTGGTAGTTACTGTACTGTACAGTATGTTAGAGGAAACCAACTACTGTACAGTACAATATGTATTCTGTTTAAAAGGTCAGGAGAAAGTTTTTTCATCTTGGGGTCAGGATTTTTAGCATAACTGCTGCTAGATATATAAGTATTAAAGTTCACCAGGGGGGATGAGCAAGATTTTCTCTAATTGAATAAATGTGTTCAAGATTTAAGCAATTATAAGTACTGTACCAGTTCTGTTGTGGACTAGGAGTTGCAGAGTTATATAAACTACATATTACTCTCATGTGCATATGACTTACTGAATCTATATAATATATCTATATATATATATATATATATATATATATATATATATATATATATATATATATATATATATATATATATATATATATATATATATATATATATATATATATATATATATATATACACACATATATATACATATATATATACACTACACACACGAGTATATGGCAGCAAATTTGAAATTTTCATTACATTAAGTTATTATCTAAATTCTTGTAAATGGTATGCAGTAGCTACATAAGTAATCAGTTCACAGGAGTTTCATTGATTACCTGTGTTTGATATTTGACAGATTTATATAAATATTTTGCAGTATATATTGTTTATGTAATATATAATCAACTAGTGTGTTCAGACATTCCTGATGTACTGTATTTAAATTGTGTGAATATAAAATTAAGTTAAGTTTATGAAGTGTTTCTTTCATAGTTTATTACCCTACCACCCTATCCCCAATTCACTGACCACACTGCCCTGACCCCAACCCATTATTCACCCTCTTTTCAACCTGAACACATTTCCTTTGATTTGAGCTTCATCATCCACTTGTCTTTTATTGTAGGTCATACACTCGCCTTTTATCCAACAACTTGGTATTAGGCGTTCAGTTGGAGAAAACTCGCTACCCTCCTGAAAAGCCATATTGTAGGGTACCAGAAAATTTTAGCCTTTGAAGTATTCCAAACTGCTAACTCCACATTCACTGCCTTCTCAAAAAGGCAAAAGCTGGCAAATTTGTGGACTTACAAACACACCTTTAATATAGGACTTACTTAGTTTGAATCCTGGAAAATCATGATCCATTGCCTTGACCAGTTGTGTGATGAGACCAAACTTAATGTGCAATGGGTACAACAGAATCTCATCTTTTGGAACCAGTGGAACATTGGCTACATTGAATATACTGTGCTTGGAATGATTGAGTCATGTGGTGGCCAAACTTTACAGGTGTAACGATGTGCTCGGGCACGGTTGTCTCGTACATAGAAGCATATTTGATGAATCCAGTCCTATTATAAGTACAACAACAGTTAAGTCAGCACATAAACCAGCACTGATCAGAATATCTGTATTTGATACAGTTGGGAATGAAACCAAGGATATGGTAAGTCTCCTTCATGAAGACAATGTATAACTTCCAGAAGGAAAAAACTCTGCCAATGTGCTCTTCCAAGGTATTGCATAAGCCACAAATACACAGAAAAAAAATGAGCAAAATTTAGTAAATGTTTGTACATTTGAAGCTATGCATTCTGAAACCTTGTATATTCCATAAAAAAAAAGTTTGGTAGGGTCACACTGGATACTCCTCACGTGTGTCCGGACCAGGACATTGTAGTGAGATAACGTGCTCGTTACCGCTGTAAAAACTTCACCAATCCTCTAATGTATATATAAAAAAAAAGAATTACATGTGATAATTTTGGGAATTACTCTAGTACTAATTATTTTATGCTTGGTTCCCATGCTCATTCTCTACAAACAATACCTCACAGTATATGATAACTGCAGCAGACGGCTTACACCAACCAGGAGTTGTTAGATTATGTTAATTTTTACCACATACAGTATGTTCTTTGGATGAGAATAAGTAATAAAAACGACACAACTTTCCATTTTGATTATAAGTACTTTAATATTTTTTCTATCTACAATAAAAACTCACCTGTAGTGGGCAGGGTATGAAGGATGAGGGAAATTGCGGGATAAAACTCGGCGAAAAAATGATCATATGACACTAAAATGATGTCTCTACTTGCTTTGTAAGCGAAGAAATAAATTATTCACCGGAAATACTTTGAAAAAATCTGCCTTTGTTGTCCGATCTTTGTTGTTTCAGTACAGTAACCGAGCCGCATGGTCCGGGTGTCACTGTGCTCTCACGTCCACAAAAGGCGTAAAGTTATACCATGCTGCTTCAAGAGTTACTTTGATTGGTACCAGATATCAAAGTAAGTTATTTTCTGTTTAATATGCCAGGGGTCCGGCGAGGAAGTCAGACAAGTTTAAGTAATGGTTCCATTAGGTTCTGTGCATTGTCGTATTGTTTTTATTACTATAGTATACTGTATGTATATGTCTGGAAAAGAAATACTCATCTTACTATTGATAACAAATATATGTTCCTTCGCAGTACTGCAGTATATCTCTTTGTACTTAAAACAGATGAAACTGACAGTACTCCTCCCCAGGTGCTGACAAGTGTAAGCTCGGCTGTCAAGGTGGTGGAGGGATCTTGCATGTCTTGTTTATTTATGTATAGAGGTTGTGAAGACGGCCAACACAAAGATGACCGATATCCTAACGAGAACAACAACCCCAAAATGTTTTTGCTGTGTGACGTTTTTCTAATTCGGGCTAACTCATCACCGTCACTACGAGGCTAGCCGCTTACTGCCAAAATATATCGCGTGAAGGGCGGAAGTTCATCACTATTTTGTGAGTTGTCGATTTTTCAGATTTATTTACGTAGCGCTCAAGACTTATGGCCGATCAAAAACACTAATCATCATCATCATCATCCCTCTTGCATTCAAAATAGGAAAGCGGAGGTGGAGACTGGAAACACCGACGCACGACGGCTTACCTTGATAAATCCAAGGTCTATATTCTACTGTATAAACCTTGGATGAATCTGCCACCGTCGCTAATGTATGCTGTAGATATGGGTATGTTCGGGGTGGAGTATGATGTTAATAGAATTCTAAATCTAGAGTACAGACACGTGAATCAAGAGTACAAATACATGAATCAAGAGTACAGACATGTTATTCAAAAGTACAGACACACAATGAAGAGTACAGACATGTGAATAAAAAATACAGACACGTTCTACAGTCGCCCTTGTGAAGGGTCGTCGTCCTCGTGTAGGGTGATCCTCGTGAAGAAGTCGTCCTCGTGATGCCGTGGTTATGTGCTCTCGGCGGTTCCCATGGGCAGAGAAAAAAAATCACGTGACGCAAGCGAGGGGATCAAACACCTCATCCCCGGGATCTGAAGGAGGGAGGGGGAGGGTGGTGTCGGCCCCCGGGTGATTGTAGGCAGTTCGTGCCTTAGAAGACTTCTTGGGGGGTGGGTCAAGGGAGAGAAGAGCCTCCCTCCGTGTGGTGAGAACAGGGAGAGGTAAGGGGAAAAGAGGACGGGGGAGAGAAGGAGTAGGAGAACAGAAGAAAAAAGGTTGGGAGGGAACAGAGAGAGGGGGTTGAACATAAGAACATAAGAAAATAAGGAGTCTGCAATAGGCCGGTTGACCTGTGCATGGCAGCTCCTGTCGAGAGTTACTACCACTCTCTGTCATCCATGAATCTGTCCAGCCTCCTTTTGAAACTTTCCAGCGTTCCAGTACTTACTACAAAGTTGCTAAGCTTGTTCCACTCGTCCACCACCCTATTTGTGAACCAGTTCCTTCCTATCTCCCTCCTAAACCTAAACTTATCCAACTTAAATCCGTTGCTCCGAGTCCTATCCTGCTCGTATATTATAAGAACTTTATCTATATCCCCTTCATTGATTCCTTTCACCCACTTAAATACTTCTATCATATCTCCCCGCACTCTTCGTCTTTTTAGGGAATGCAAGTTAAGTTTCTTTAACCTATCCTGATATGGAAGGTTTCTAAGTCCCGGAATCATTTTCGTCATTCTTCGCTGCACCGACTCTAGTGAATTTATATCCATTCTATAATAAGGGCACCAGAACTGAACCGCATAATCGAGGTGCGGCCTGACTAGCGCAAGATATAGTTGCAATAAGACCTCTGCACTCTTGTTACTTACACTTCTAGATATAAAACCCAATACTCTGTTTGCCTTATTTCGAACATTAATGCACTGTTTTCTAGGCCGTAGGTCCGGGCTTACAAGTACCCCTAGGTCTCTTTCACAAGTCGACTTCTCTAGGTTGAGTGTGGTAGACCGGCGCTGCGGTCTAGTTGATATTAGCACTCACATTCTGTCCAATCAAGGGTCTCTGGTTCGCATCGGGGCATCATTATCAGTCCATCAAGTTGTAAATGGATACGTAACTTTACAGCTGGGAGTCTGGTATATCTACAAGGTTTATTTGAATTAAAATGAATACAAATCGAAAATGTAAATCAAGTGTTAGTAGGTTAACCTTAGTGATGGAATAAACGATTTTCGGGCGTTCCTGTTGGGTTCATCGTCACCTAAAGCTATTAAGTACAGTACTGTGCGTGTCCGAGCAAATCACATACACACTCCTAGGGTTTACTTGTTTCAGCTAGATCTAATTTTCGTTTTGATCTTTCTTACTGCTTTATTTCTCTATAATTTTATTTGTTTACCTCACTTAGAAGATGTACTGGCTTAGTTATCTTAAATTAGGTAATTTTATTCAACAGTGTATGATCTCGGCAATATATAAATAGTGTATGGAGAGGACTGATGATCGCATGTTTTTTTTTACTTGTTATAAATAGCTCCAAAATAATCCCACTTATCTTGTATATAGAATTAAAGAAAAAACACAACACAACAACAACGTGCTAATGAACGTATTATCTAGAGGAAGAGAGCGAAAAATTCCACTTGGTGACAGTCTTGTGAGGTGACGTCACGCAGAAATGGCGCAAGAAGCTGAAATTTCGCAGTCACTCGGAACAATTTTCATTCGTGGCAGATACATAATGTTGAAATATAATATAAATGTCTCTCGTGGAAGTGTTGCGTTTGGATTTATATAGAAAAATCATCGCAAACAGCAATGAAACGCACAACCGGATGGAATGATCTGGAAAGGTAAATATTTAGGGCTTCTGTTGATGGGGATCTTGAAAAAACAAACTAAGGATGTGGCAGGGTATATCTCGGGGTTTTGTACGTCCGTGACCTCCGCCTGAAGCCACACACACCGCATAAACACCCCCAAGGTCTCCCCTCCTTCGTGTAAGTCTTGCGGGAATATCACACACACGCCATCCACCCCAGCCTGTCCTAATACCGCTTGATTCTTCTCGGATTTATGACTTTTTCTCTGTGTTTATTATCCCGATTCCCGACTATTTTCACTCTCGTTTATTTGTTAACCACGCATATATTTTTTATTTTACCACCGACTAACCGACTGAATCACTGACGGGTAAAAAATGCCGATATGTTTCCGAATACCATAGAAGAAATTTGATATTAATGCTACACTTGGAAGAAGTATTTGTGTCAGGTACTTCAAGTAATTTTCAGTACTATATTCTTCCAATTAACTCTGATGTTATTCTTATTAGTTTCTTATTTTCTAGTTGTTTTTTATGTTTTCCTGACATGCAGCTCTAGTCTACCAAGCTGTGAATTTGTATTAAAGTTTATATTACAAGGTTTAACAGTGTTGATTTTTTGATAAGTATCCCATGATATTCTTCACATTTTCTTTGTTACATCATTAATTATTTTTA